CACAGAGTGGTTTGCCTTGCTGGAAACGGCCCCGGCTTCCTGCTGCTTTATCTTCTCGTGATCCGGGTATCATGGAAGTAAGGTTAGAAGTGCCATCCCTTACTGGCAGACAGCCAGGAAATAGCCGCTTGCTTGCGACCACCTTGTGGGCTCGTGGCTGAGGTGAGATGAGAACGGTGCCCTTTATGTTGTACCGCTGAGCTCAAGGCCTCCTGCATGTAAGGAGAGGGCAAGGAGTGAGCCGGTTTGTTACATGCTCTCAGTATTGACGGCCTTTCATGAGACAAATGGGGTTTGTTGCTGAACTTTGCCAATAATTTAAAAGATGGATGCTACCAATGGCGTGGAAATGTTTCTGATCGGTGTGTCATTTCTTCTGTAATGCAGTCATAGGTGCCACACTGTCATTTCTTAGGGCTGGGCTGAACTTAGCAAGCATCTTCAGGATGCTTTTTCTAATTGGCAGATACTTTCTCCTTTTAAATTCAAGTTGTGATCTGCTGGCTTTGTGACCATAAACCTGCAGTTGTGTTTCTGAGCTTGAGGATGTTTCTGGTGTGTCCCTATTTCAAAATGTAAGGCTGCTCTCCCTCCACTATATTTAAGAGAGATTGTTGAAGCAAATTCTGTGTGTTAAGTCTGACATGGAGTAGTGTAGTGATGTGTGATAGAGTGATGCTTCTGGGAAGCCATTCAAGAGAAACTTAAAGATGGGGTCTAAACATCGCCTCTCTAGCTGGGGACGGACGGACATTAGTTTGGGCAAATGATGTAGCATCCTCCTACAGTATTTTTTGTGAGCCGCCCCGAGGCTTTGTTGCGATGGGGGCGGCACAGAAATGTTTTAAATAAATAATAATAAATAAATAATGCGGAGGAAGTCACAGTGGCCCCCATGCAACCATGCAGACAGGTGCCATTTCCTGCTGTCGGTTCCAGCGTGAAGGCTCAGCATGTGTGTCATCTGCCGGGCTTGTGAAGCTCGCTGCCACGTGCGCATGCCACCGCACGGAGGCTTCTGGAGTGCTGCTCCTCATGGTCACTCAGTTGACGCTGCACCTCTCCATCTTCCAAAGCAGATGCAAGGCCGGTCATTGTTCAGACACCCCTCCCCACACCTGGTTGGTGCCCTGGCCAGCACTGTTGTTGTTGTTATTATTAATTATAATTACATAAAATATAATAAAATAATAATATATTGCTTTGTAGCCCACTTTACCGTCCCCAAACCTCAAAGCAGTTTGCAACATAAACACTCAGACGCAAGACATTTGCAGCTAAAGCTCTTGAAAACAAGCTATAAACTCCCCATGTAATAAGTAAGAAAAATAATTCACAGTGGAAAATGTTTAAATACGGGGATGCACAATATTTTGGGTCTTGGAGCACCTTAAAGGCAAATGCATTCATTTAGTGTGGTATAAGGTTTCTTGGCTAGTTTGTCAGATGCATGAAATCAGTGTTTATGATCTGTGACTGAAAGCCTGCAGGCCTACCTAGAGAGCCCTGGGGAAGCGGCCACTCTGCCTGGTGCTTTTAATTAAAGCAAATCCCTAAAGCAAAATGAGCTGTTTCTTCAGTGTTTGCATCTAATGTCGCAAGAGAGGATACAAGAAGTGAAAGCCAGCTTCACCTCCATTAAGGGGAGTGAGTGACAAAATAGTCACACCAGTGCATGCTTTCGTATAGTGAATCTAGCGCCCGCTAAAATTGTCGGAAATATGGTGTCACACAGTGGACGTGCCGCAGAAGTTAGAGTGCCCTCTGCTGGGAAAAACCTCTACCTCGCCGAAGGTCTGGAGGGAAGACCACACTTCTGGCTGCAGGATGCAACTGGCTGCATCCCCTGATGAGCTCAGCAGAAGCTTTTCTCTGTATCCTGAAAGTTTCTTCTTCCTATTTCTTTGAAACAAAACACCCCCAATCTCCCTCCCCCTCCACACACAATCTAGTAAGTGATGGGGCTTGCTGTTGCAAGAGCATGAGTAAAATCTGGCACGGTGATGCCGGAGGGGAAGTGTCTCTGCCTTTCACTTCCTTTCATGTGCGACCAGAATGTGACCAGAATGTTCTTGGCCTCGGGGAGCTTCTAAGCATGTCACTTGGGAGCCTGTGAGGCTTCGCATAGCCCAGTTTCTGACTGATCGCTCGCTGAGCTGAGTCGAGACAAGCAAATTATAAGGGGATCTAGCACTGCAGTTTGGTGGAGCGTGGGAAAAAATAAGTTGGAATTAAAATTCTAAGCCCTTCCTCTTCATGAAGGGCTTCCTCTCCCACTCTACTACCAAGACCTGGCAATGGCAGGGGTTGTGGTAGATGGGGTTTGTGGCTTTCCCAATGGCCAGATTCTAGGAACACTACTAAGGTGTGCTGGGCAGCATTTCTTTATTTCATTTTGCTACTGCCCAATAGCCACAGGCTCTCCCAAAAGAATAACAAAGTGGCTTTTTTTAAACATGGTGTAAAAGGAGATTTTTATTTCTCTCACCTTTGCGCGTAATATAGACCCTAAGTCCAACCAATACAATCGATTGGCCATAGATTCAGGGACAAGAATAGGAAATAGTCCTTCATACAACACATCATTAACACACAAAATTTGCCATTCTAAACCTGGTGATGGCTTCTGTTGGCTTAGGTGGTGTTTTCAGAAGGGTATAGCTAAATTAAGGAATGATAGACCCGTAAATGGTGATCAGGTATAATAGAACCTCTGTGTTCAGGGGCAGTGTACCCCTGAATATCAGGTTCTACAGCCAAATCATTTCTGCTGTCATGTCCTGGTCGTGGGCTTCCTGGAGATGTCTAACTTTCCCATGAAGGTAACACAAGACTAAACCGGGTCGTCTGAGCTTGCCGTGTTCTGATGGTCTTTGGTTCAAAGTGACACTGGCAGTGGTTTTTTTCCAGTACTTGAAATAGCCTTCCAGGAACACACTACTGCTTTCTCATTTCCTGCTTCCTCATGCTTGCCCGTGTTTGCAAAAACCTAAAGCTTCAGAAATGTTGCCACCTGCAATGGAATAGTCTAAATGAAACTAATGACATCATGCCCATGAAGTGCAAAAGATTTCTCGCATGTGTGCCATCGAAAGGATTCCGATATTGAGGCATCACTGTTCTGATCTGTTTGCTCTTGAGTTTTATATAAATACTCCATGTTCTGGTTATGTAAGCAGGAGATTTACAGTACTAAGAAACGGAGCTTAAAAAAATACAGCTTTCCTCATGCAACCTTGGGAGAAAAGGTGGCAGGCATTCGTCGGATCTTATGGGATACGATGACATTCAAACACGCTTTCAAAAAAATGAAGCGTAGCGTGCCAGCAGCAAGCATGGCTTATGCCTTCCCCTAGCGGGTTGTGCAAGAGCAGTGAAATCAAATCCAACTCTGTTGCTCACCTGGCGCCAGCCCTGGCAGAAGCATGAGAACTGCTGTTGAACCTTCCTGCTGTCGCACCAAAGTGACTTGCCTTTCCAGAGTAACTCTAGTGATCGTTTCCCTTCTCTTTGCTCTTTTTTGGGTCCAGGCCAGTTTTGCATCCCCTGACACAGGCCCAGTGCTGATACAACGGGCCTGGTAATGTGAGCAACCCACAGCCAGCAAAGCACATGGCAGGCGCTACCCCAAGTGCTGTTTTGGGTGAAAAGGTGGAGAATGCAGACTATTGGACTTGGTGACAGCATGAATGCATGCAATTTGCCCCACTTCTGGTCTCCACAGGAAGGTTGGGGGCACATGGGTCATAAGGCCCAGTGCCGTCCCACCATATGGGTACTCTAGCACTTCAGTTTGCCTATATGTTCCTGCACCGTTTGGATCGGTGCAGAGCTGCAGAACGGATTTTACTTTCCTGATTGTTGCTTTCAGGTACCGGCTTGTATAATCAGTGCTGGGGCTCAGCGAGGGCAGGCCTTTGCTGGGCTTTGGTTCTTGCTCCCAAGAGGCCCAAAGGCATTCCGAATTCCCCTATATGGCCTCTGGTCTCCTTGGGGTTGCTCTCAAGGTAAAAGACATCCCTTTCCCAAAACCTTCTGCTAATGCTGTAAAATGTGGAGAGGGTTGAACCCATCCCTCCTTCACAGAGGGTGCTGCAGAAGTCTTTGGATTTGTGCAAAGTGTTGAAAACTTGGGAAATACAGTGACGGGTGGGGAATGAAGAGAGAAATTTCCCCTGCTCCTTTACGACATGCAGAGAACATAAGAACAGCCATGCCTCATCTCTCACCCCCAGTCTTTGAAGAAGTTCAGAAAGTTTCTCACACTGCATCCGACCTCCTGTAATCTAGCAGTAAATTGGGAGTCCGCATCCACTGTGTATTCGCAAAATCCTCTTGCCTGCCAGTTCAGTGTTTCACTGAGGATGTTTTGGTTACGGGAATCCAAATTCTGTTGACGGGTTTAGTGCTGCAGCAGTGCCCAGAAGGAATCAGGATTTATAAAAACAACAGCAGCAACATCAAGAACAAGAAAATATGAACATTCACAGAATGGAGAACTGATAGCAGGGTTTCGGTTTGGTGAACTCTGCAATAGCTCTGGAGCTGATTAGACAAATTACTGGCAAATCTAGAATGCAGTAGTGCTGGGGGTGGGAATCAGGGATATTTAAGGAGAACAAAGCGTGTGAAGTTTCCTAAAATTTGGACATGCAATTGGCGTCCTCCTTCCTAGCCACAGCAGCTTCTTGTCCAATGCCAGCACCCCAGAACTGCCAATGCAGAAGTCAAGAGGAGTGGTCTGGGCTGCGTTCGGCATGTGGATGAAGCTCTCGGCAGCTTTGGGGGGGGGGGCAGATGGAACTCTGCAGGTCAAGCCAACATGCTAGCATCCCCCTGTTGGATTGAGAGTGGGAGAACCCCCAACCCCCTCCACACACACACATCTGAAGTGCTCCTTCTGTGATCAGTCCTTAAGAGTTTTATAGTATCGGTGCCAGAAATGTGAACTGTCATGTCCATTCACTGATGTGTAATCATCTTTCTTTTGCCCGTCGCAGGATTCATACAGGAAGCAAGTAGTAATCGATGGCGAAACCTGTCTCTTGGACATTTTGGATACAGCCGGTCAAGAAGAGTACAGTGCAATGCGGGACCAGTACATGAGGACGGGAGAGGGCTTTTTATGTGTATTTGCTATAAATAACACGAAATCTTTTGAAGATATTCACCATTATAGGTAAGCGGCACTCAGCTAATAATTTTTAAGAGTGCTTTGGGATGGGTGCTGTTCTGTAACCTAAGGGAAAAGCGGCTAATATTCCCAACTGAATCCCAGTCTCCACATGGAGCAGAAGGAATTGGCATGATCCTGAGATGTTAAGGATGGATCATGGCAGGGGGAAGTATCCTTTTTTAAATGTTCTCTCAAATCAAAAGCAAGTTTCCGCAAATAAAATCTGTGGCCTAGAGCAGCGGGGGTAGAGTCCTAGCCTGTTCCAGCTGATTTTCTATTTATAGGTCTATTGTTGTTTGCTTGTTTGAGTTTAATGCAAGGAAACATTCAGAAATGGTATTGTATAACTTCAGCCTGAAGAGGCACGATCCATTCGGTCAGTCCTAACTGTGCTCATTCAAAACAAAATAGGATGCCAAACCATGGTTTAATAATCCTGGCTTGTTAGCTCATTGCCGTTAGAACAAACCTCTGTTTCACAGCATGGGCAGTGTAGTGTAGTGGTTAGAGTACTGGGCTGGGATTTAAGAGATCTAGGTTCTACTCTCCACTCAGCCAAGAAAGCTCATTGGGTGATTTGGGCCAGCCACAGACTCTCAGCTTAACCTACCTCACAGGGCTGTTGTGAGGGATAAGATTGAGAGGAGGAGGTTTATGTAAGCTGCCTTGACTTCCTTGAAGGAAGAGAAGGTGGTATACTAAACAATGGGAATTTCTGAAACTCCAGAAGGCCCTCAATTGCTAATCTCTATTCTGCCCTATCGGGTTTCGGAGCCATTCTAGGCAGAAAGAAGCAAGCTTGCAAAGATTGTAGGCTCTTCCGAAAATAGTATTATGTAGCATCTTTGCATGATCTCTCATCTTCCACATAAAAAACTCCCTGCATGTTTTGAACAGGAACTGGCTGTTTTATACTCATAACCAGTTGGCCATTGTGTGTTTGGGGATTTTAAAATTTGTCTTGAGTGCTCTTTTTAAAAAAAATGCTTTTCTCACCTGTAGTATGAAATGGCTCAGATTTACATTCTTGTGTGGTTTTTCTTTTTACCACTTCTCTGCTCATAATATCAAGATTGGCTCTAAGCAAATGCTTTTTATTCCCCCTTCCCCCATCTTGCTGCCACCAGTTACAATCTGCCTTGAATACATGCTAATTAGGAGGCTGTTGAGACTAGAAATGGACTACAGTTGTGATTTGCGTCACATAAAAGTCACCAAGCCCATAAAAACTAGCCATGTGATTGCAGCAAACCCCTCTTTAAGCCTTCAGTCAAAAGCAGCCTTTGAGTTATTTTTATCTGTGCTCCAGAACTGTTAAAAGCTGTACAAAGAGATAATGGGATGGCGATGCCGCTGCAGTTGTGTAATCGCCCCTCCAGTTCCCCCCTCACCTCCCCCAAGGGAAGATTGCAAGCTGAGGGCCAGGGCTGGGGACAGCTAGACGTTGCTGCCCGAGACAAAAACCAAAAAGAAAGAAAGAAAGAAAAAGGTTACCGGCTGAATCACCTTAGCAGCCCCGCCAACCTTCCAGCAGTCGCTCTGCTATTTCAAACGGGATTCTGCCAAGGGCAGTAGCTTGGCTCACAGGGCTCCTGGCTTTTTCCGGGCTGTGGCCAATAAACGTGCATTTGTTTGGATGATGTAGAAAGATCTGAGGAATGTCATGTCCACAGAAACTGGCTGCAGAAGTCCTGAGCTTGCCCGATATTTCGTTGGACTTTCATGTCACCATATGCTATGCCATGCCATGGCATTCTCTGGAGTTTTGTTCCCCAGTGCTCGTGCAGGTATGGAGTGCAGCTTGTGGCCTGGCTTCCCTATCAGAGGTGAACGGAGCCCGTCCCGTCCCGTCCCGTCCCGTCCCGAGTCCATCTGGCTAGTAGCATATTCCGCAGCATCCTTGGGTCCTTTCTGTGCAAGCTGCTTTTGACAGGAACCGCAACTCAGCACAGCGCTGCTGAAGAGGAGGTAGCTCTTCACGGCACTTTTGGCCAGTCACTCCGTAACCTGCTTTCCAAGCACCCACTGGGAGAGCAGAATTGCACCCTAAAGCAACCCTGTCCCCATCAGCTCTGACTTGCTTTGCAGAGCCTCCCTGCCTGATTGCTTTGAAGTGATCCCGGGAAACGACAGAAGCAAGTGACTGTTTATTTAATGGTGACTGCATTTTCCACCCAAGAGAACCAACCCTGTAGCAACTCCAGGTTTGGCAGAGCGTCTGAAATCAGGCAGGAGGTGCTGAGAACCTGGAGAGCTGTGGACTGTCAGAGTGGACTGTGCTAGGCAAGTTTCAACTCCAGATGTTTAACAATGGGTGGGTTCAGACCACATGATAGCCCACATGGACTGTGGGTTGAGTGCAGGTTGTTGCAGAATCATGGGTTGTTCTTGAATGTGGGTTATTGTGTCGTCTGAACTCTGCTGTGCTAACAAGTGGTGGCTTGTTAATCACGAACAACCTATGAATAGAACCCCTGGTTGGTTGTCACAGTGCGAACTGTGGGTTCACCGTGGTTTGTTATCTGGCCCTAGGATTTTTATTGCTGCTTTTAAAAATCTTTGACTTGTTTTGGTTATGATTTATATTGCATATTTAAGGTTTTAATTTTTTGTGACTGAATTCTTTAGGCAAAAGCATCAGACAAGGGTGCATTTTATTTTCCTAAGTGTTTAGTCTGTGCAGAAAATGTCAAAGAAAGCTGGATTAAGATCAGGGGAAGGAGGAGTAAAAATTGATGAAGATATTTCAGTAATTTAAGATAGGCAGGTGATACCATATTAGTGACTGAAAGCTGCAGTGAACTGAAATGACTCCTGATGAAATTGAAAGAAAAAAATGCAAAACTGTGACTGTAACTGAACATTAAGAAAACAGAAATCATGACTGCAAAGTATTACAGAACTTGAATGTCAGCAGTGAAGAAACTCAAATTGTGAAAGGTTTTGCATATCTTGGCTTAGTCATCCATTCAAAGAAAGACTGCAGCCAAGAAATTAGAAGACTGAGACTTGGAAGCGCAGCAATGAAGGAACTAGAAAAGATCATCAAGTTTAAGAATATTGCACTGGGGACCAAGCCCAAGGTCATTCATACTATTGTATTCCTAATCACATTGTGTGGGTTTGAAATCTGGACAGTGAGGAAAGCTGACAGGAAGAGAATTAATGCATTCGAAACACGGTGCTGCAGGAGAGCTTTGTGAATACCCTGCACCTGTAGAAAGAGGAAGACGGGGGTCTTAGACCAAATCAAGCCTGAACTTCCCCTGCAAGCAGACGTGACAGAACTGAAGCTGTTGTACTTTGGACACATCAGAGAAGGCAAGACTCTGGAGAAGCCCAACATGCTAGGGAAAGTTGAAGGCAGAACACGAAGAAGACCAGATGAGAGATGGATGGACTCCAGAAGGAAGCCACAGCCTTGAGTTTACAAGCTCTGAGCAGGGCAGCCAAGGACAGGACAGTGCGGTGTAGCGGTTAAGGCCTGGGACTCAGGAGATCGAGGTTCTCATCCCGGCTCAGCCGTGGAGCTGGCTGGGTGACTTGGGGCCAGCTAGCCAGACTCTAAGTCAAGCCCACCTCACAGGGTGGTTGTTGTGGGGATAAGACTCAGTGAAGAAGAATTATGTAAGCCACTATGACTTCCTTGGGAGGAAAACAAGGCAGGACATAAATATAAATATTTTGAAAGGTGCTCATTTGATGTGTTGCCGTAAGTAGGAGATGACTTGACAGCATGTCACAACAACACACCTAGAGAGTTTTAACTGTCGGTTAGTATAAAACTGTAATAACAAGACAAGACAAATATCCTGACCTTGTGCAAGGCAGCCATTTCCTAATTTGCTATTGAACCTTTCACCAACGTTCAATTTGGATGCCAGGAAGTACTTCCTAATGGTTAGGACCCCTAGGGTATGGAATGGGCTTCCCCAGGAAGTGGCTTAAGCCGCATCGCTGAGGGTGTTCAAGGACAGGCTGTGGACATGCACATGGTGGGCATGTCAGGAGCGGAACCAGCTGGAGCCGGGGGTCAGACGAGATGGCCCAGGAGACCCCTTCTGACTCGCTCTGTTTCTATATACTGCCTCTGGTATTGTAGGCATTTGCCTGCGGATAGCAGTGGCCAGGTACACCAGCCTGCTGGTTGGCCGCGGTATGAGCCATGGGTGGTCTGGTGCAGTGGGTCTCGTGTGAGTTTGCCCCCGCTCTGCTTTCATCTCACAGTCCTGAGCGAGTGAGAAGCTTGCTGTGGACCCAGTGGGATCCCCCATCCCCAGCAGTGCACAGATACGCACTAAGGGTGAGGCCAGCAACCACAGCCGTCCCGAGACTGGCTAATCACGAGAGTGGTGTTCAATAAACCTGAGACGTCCAAATAAAGGAGGAAAAGCTTTTCCTATCCTGGAAGCAAAAAACATGCAGGCAAAAGCTTTTCCAGGTTGATTTCCGCACGCCAGGTAAAAAGGCACAGGAGCTGGGCCAATCAAAAGGGTGGAACAGCTGCATTCTTTATAACTCCTCTGTCCTTACACTTGCTGGGGAATATTGCAAACAGGAAACGAGCTGTTTGTTTCAGGGGAGCTTATTAAGCTGCCTGATAAGATCCATGTGGCTTATTTCTGGCGACTTTGGCTGGCGGTGGCCCTCTGTTAATGGATTCCAAGCAGAGAAGATGGCTACAATTTACTGGGATTGTACCGCTTCATTTTGGGTCTTTTAAACTGGGGAGTTCCTGTTCTGCCCCTCATTTCTGCTCTGAGATTTACTGAACTGGTCACCAGGCATGGCTGAAAACTTTTGCTGTGGACAAAACAGCTGAAACAAAAAGGGCTGTTTTTTTTTTCTTTTTCTTTTTCAACTGTCCTTCCCCATCCCATTAAAAATGTATAATCTTACGGATGCCACCAAAATTCCCTTGCACCAAATTTAGGCTTTCATGCCTTTCTTTTCCTTATCTTTTTTTCTCCCTAGGGAACAAATAAAAAGAGTGAAAGATTCTGAAGATGTCCCCATGGTGCTCGTTGGAAACAAATGTGACCTCCCTTCGCGGACTGTAGACACAAAACAGGCTCAGGATTTAGCAAGAAGTTATGGGATTCCTTTCATCGAAACATCTGCAAAAACCAGACAGGTAACACTGGCTGGGGTGCGTCCAGGCAAATGAGAGAGAGAGAGCGAAAGGATGAATTATTTTGCCTGAGGTAAAGGACCTGATTTGCAGCTTGAATACCTGCTGTTTTGTAGGATTCCCGACAATTAGCAACTGCTACTTCTTGGAGTGGTCCTTCTCTGAGATGCAGTCAAGTGCTCAAAGACTGGTAGAGGCAGGTCCCATTTGATTTGTCTTTGGGAGCCAGATGGTAGATCTAAGTCCTCATGCAACCATTTGCTGCCTTAGGTCGGTCCTACGCAAACAGCAGAAGTGCTAAACTTTTTTCTTGTCCCGCGTCAGGTATGGAACACATACGAATGCTCCCACGACTTTTTAAGAAATGCTGTTTGCATCCAGAAAACTAGCTGTCCTGAGAAAAGGGCTCTTGACATAGCTTTCTCCCTGACATGCAAAGAGCATTACTTTTTTTGCAAGTGGCGAATGCAGGGGTAACACCAGGATGTCCCCCGCCACTTCCATGTGCAGTAGGAAGCCGTGCAGTCAAGGAACAGTTTTGGTGACAGATCCAGCTGTCTGCTGTGTGTACCACCAGTCTCAGCTGTTCCTCTAACTCCGCTTTCAATGCCATGTGGCTCCCACCTTCCAAAAATGCACAGCTCGCACGTGTGATCGCAGGGACTGACACGTTTCTCGTGGGAACTAGGAAAAGTAATGGGCCTGCCCTAGGACTTTGCCCTTTCAGATACACCCCCTGCTCTTTAACAGAATTTGGGCCAGGGTGTGTGTGTGTGTGTGTACACGCACACTCTGACCTCATAAGCAGCTGTTCTTCAATACTCAGTACCCAAACAGTGCTTGGTTTCTGTCTTCTTGTTGACAAAATCCAAGGTCTGAAGTCTGACTCAGCAACTGTTTTGACCCTTCTGTCCGTCCGTCCGTCCATCCGTCCTTCCCTCCTTCCTTCCCCACTGAAAAAATTGACAAGCATTGATACACATGAACATCTGGGGCGTTTGAATTGGCAAGATGTCCCAGCTGCAGCTTTGAGTTATTTTTAGGAAGTTTTCATAACCGCAAGAGTAACGTCAACGTTTCTCTCCAGCTGCACAGATAGCCGAGTAGAGGAAAAAATAAGTGCTTTAGATTCGCAATGTCACTGAAGAAGTAATATTGAGTCATACTGGTCTTGCCAACTGGGTGTGTGGGCCCTTTTAATGTTTGCTGTTCAGAAGATAAGAAGGCAAAATGGAAGTGGGAGAGGCAGAGAGTTCAATCAGAAGGACTGCTTTGGAACGGTGTTTAATTATTTTCACTTCCTAGACTCCGTAATTACTTGACCTTGATGCAGAAATTACTTCCATTTCTCTTCCTGTATTCCTTTTCACTCAAATTAAATTGTCAAAAGATGTTTTCAGCTACGGCATATTGGGAATGTGTCCAAGGCTGTGTTTGCACGCTGCAGAATTTGCTCTCACAGTACAACAGGGGAAGTGTGAGAACTAGCAGAAATGTCATAGTTTTTGGAGAAGGCGCGAGAACCCAGTGACAGGGTCTCACGTCTCGGAAGTCAAAAGCTGGCCTTTTGTGCTTTGCCTAAGTTGGAGATGCAGATGCCTAGACCTGTGTGCTTGGCAAGTCCCTCCCGCACCTTTCTGCGCCCACAAGGAAACTCATTTCATCTCGTTTCATCAGTGAGAAATGGGAGCTGGACGGTGGAAGCTGCTTTGGCTTTGTCCAGAGTTCTGATGTGAGCAGAGAGCTCGCCTACCCCTAGAGGCTTCCCTTTGCGCTACAGTGAAAGGGGATAGAGGGATGTTGGCATGGATTGGATGGGGGAATAATCCCCATTGCTTAGGAACTCCTGACGTACTTTGGTTCAGGTACGTACTTTGGTTCAGGAGTATAATCATTGCTCTTTCAATGCCCCATCCTCTCCTTTTCCTTTATCCTCCCTTCTCGAAGTTCCAGTAAATAAAAAATAAAACACAAACTTACAAAATGCATATATACAGCAAATGAATAGATCATCATCATCATCATTCATCGTATAGTGCCAAATGTGTGGATGAATTCCCAGAAAACAAAAAGGCAGGTCAAGAGGGGCTTCCAGTCTGGCCACTGCACTTCCTCATTCTGCACTATCTGTGCTGAATTCCAAATTTTCAGATGTGTTTGCACTGCAGAAACCAGCCCTGAATAAATTTCACATGCCTATAGCCTCTGGCAAATGTTGCATTTCCCCTCCCATCATCATGGTGGGGCTTAACATAAAATGCTGCTTGCAGAAAAATTACCGGTTGATTTTGCTCCTCATTAGAATCATCTTGCTCTTGCTGCTCTTCTAAGAAAGTGTGACATTTTTTTTCTTTGTAATGTGAGATGTTTCATTTCCTTTGGGCCTTTTAAAGAGCGACTCCACTCATGTTATGTCTTGGCTTCAAAAGGCACTTTTCCAGTCCAGTTATAGGTGGGTGAAGTTGCCTGCCTGTTTGCGACTTGCACAAGAAGAGATTCTCCAGGGCTGGGGCCGGCTTCTGGTATCCACAGGTAGCTGCAAGGCCCGGATGCCTCTCTTGGCCGGGCAAAAAGGCAACTAGTGACCACTATTTAAAATCTCCCATGGTGTCCCAGATGGCATTCTCTTGAAACATGGTGGGACCTTGGTTGTGTCAGCTAAACAGATCCCCCCTCCTGCCCTTTAACAGCACTTGGGGGTTTCAGTGGCAGTGTTGTTAACCACAGTTAGGGCAAATCAGGAACCCCTCTTAATATGGGCCTGGAACCCAGAGGAAACCTGGTTATCCTTAACCGTGAGTAGTGTCCATGCTGATGTAACGCTGTAACCACGAGCGACAGGCAGCCAGGGAGAATGTGCAATGCAAGAGTTACTGGTGGGCATGAAATACGTGGGCTGGATCCTGTTTGGATCCCTCACCGTGGGCCAGAAGCAGTGTTCCACTGACCCTCCTTTGTCGTCCTGGGTGCTACCAGTATAAGTCTTTCATTCCTGTGCATAGCTTCCGGTTGTAGATTGTAGGTCACAATTTACAGAGCTGGGATTTAAGGATAGGAAACCCATAGAAACGATTCTTCCCCTCCCGCCCCACACCGCTTTTTCTCGATAGGGTATCCATTGCTCTCTTTGGTGGCAAAAATCGACGAGCTGTCAGGGGGACTGAGATTTGGGTATTTCCCCCTTCACCCCGCCATGCATGGCTGTTTTTAAACCATGGGAGGGGGACGGCCACCTGTTAAAAATAAAAGAGATAAAAAGCAAACTCCCTGGGCATATGCAGGCTCCTGTCCCTATTCAACAGTTCCTTGCCTTCAGCGTATATCCCTTCCTCTTATTCTAGCAGTGGCCTAGCTAAGAAATGATGCTTCTTGAAATTCCAGTTCAAGGGTTTGCCATCAGAAGGTACTAGGTGACTTTCTCAGGGGAGAAAACGTGTGGCAAAGAGGTACAGCTCTTTTTACGGAGTTCTCCCATTCATATAAGTGTGCTTGCCTGCAGCAGCTGTGCTTTGGTGTGGGAAAGGGGACGCACTCAGTGGCTAAGCAGAGCTTAATATTTTGGAGAGAAGGATGGGAGGGAATCCAGGTTCAGGTTTATTCCGGCCTCGCCTTGTGCTGCAAGAATGCATCTTCCTTTGAGGATGCGGTTCTCAGGAGGTGATTTCCGCTAGTGTGAGTCTTTTGTGTGTGCGTGTTTGTGTTAGGTGGCAAGGTGTTTGGTGCAAAAGAGCCCTCCTGTGGAGGAAAGTGGAATTTCCCACAGCTGGAAAATGTGCGAATGGGCCCCAGGCTCACTTGGTGTTGGGCTGCCAGCTGGGAGGGAAGGGTAGCGCAGATGTGCAGTTGGGGGCCTACAGGAATAATTAACCGCTTTCTCCTCTCTAAAGCCACTTCTCAATTTTGAGGCTTTTATGATGAGGCGTTTTCATATTGAAACTCTGATCAGCAATGGGTTTTCATTTTTTGGATTTCCTTCTTACGTCAGCGAAACTTGAGAGTTGAGGGTGTGTTGGGGCAGGAAACGGCTACAGGGGAAGAAGCAGAAATGCAAGTAGGTCCACTGGAAAGAGGGTTTGTTTTGAATGATGAAAGAATTATATTGGAACCCTAAACTCTGTTGAGAAATGAGGATGAACATTTTGCACGTTGCGTGTGCCCAGACCTCTTAGCCCACTTTTACTACTGAGCAGGGAACACACGGGCCTGTTTGCTGGGAATGAAAATTCCAGGTGGCAAACCCTGGTTGGTAGGTTCTGGGCATACCTGCTGAACTTCCCCCAGGTCATAATCCCCCTGGAGGGCACAGCCCTGTGTGTGCTTAGGCAGGGAAAGGGTCCTCCTCCTCCCAGCAGGCCCTGGCCAGCCATGCTGAGAGAAGTAGGTCGTCGTCTCCCTAAGCCTGCATATGGTTTTCTAGTCCTGCTTGTCCCCATTCAGCCACGAAGCTCCACTGGTGACGTTGGGCCAGTTACTCACTCTCAGTCTAACCTTCCTCACAGAGTTGTCGTTGCGAGGATAAAATGGAGCAAGGTAGGCCACATTGGGTGGGTTTCTCATAAGAGGAGAAAAGGTGGGGCATAAATGCAGGGTAATAACGACCCCCCCATCTGTTCCCTGCATTGGAGCAAATCCCATTCATGGACCATCCTGAATTAGCTTGGCCCACTGGGAAGCAACGTAGTGGAAGTCAACTCCCACTTCCATAGCTCCTCTTCTGGAAAGAGGCTTTTGAGCCCATGAAAAGTGCCCAGCAGGGCCGTCCACCCCCTTCTGTGACCCACTTTTTTCTTCCTCCCTGTGGAGTGAGCTGCCCGGCTTCTCTTCCCAGTGGTCTGAATTGACCGCTCGCTCGCAGAGGCTTGGGAAATTAGGTACTCTGTAGCAACGCCTGTGCTTCCTGTGGAACCTACAAAGAGAAGCAACGTGCGTACAATTTGTAATTCACGTCAACGCCTTTCTTTGGGAGCCGGCTCTTTAAAAGCCCTTCCCCACGCCTTGCTGCTTCTTCTGGTGGACCTCTTTGCCCCCAGATTGGCTCTTCCCGGAGGGTTCATGGACTTTCCATGGTGGTGGTGCTGATAAAAGCTGCTCTTTCTCCATCTGCCTGCAACCAAATCACAGTTCCTTCTCTTGGGGATCAAAATGTTTTAATAATGTTTAAAACATTATTAAAAATGTTTTTAATAAATAAAAATGTTTAAAAATGTTAAATAAATAAATAAAATGGATGTGGTGATCGCAGTTGCCCCGAAGTGAACCCTTTCAGATGAATGGAAGGGTGCGCCATCAGTGAGACGGCACTGGTTTTTTTCAAGGGGGTCTTGGGAAAGAGTTGTTCCCAGATGCTGTGTCCTCTGGGAAGTGTATGAAATCACATCATGTGCCATGGTGGAGATGAGGGCCACGGTTTTCCAATGGAGTTCTGAGGTGTCCCTGGGTTCTTCAATTTGACCTAACCCTGAACTTCCTTGAAGAACATCTTGTCTGTGGATGGCAGGCCCCACCTCCTGTGCCACGCAGCCAAAAGTAAAAGTTGGCGCTGCCCTCAGGCCCACTTGGATTCATGGGCTACTGCGGAACCCGCAGCTCTGGCGAGTGCCATGCGCTCTCTGTGTGTGTTTGCCCTCAAGCAGCCTTTCCCAGCTTGGTGCTCCTGGGTGCATTGATGCAGAACTTCCATCACCCAAGCCAGCACGGCTGACAAAGATCGAAGTTGCGTTTCAGCACATTGGGAAGGTGCCAGTTTGTGGAAGACCACCTGAGAACGTGTCCCAGGGTCTTTGGCATCCACTCACGTGCCTCATTGAGTGATGTGATGTTGAAAGGGTGCCTCGAAGGAAGAAACGTTTAAGAAACCAGCTCATAAGCTCTTTGTGAGTCTGGATGATGGCTGCCCTGGCTCCAAACGCTGGGCACAGATCAAACTCAGAATCTTCCTAAATAAATCTTTTAAAGAAATGAACATATAAAAAGAGTAGATCCTTCAGAATTGATGTCTAGCCATTGACAATAGCAAATACGGGACTGGCTAAAATATCCCTCCATGTGAGATTAGGTATCTCCGTGAATCCCACCATCAGCTGCTTTTCTTAAAGGCGTAGTGGCTAATTTCAGCGATCTCATGCTGAAGGGTTCCTCTTCACCATCCCAGTTTACAAAAGCCGGCTTTAAAGGAGTTGTGTTTTACAATGCAGAGAGTGGAGGATGCTTTTTATACATTGGTGCGAGAGATCCGTCAGTACAGATTGAGAAAAATCAGCACAGAAGAAAAGACTCCCGGGTGCGTGAAAATTAAAAAATGCCTTTTAATGTAACAGGGTAAGTTTGTTTTTGTTTAAGAAAAAAAGTGTTTGCTGGAAAATCTGATCACCCATACGAATCAAATATAACTTGTACTTCTCTGTGGTGATTCCACTAATTTCACAGTGTTTGTAAGTATGAATTGATGTGTTTTATGGCCAGCATCCTCCTTTTAAGAACGTACAGGTGTTGCTGTGGTCACTGTAGTGACTAACATTGACTGGCTTGGGATAACATAACCCATATTCACATGTTGAGTATGGATCTTATTGCACCATGGGTTATGGCCTTATCTGAACCCCGAGACCCTCACAAGCCATAGTTTGTTTAACTATGAGCAGCTCATGAGGAGACGCAGTGGTTCTGAACTGTGGGTTGTTCACCATGGTTTATCTCCATTGGATTGAGACCACATGATAACCCATGGTTCAAGAACAACCCACATGCAAACTGCACTTCTCTGAGTATGGATGATTGTGTTGTCTGAACTCGGACATCGCACCTTGTTGGGAGTCCTGTCCTATTGTTTTCTGCAAGAAAATTTCATGAAAATTTGTTAAGTCAAGACGCCAAGATTCTGTGGCAGCTGACTGACATGGCTGCTCTCCAGAACAGCTAAGGATCTTGCCACATCTTAAAGACTAGAACATTCATGATGCCATAACCTTTCCTGGAGTAGAATCTCCTTCATTGGATGCAATCGACTAGTTCACGAGTGCTTATCCTGTGCCCAGAGCATCAGGCCCCGAGGTGCTGCAAGACACCTTGGAGTTTTTCTGCACAAACTCCTGCAGCCATGCGTGTGGAATTTTTTGCTTCTAGAGCTGGCACTCCATAAAATATGGGCTACGTGTCCAGATTTAAACCTCGTTCAGCAATATGGTTGGTTGTGCTTCCACTGCAAGCTAGAGAGAAGTCCATGCCTGCTGCACTTCCCCTGTTCAAACCTTCTTTCCCCTTCCAAATGCAGCGGCACTCAGTAACCAGCATCTGTTAATGCGGAGCAGCAGTGCCAGCCTTGGTGTTTCTGACCGAGTGCTTGGAAAACGATTTAAAGGCCTTCTCCCAGAGCCGTTTCCCAGAAGGATGCAATTCCTTTGATACTTGGTTCCTTAACAGTTGAGGATGACTCAGTAGTTCCACGCATCAGCAGTTTCCATGCGCTTTGCTTTTGGACACACAAAATTTCATTCCGCCGTGGTTCTTTCCCACACAGGCTTTTCCATTAGATTTGGCAACCATCAAGGGATGAGCAGCAGTGCAAGACTTGGGGCTTAAGCCTGGCCACAGAATGTTAGGGTTCCAATCTAGGCTTGGGTTTGGGCAAGACTTCAGGCTGCACCCAACTGATCCTTCTCTGTTCTCTGCTTAAAGGTAAAGGTTTCCCCTTGACATTAAAGTCCAGTCATGCCTGACTCCAGGGGGCGGTGCTCACCTCCGTTTCCTGGCCGAGGGAGCCAGCGCTTGTCCGCAGACAGTCTCCGTGGCCATGTGGCCGGCATGACTGGACACCGAAGTGCACGGAACGCTTAGTGGCATACAGAAAGAAGCAAGTGGAGTTATGCGGTTAATGGGTTACTGAGCCATGGGCTGTAATGACCTCAGTGTCATCCCTGCTAATTCTGGAAAAAGTTAATTTATTGAGGATTCAAGCCACAAATAAGTTTCAATTCTGTCATAGTACAATGTAATGTATGCCCCCACCCAGCACCCAAGAATGCAAAGCGGGCGTGTGTTTGTTTTAGCCGACTGCACATAGAAGGATATTTCCAATCTAAAGTAATGCGATCGGATGATTCATGGTTGGCATACGTCACGGGTAAAATATGTTAATGGCACCTAGATAGATGCTCCCACAAAGGAAAAAGATTGGACAGCCGTATGTTGGGGATTACATGAGTGGAGCCAGCTGGAGCCGAGAGCAGACTAGATGGCCCAGGAGGCCCCTCCTGACTCACTTTGTTTCTGTGTTTCTCAACGAATCCACTCCAGAAGATGAGATCCCAATCACGCCAGTCCTGGTGTGCAGCCCTTTACTCTTCAACAACATCAGGTGGGGAAATTGCAGCCCCAGCCAGTGCCAGTGAAACGGCTTTCTCTACTTTTCCCTCCCATACACGTATCTCTGGCAGTCAGGGGCAGGGATGCTAACCAGTTTCCTTTGAAAGTGGAGCATAGTAAGCAAAGGCAGGGACAGTGAAAAGCAGACAGGTGCCACTGCATGCCTCTTCTCCCCCAAAGCAGCTGAATAGAAACGTTTCGCAAGTGCATACGTGAGTCCCAGTTTAATCAGCTTTGCGGCCACCCTGGTAGAGCAAAGACCTGATAGCTTGCAGGAACTGAATTAACAATGCAAGCCAAGCCTGCCTTTCAGTATATGGTGTATTTTGCTCATGATGTACATCACGTGAACCCCCAAATATTTGTCATCTGAGGTCTGCTTACTCACCAGGAAGTACGCCTAGGAATACTAGACTCTGCATTCACTTTCTTGGGAGTAAATCCCTTTGGAGTCACTGAGACTTTAAGTTTGGGTAGACACGGCATGGGTTTGCCCTGCAAGTCGGCCGTTGTTTTGCTTCCTTGCATATTTTGTAGCAAGCACCGAACTTGGTGCAGCTTGCTGCTGAATAGACTGGCACAGGGTTATGCCAGGCGGACCACTAGAATTTCTTGCCTGCAAGGGCAGCCCGGGCAGGGAGTTTAGCAACAGTGGCCCATTCACAAGGCTGCAGGGCTCTCCTTCGTGCTCTTATCTGGACAGCCGTGTTCTGAAAAACTGAAGAACGGAGCAAATACTTCGGGATGGATTGATCCTTAGAGTGTGGAAGGAAATAGTTTGGGTTAGCACATTTCTTGAGATGGTAAGCTGGTGTGTGGGGGAAGGCCATGAAGAACAAACAGATGGCATCTTGGAATCTTGTTCCTCGCTGTAGTCAGGGCTGTGGATTCCGTGAGAGTTTCCCAGTGGTGACTTTTGGTTGGCTAGTTGGTTGTGGATTAATGGAGTAGAGAAAAGGGCGTTCCTTGCCCTTTCGTGATCTCTCTTTGCAGATGTAGTTAATGGAAAAATCTTGTTGGCAGAGTTACTTTGCTAGATTAGAAAACCAGTAAGACTGGGTTTTTGCTTCTAGCGTTAAGTTGGGGGTGCAGGTATGAAGCAAGACAGAAAGCGGGAGAATAGCTCCACATGATAAAGCTGATGTGTCTTGAAATATTTCCTTCTGTGGGTGCTACAAAATTTCATTCTAACACACAGTTTGTAACAACCTAATTTTCATTTTGCATGTAAAGTTCCTATCAGCAATAAACCCTAACTATTAAAATAGGAATGCTGGATGCAACCATGAAAATTAACTTTTACAATGTTGTGTGTTCATATGTTTGAGCATGCTCAATATTTGAATATTTCCAAATATTAATATTTTCTAGTGAAATTGTTCTTGCAGCACTGAGGAGGGAAATCTGCAAAATGCACTGGGTTATTGAAACTTTTCTGCCACTTGAGAAACATGGTCTTTGTGTTTTGGGGTGCAATTGAAACCTTTCCCACTCACTGATACTTTTTCTTGCCCCTTACTTACAAGACACTAATTAGGAGGATGAATTAGGATACGGTTAATTGCATAGCAATGCCCTAACTCCATTGCCAAAGCTTAAGTTGGATAGTCTTTACTATAATTTCCAGCTTTACAAATTTATCTCCCTTCATCTGGTTAAAAGCAAGATCAAAATTAGACTTGATGCTGTTTTCTTAAGGAATTGCTAGACCAGGGGAATGAATTTCTCCTTTGCCTATTTATTTAATGTTTTTAAAAATGCTTTTGCCTAGAAAAAAGAAAAACAACATAGCAATTATGCCCAATTTGAAAGCATCCTTGATGCCACCTTGTTGTGCTGTCTTGTGCGTGTGCAGTGTGGCATCTGTGCATGCTAGCAGAATCCATTCATGGGACCAAAGGCCTTCCATCGTCTGGGATGAAACAATTCCAAGGTGGTAAAGCTTATTTTTGGTGGTGGCCATATGGTTGACCAGAATACCTGAAATACCACCTTCTCCCATATGTACCTACCTGCTCCTTAAGCTCTGTGTCAGAGGCCCCAAAACGTGAGGGGAATGACTCACTCCTTCTGAATGAGGGAACAGAAGGAGGGCCTTCTTGGTGGTTGCCCCTCACTTCTGGAATGGGGTCTTCCAAGAAGTTTGCCTGGTGCCCTCATTATTTGCATTTCAGCACCAGGCAAGGACTGTTCCATTTCCTAAGTATTTTAATATTGTTTACTTTTTATATTTTTCCTTTGGCATAATTTTATGAATTTTTATAATTTTTACAACTGTCATACCTATGCTTATTTTTACATTTTATGAAATCTTCTGATTTATTGTTGATTTTAATGGAATGTGCACCACTCAGAGAGTCCTAAATTGGGCTATAGGTTGTGGAATATAAGTTTAATTAATACATACATACCCAAAAGACTAATATATTGCTGCAGAAATGTACTTTCAATAGGGAGGTGGCTGACTGTTACAGAATATCTGAGAGCAGGCAAGAGACAACATGGGCTTGAGACCTTCTATATAGACAGAGTATAAATGTTTTTAATCAATTAAATGTCTGTTGGACAAGCTAATAGTATGAGCTCAAAAAACATTTTGGGTAGCAAATAAAATAATATCCATAAGCAAAATCTGGGGAAAACTTCCTAAGAGAATGTTCCATATAGTTTGCACTGGCATTGTGCATATGTGTACTTTGCCCCCTAACTATTTGAATGTATCATGGATTCTTGAGTCTCTTAGTCCCAAATTATGGGAGGTATAACCTCAGACTCTCAAAAGATGCAAACAAGTTTGTGATCTTTCCAAACCTGCATTCTGACTGAACAACTGCCTTGGCCCTGTGCAAGAAGAAAAGGGATATAAATGTAATAGTTACAATAAGACAACGATGATGATGGCGGCGGCGGTGGCAGGGGCGGTGGCCCACAGGGGCAGGAAATTATGCTTTTGACAGCTTAGCCTAAAGTGGGAAGGGCCACTGGCTATTTAAATCTCCAGAGGGAAACAGGCCCACAGGGCAGGACCTTGTTCCCTAGACATTCTCTGTAAAATGAACTTTTTAGGTTTTTCCAGAAAATGCATGTAATGAGACCATATAGTAATTCCTATGTCAAAAGTGTGGGTGCGACTAACAGGATCGCCATGGTTAACGTTCCCAGACCTAATACAGGTTGGTTGTCTTATCAGGGAACTGCACAATGGTTAGTTAACCTAATTGGGGCGGTGACAGGGGGCTGGGGGGGGGGATGCCACCTATTTTGTTGTCCCCCATGATAAATAAAGGTGCGACATTTCTTTGCAGGGTGTTGACGATGCCTTCTACACATTAGTTCGGGAAATCCGAAAGCACAAAGAGAAGATGAGCAAAGATGGCAAAAAGAAGAAAAAGAAGTCAAAAACAAAGTGTATAGTTATGTAAATGCAATTTTCCCTTTATCGTTAAGGTTATGTCAGTAAACATGATTAATTTTTGTACCATTACACTAAATTATTAGCACACATGTTTTAAGCGTTACTTTAACATCTGCTCTCTGAACCTGTCAGCCTTCTTTTCTGGATGTTTGCTTTATATGACAGTGGAAACTATTTCTCTTAAGTGCCAGTAATCTTTGAGTGTTGGTTCTCAGACCTAGCAATGCCTGTGAAAAACAGAAACACCTGAAAACCTTTTCTTCAGGATGTATTTTGGTGCATGCAGAACTGGCTAATGTCTTCTGTTTTTGTTTTCGTTGAGAATTGTGGCTGTCCTCTGTAGGACCTTCCCGCAAGATGCTGCCACCTGGACCATTCATCCCCTTTGGTGGAATAGCGATTCCACTGCAGCAGCAGATTTCTTCTTTTTGGCAATGCATAAGTACATACATTCCTTCCATCACAAGCAGGAGCGGGGAAACGGAGGGCTTGATGCTTAGGATGGAACTTCCCTGCCAGGACAGAGATATCTGATCTGCGTTTGGAGGAAAATTAGTCACATGGAGGTTGTGGAAGAGAGATAGTGGAGATCTTGTGTTACTTTTGGCATCCCCCAGAAGTCCAGAATTCATGAGAACCCTGTGACCTGCAGGATCAGGACATCTGGGAGCCAAGTGTGGACCAAACTGAGGGAGGGGCGATGGCAGGGAATAGACTTGGACGGCAGAGCTGAGAAGCAGCACGCCGTTCTTCAGGACTGTGGGGGACCCGCTGCAGATCAGGCGAAGGGCACAGCAAGAATGGGGCACAGTTGGGTGTGTTAGTTACACCCAACAGTTAGGACACAGTTGGGGGTGACATGTCTCTGGCCCCACAAAGCCTACAGCTGTGTGTTTGCGTAAAGTTGAACACCGTGTGTCTGCTCAACTTCTGCTCACCTTCTTCACAACATGGTCCAGTGAAGGCTGACTTAGCTTGGAGATCTTGGCTTTGGACACCCTTGTTTTGGTTCGGACAAATGCAATATTGAAATCCCCAAAGCATTTTCTTCCTTCTTCTTTTGCCCTCGTATAGTTTCTGCTCTTGGGCACCTTTTTTGGTAGCATTTCCAAACAACTCGAATGAATGTTTTTAAAAAAATAATCACAGACTTTTCACAGGCAGGCATTTTTCCCCATTGCAGTTTGCCCCAGGTCGTAACTAGTAACTATTTTTTCTATTAAAAATGAAAATGTATTTTAAAAAAAGAGAAGAGAAATCAAACTTTCTAATTGGATTATTTTGTTATAATGAATTGCTGACTGCTCTCATGTGAATGTTTGCAAGGGAGGCCAGAGGTGGGAGAAGGCCATAACCCAATTAGGAGCAAGGTTTCTGTGCGGACCCAACTGGGAGAAGTTGGTGTTGCACTGGAGCGTGTTCCTTTTATGCAGGTCGATTCATTTCAATGGGATATGCAAGGGAGAGGGATTTCTGTGGATCGTGCCCTTTGTTTTTCTTTAATGCTAGGCAGGTTTAACAGCCCAGTACAAAAACGGTCATTCCTGTAGGGATAAAAAATTCTCCTTGTCTCATCATTGCTACAACACTTTCCCCTTCTAGCCACATTTTTTCTTTTTGTCACCCAGTTGGTTAGGAGGGGAACATGTGTCTCTTACTCTCCTGGGTTATCCTGCCCCACACCACTGTGGAAAACAGTCGCGTGGGCAAGGCGGGGAAAGCCAGGTAAGGCCAAGCTAAACAGTGCTGTAGAACTTCAGTATAACTACCATTGAACTGCATTTATACCTTGCCTTTTTGCTTCTTACAAGGAACCCAAGGTGGCCTTACATAGCGCTCTCCCGCTCCATGTTTATCTTCACAACCACCCTGTGAGGTAGGCCAGGCCGAGAGTGAGCGGCTGGGCCAAAGTCATGCAGGGAGCTTCATGGCCAGGCGGGGACTAGAACCTGCATCTGCCGGCTGCCCAGTCCAGCATTCTCACCACAACGCCACACTAGCTTTTCTGTGCCGCTCAAAGCTCTGGCGGCTGCTTATGGTTTCCTGTAATTGCGTCTCAGTCCAGGTGGAGCTTCCCCAACTCCCAAATCCTCCATCCTCATGAAGGCCAGAACTCAGTTTTCATTTCTGTAATTCTGTGGAGAGCTGCACTTTGGCAGAGGTTTTATTTCTCAACCATTTTCATGCGTTGAGTATCGGTCATCAACATGTAATTACATGGCAAGCAGTCGAGCCCCATGTAGGTTACAATTTGGACCCAGAGATCTATGGTAAGCCAAAGTCCTCTCAAAAGCTCACATCGTTTCACAGCTTGAATTAGTCACCAGAGGCCTCTCTATAATGCACGTAAGAATGGGGCTTGCAGTGAACTTTTTTCCAAAACCTTTTCCTATCGTTAATGCTGCCACACAGGCCTGGGTTATGGAATGTGAGAGAGCCAGTGTGAAGTGAACTTAGATACGAGAAGATAGGGTGAAAGGACGCAGGTGAGCTATTGGCACCTGCAGTTTAAAAAGTCTGCACTGCAAAACTCTGAGCATAGTTTGTGTCAGTCCAGATTCTCCTCTATCTCACCTGCATCTTGGAAGCGGGAAGGTCATCTCAAGGTATCTTTTCCAGCATATGGAGATAGCAGATACCAGGTGGCGACTTTGCCACCTCAAAAGCTAGTACTTGGAAACCCAGCCCAAGGCCGCAAATTCTCACTGATGCATTCTCATGCTTCGGATTTGGCTCTGCAACATTACCTTCAAAAGTTCTGCTTTTTAAAATGATGACCTGTTTGGGAAGAAGGTTTAGTGGAAAGAGCATGTCCGCAGAATCGAGACAGGGAGAGATTCACAAAGAAGACTGCATCAAGGAATGACTCGGTCTTCGCCTTTGGCAACCTCCTTGCAATAACCTTGCAATATTTCCAACTCCTGAATTTCTCTGTTGAAGGCTTTCCCCTTCCCACCCTCTCTTCTTGAGTGCCAAATCTCTTATTAGGACTATTTCTTAAAATGCAATGTGTTTACCTAGAACGTATTTGAACTATTTTTGTATAGTATAAACTAAACATTTTTGTACATTCTGCTTTTTGATTTTCTTTGCGGCAGTACATATGCAGCGTGATCCAGGTGACTGATGTGTGTGTCTGTGTGGATGGGATCATTATATTTCCGTGTCTTCAAGGTGTTGGTCACAAATAGCAAAGCTTGAAGAATGACCACTGTTCCTTTAACCCTTTACAAATGTTTTAGCAGCAGCCTGTGCTGTGAAATGACATGAAACCTGTTACTGTCACAACCAATGCTGGCGCTGTTGCAGTGAATTAAAAGAAGTGTGTGTGTTTCTGCTGTTTTGTGTTTCCTCCAAAGTAGAAATTGGTTTGCTGCACTGCAGGTTCGGAATCCCGCAGGACGCAGTTCAAGGCTGCCTGACATTGTCCGAGATTGCCCAGGATGGTTCAGATGCTGCGATACCAGAACAAGCACACTGAACCCTAAGTCCTTGCCTGGCCCCCTTGCAGGTGGTACAGGAAGAATGGTGCCACCTACCTGTCCTGAGGTCAAGTGTGCCTCAGAGGGGAGAAAAAGGGGCACAAAGGGGTCTGAAAGAGGAGGAAGCCGGGCCAAGGAGTTCTGCCAGAACCTATGAGTATCCCAGCCTTTTTCCTTCACCCTCTCCAGGTTGGCTGAAAATGGCCATCTGGATTTGCAACCCATGTACCTTGTTTGGGGCAGCGAATGCACAGAATTCAGCAGAGGACATGTCTAGAGGACGGCTAACAGCATGGCAACTTCATAGTATTTGGAAGGAAAACTGTGAAGTCAGGTTGAAAAAAATAAGCACATCCATTTGTTCGGCTTTGCTTGGCCCAGACCATGGTGGTGTTTTAATCTGACACACAGTCTACCTGTTGTGGTGGGGATAAAATGCAGGCTGCCCTGGATTCTTCACGAGGAAAAGTGGGACATAAATGCAATACGAAAACCATACCTAACTCCATTTTTTCCATGTTGTCTTTATACTGCAGTCTTACACCAGCCTCAGTTCACTGGGAATGGCTTCCAGGTAGGCAGGTAATACAGCGTATTACAATTCACATGCCAACCAAGTACCACCTGTTTCCCACCTCCATGTCTATTTCCTTGCCCCAGGTGCATCTTTGGTCCACCTGGTTCCTTACCAGAAAAGCCTTGGCACTGGAGGGGAGGGGTGAAATTTTTAGCAAGGTTTAAAGTGGAGGTGCCTAACCTTTTTTAGCCCAAGGGCTGAATTCCATTCTGGAGATACACGCAAGAGCTACATTCGAAGGACGGAACCAAAAAGGCCTGCAGTCGATGAAAATTAAATTGGAATAAAACAGCAAATACGATTGTGGACATGTAACGGGTACTAATTCAAAGATAGCCATCACCCCACTTTCAAAGGAAGGCATGTGGGCCTTTAGCTCACCTCTCTGAGGTAGGAACTTATCATGACAGCCATGCAGGTTCACCTGGTCTTGGAGATACTTGGAAATAATCACAAAGGGAACATGCACATACTGTATATATTACACAATAGATGTTATATGTGTTTATAAAACTCTTGAGTTGGTGGAGTAGACATCTAGACCCAGGTAGCCTGCTCTTCTTCATAACTACTCTAGGATCCTCCAAAGCAGCTGAAGGGCTTTGCACAGCCCATAATGCATGGCATTTGCTGCTTCCAGATTTGGGTCAGATTCAGCTTTAGACACACCTCGTGTAGAAGACCACTATCCCCTTCCTTTTCCTCCAACTGCCCCCCACCGTGCTACATAGAATGGGGAATCTTCTGAATGCAGTTCCTGGAAATGGGGCAAAGACTCGAAGGTTCTGCTTCTCGATTTTCAGAAATTGCCCTTCCTTCTTTGCTAAAGTCCAACCCCTCTGGCAGGATGTCTCTCCTTTTGCAGATGTTTTGATGGCTTCAAAAAAGGGACATGCTTATCAGTGGCTACTGGGCTGCATCCGCTACCTTGGGCCACTCGGGAGTACGTTGGATGGGATACTGCCGGCAGGCATTGATCTTGGGCTATCCACAGCATCTAGTTGTCCCTCATCTTGCAGGGATACTGCTCTCTGATTTTTTTTTAAGTAGTTACTTTTATTCTACAGGCAAAGCTTAGCACAGTTGGATCACCCGCACCTTCAATCATTTCTCCTAGGCAAGAATTTCAGACTTGGTCTTGCACGTCATTTGCCATCGTCTTCATAGTAACGCTGCTTCAGAGCTCGGTATTTTCGGAGGAAATACAAAGCCTCCAGCTCCTTCGTGACAAACTCCCCTCGAGCAATGAGTTGTTTGATTTTTTCAGGATCTTTCTCATCCATGTTTTTTAAGAAAGCGGCTTTCAGCCGTGTGCGGAAGTAGTCCGCCCCTTTGGGGTATTCCTTTCCAAGATACAGCAGCTTCAAAACACACAAAAAAATTGAGCGTCACACATGCCTGAGAAGACAGCAAAGAGATTTGCCTGTATGTGGTCTCTCCTTAAAACTTACATTTTTGTAAAGATTCAGCACTTCATATCGTAAAGGATTTGCCATGTTCACAGTTCATGTCCACATCTGCCTTGTTCATATGTACTGTTATCTACCTGAAGAACAGCATTTTTATATTAGCAGCATAACGAGGTCTGACTAAACAGCCACCTTGTCTCCTTTTACTGATACGAACTGCTCACCTGGCATTCTTAGATTCCATCTTATTAACTAACTTGTATTTATTAACTCACTTGCTTTAATTTTGCCAGTCGGTCTCAGGCGTCAGCCACCTGCCCAATATTAGCCACTATTTCCAAGTCAGAGACTCTCCTTTGACAGGGCTTCCATTGTTGTGGGGTGGGATTTATCTTCCTGTCCATATTTTCCCATGGAGAAATGTCCATTTGACAAGTTAGATGGTTTCATCTAATGAGGGAACAAAACACTTTGATGGCTGATGCTGAAATACATGGAGCTGTGGTAATGGGCCATCTCGGAAAAACAAATTACCAAGCAGCTAAGGCAAAATTGAAACAGCTGAGTTTTATACACTACGGCATCATTTCATTTTGTATTAAAACACGGGCATATGCAGCAGTAGCTACCAAAACCCTTCCTAGATTGCTAAAAAACAAAGAGAGCAAGTCCATATGACAATGGAACAAATTACCTGGGAAGGTTTTGGGGTCTCTCACATTAGAGGCATCCAAGATACAATTGGACAGCCATTTGACAAGGATGCTTTAACTTGGGACTCCTGCACTGAGGAGGGAGCTGGACCTGTTGGTCTTCAGGCCCCTTTCAACTCTATAATTCTATGATTAGACAGGAAAAAAGTCCCACAACATCCTGCAGAGCGGCCTGGGCACCGCAGGACTTTTTCCCCCTGTAGAAACGTGCATAGGATTGCACCTTTAGAAATTCGGACGATTCTTCCACCAAAGGGATACTCTTGGCTCAGTCTTTTTCCTAGAAAAGGGAATTACAACATGGCTGGCTGGGAGTCGCAGGGCTTTTTCTTTCTTTTTTGGTCTGGGGATGCATCAAATCGCGCCCTTAATTCCTCTAAATCATGCCGAGAACTTTGGGGGCAGGATGCCCTATAAACTCTACGCAAAAGTTAATAAATAAGCAAGCCAAGTCCCCGCTCCCCCACCCACAAGTCTTTTAGGAACAGGAACGCTTTTGCTTTCCCTTCCCACTCTTTGCCCTCCCAGCCTGTTAGACGACAGCCCCCAGCATCCTCAGCCGGGCTGGCACTGGGGATTGTAGTCCCCCGCACGGGGGAGGCTGTCCAAGAGGGAGAGACCTGCCCAACGCCCGCCCTTCTCTCCCATTTACTCTCGTCTCCACCAAGGACAACAGAAAACGACCCAGAGAAGGGATCGGGAGACCCGCTGCAACTCCACATCCCCCCTCTCTGCCCCAGACCACCAGGGCTGAACCAGCCCCCGATGCAGGCGCCGGGGGCGGGCAAGAGGCTCCGTACCTCCGCAGTCCATGACCTGCCAGCAACCTCCCAGCGCGCCCATCAGCTGTTTGGAGAAGGGAAAGAGCACTGCGGCTGCGCAGCAAGAGATGGGCGGGGGGCGAGCGAGCGAGCGCTCCATAGGCCCTTACTGCGTCTGCGCAGGATTGCCTCCACAAGAGCAAGGCGGTAGAGATAGAAAAGTGTAGGGGCGCGTGCGCCGCTGACCTTTAGTCTTATTTCTTGTTCGGGTTCTCTCTGCGCGCGAGTTGATGACTCGGAAGGAGTCCCATTGTGTTCAGTGGGGAATAGTATCCTAATAAGAGTGCAGCTTTATAGTCCTGTAAGTGTCTGCTCCGATGTAAGGTCCATTGGGTTAAAAGGGCTTTACTGCAAGGAATGTGCGTATCGTTGAACCATGTTAAGGTTGATAGGTCTTTTCCTCGTCTGAATGTGCCTCGCACTGTCCCCTTCGAGCTCCTTAGAGTTTGCTCCCAGCCAAGTAGGTTCAGAACTACCTTATAGCTGTCTACTCAGAAGTAAGTCCTGCAGCGTGTAACGAACTGACTTCCAAGTAAGTGGATGCAGTAGCACATCTTTCGAGAGGTTAGATCGCGACTGCCAGGTGACTGCAAGCAAGTCGCTGGAATTGAGTCGGCTCCGTGCAGAGGGAATATTGGACTACATCGCAGGGCTGTCCTTCTGGGAACATCCTTCCCCTTTCAAAGGGGCAGAGTTTCAGCCTCGCACCTTCCTTTTGCATTATGAAGATAATAATACGGGGCACTTCATTTATTCACGTTCGTAAGAGGACGATTTCTAGGAGGAATTATAAAACATCTCAGCGAAAAAAGCAGAAATGCCCCTCTTGGCTTGTCCATGCTGAGGAGGGGTTCTAGCAAAAAGGATGCAACGCTGCAAGGACAGAAGTCTCGGTTATCTCCATATTCAGCGTATCTAACCTTCCAAGTACGTAATCTATGGATATTTAAACGATTAAAAAAGGCCTACAAATCCCAGCATTCTCCAAGTAGTCTTGCTTGCTAGGGAATGTTGGGAGTTGAAGTTTAGAATGCCGTCTAAAATCCATAGCCTTTCACCCATAATGGAAAGAGATCTAAGCCTTCTGACACAACTAGGAAATGTCTTTTGCGGACGAAAGAATGTATTATAATCTCCATAATAAATCTCTCTTTTGTTTAAACCTAGCCTATAAACTCAGAACCGATTTGCTGCGGGCTACCCGTATAGCACAATGCGCCTGCGCACAGTCTCACGTAAACGTGCAAAAGTCGGCAAGCGCTTGAAATCATAGAGATAAGGATGAAATCACGGGCTCCAGCAGCGTTGTTACTTTCGGGTCCCATGGAATAGAGCTCCACCTGCGGGGATTCAGTGGGAAGAAGGTCGTTCTTTACCCACCCCTCCCCACGCCCTCCAAAATCTTTGGGCTACCCTGTCGTATTTCTTTATGTGGGCTGCCCATGTATGGCACCTTATTAGGACCAGCAAAAATGCCTCAATAGAATGTTCTCCAGGACTAAATGGTTCAAAAATGGAAAAGAGGCGGCAGGAGGAAGAACCAGCAAACTGCAAAACTTGGCAAGGTCTTGTAACTACGAGGTCTTAAGCTTGGCTAGATAACTTACACTCTAAATGAAATAGAGTGAAATACAATTGTGCAATTCACATAAAAATGTATAATATATAATAACATGTATAATTGTCATTTGAATTTTGTAGGGCTTTTTTTGGTTTCCTTCCTAGGGAAGAAAATTAGCTTAAAAATCTCATTAAATATTGACGTGTTTCATTTGGAAACCAGAAGTCTATCACTCCACTCGCTGCCCTTCCTCCAGAAAGCGAAAGAAGTCTAGACCCTGTAGGGGCGGGACAGATCGGGTGGGGCGTGGCCGTGGGCGGGGCTCGTTGCCTGGATACCAAGGGGCGGGATCCGTAAACAGCTTTCCGCGGAGAGGAACTGAAGAAGGTGGCGAGATGGTGAGACACGTTGTTTCTGCCTCGTTGCCCCCATTACCCCTCTCCGAAAAGAGCAGAAAGGGGTGGAGTTTATTAGCAAAAAATCTGCATATGCAAACTACCCATATTGCTAGCTGGCTTCATTCTCATTTACTGTTGTTCCAAAGGGCTTGCAATGGGCAATTTATTTGGAGCATTTCATGTTATATGACGTGCATAAACATGCATATCTTAAATTCTAAGCCTTTAAAATCAAGTACGGCTTTTATATTGGAAATAGGTGCATTTTATGCGAAGTGCTTAAGGGTACATATTCTAAATTGTAATTTAATTTGGGGGACAATGTTATCCCTGTTTAGACAAGAAAGATATCCTGCAGTCCTACTGTGCCCTGGCCAGCGATGTTGTCTGAACAGTCATCGGATTGCACATTATTTATTTATTCTATTTATATCCTGCCTTTTTTTCCTTCCAAGGAACTCAAGGTTTCCTAAATAATTTCTCTCTCAAACTTATCCTCACAACAACAACCCTGTGAGGTAGGTTGGGCTGAGGTTTTGAACCTAGGGCTCTCCAGCCTACGTCTAAGTCTGTAACCTCTGTGCATTTTGGGTTGCTGATGTTCATTAGGCGCAGAGTTGGGGGCTGCCTGGTAGAATCCAGCTGCAGAAGGCTCTTAGCAGGAGCCCGAGAGGGGTGGATGATTATGGCGCCTGTAAGCACCAGAGCAAAAGGAGAAACCTGCCTGTTCTCTTTGACTGGTCCCTTTTCTTAAGGGACGGGGAACTTGGGACAAACCAGATGTAGTTGGACTTGAAGTCCCATCCAGCAGGCAGGAGTGCAGCAGGTGCAGGCAGGAGTCCAACAACATCTTGACAGCCACAACTTTACCCAGAGACTTGAGACAGCAAATCCCTGCGGTCAGGGAGGCATCTGCACCCACCTCCAACCCACTGGGGGCGGCACCCTGCTGTGATGTGAGGCAATTTTGTGGGGCGTCTCGTTCTGGGGTGCATGTGCCTAGTTTTCAAGCAGAATCAGCCCTTGGGGATCCCACCGATTGCTGCGTCTGGCATGGGCAAGCCGAGCGTGCACCAACACACCCCTGGAGACCTTCCCTCTTGCCCACGGCGGTGCTTTAGCTTTTCCACTGCTCTGATGCTGGCGCTGTTGCTTTTTAAAGAAACCTCACTTTGGGTTTTTGGCAGCCACTGAGATCGCTTCAAAGCAAGTGAGCCCATGCTTCTAAGCCGCAGGTGGGTGGGTGGGTGAGAAAGAAAGAGAAAGAAAGAAAAAGGAGGAGGAGGAGGAAGGTATCTTATGGGTGATGCGCCTGACGGAGAGAGAAGAGCCCATGGGAGAATGTGCCGGCTGGCCTGCTGGGGTTGTGGGCAGAGAGGAAAAGAGTTTGTTGCCTGTGAAATTGGCCTGTGTTGGCACTGAAAATGGTAGATTCAAAACCGTTGGTTAGTGTGTTGAGGCTCACACCCCACCTCTGCCTTGTGCACCATTGTTTGGGCGGGTTGCTTGTTCTTGGTGGTTAGCCATGCCTCCCATGGCAGCCATTTTGTGGTGGTGCCCGGGAGAGTTTCTCACATTCCCAACTGTACTTGCAGACCTAAAGTTTTGCCTACCCTTGCTTGGAAAAAATACACTTCTGAAGTATCACTTCTCACTCATCCAGCAGTCAGTGCCATTCCTTAAGCATCCGTGTTGCTGCATTAGGAATATGACAAAATATTTTTGCATATCAGGAGCTCAGCTTATTGCAAAGGGTCCTTTTTCTGTATTCTGAAATTGTTAGGACTGGTAGCAAAAGATGATGCTTTTGTATTCCAAAGTTTTAGAAAGCAATTTTTCTTCAAGGCTTAAGGCAGAAGGATGCAACCTCCCCCCCGCCCCCCGCCCCAGATGTTTTAGCCTACAATTTCAGGCATCCTAGCCAGCATAGCCAATAGTAAAGGTGTGGATCAGAACATCTGGAGGAGAAGTTTAGTTTTAAAAATCCAGACGCTTGACCTTTATGTTCCCCACCCTTGATAATTTAATGATAACCAATGCACTTTTCTGACCTCTTCTGTTCTTTTTTCCTTTCAACATTTAGGGTCCAAAAAAGAAAAAGGTAGGTAAGGATGGTGGGTCAGTAGATAGACAAGTGGATCAGCTGTAGAGTTTTCATGGCTACTGCACTCTAGTCCAAAGGCTAACAAGTGTCATTCATATTTTACTTGAATTTGCAATCTGCTTTTCTGTAAGGAGTAACATGAAAAGCAGTTTAAACATCAGTGAGCAATATATTGCAGTCCGAGAACCATTCAGGGAAATGTTATGGATATTATTGTTAAGGTGGGATTTTGTCCGGATGTAGACACAGGTTTACCCTGCGCAAGTTTGTGGATGCTTGGCTCCAATCAGCCTGTCCTTGACTTGGCCTAAAATCTATATTTCATCTCCATTTGGTGAGGGTAGATTCATTTCTGCCCGTTCTAAACACATTCCAACAATCAAAATCATGCCAGGACACCTCGATTTTCTAAACCTAACCCTACTCTGGTGCACAGCCCTGACCCTAATACTGGGCAAAAGTTCCATTAAAAAGGGCACGATTTTGAAAAGCCTTCCTTGAGAAGCTTTTTCTGCACAGCTCGTCATTTATGCCCATTCTAAGCACATTCCAACCATCAAAATCATGCCAGGACACCTCGTTTTTCTAAACCTAACCCCACCCTGGTGCACACCCCTAACCCTAATATAGGTCCAAAACACCATTAAAAAGAGGGCAATTTTGAAAAAGCCTTCCTTGAGTAGCCTTTTCTGCACAACTCATAATTTCTGCCCATTCTAAGCACATTTCAACCATCAAAATCATGCCAGGACACCACGTTTTTCTAAATCTAACCCTAACCTGGTGCACACCCCTAACCTTAATACAGGGCAAAAGTTCCATTAAAAAGGGCACAATTTTGAAAAGCTTTCCTTGAGAAGCTTTTTCTGCACAGCTCATCATTTCTACCCACTCTAAACACTACAACCATTGAAATCATTCTGGGACCTCTCATTTTTCTATCCCTAACCCTACCCTGGTGCACACCCCTAACCCTAATATAGGGTAAAAGTTCCATTGAAAATAATGTGATTTTGAAAAAGCCTTCCTTGAGTAGCTTTTTCTGCACAGCTCATCATTTGTGCCCATTCTAAACACATCCCAACCATCAGAATCATGGCAGGACACCTCATTTTTCTAACTCTAACCCAGTGATAGTGAACCTTTTAGAGACCAAGTGCCTGAACTGCAACCCAAAACCCACTTATTTATCGCAAAGTGCCAACACTGCAATAAAACTGAAAACAGCCAGTCGAAGCAAATGTATTTATATATATCCTTGCCAGCGCACTGACTGGCCATGCAAAACCTCGGGCAAGTCATGGCTAATGATTCACGGCACGTGACATCATCGTTCAGCACTGCTGCTCCTTTCCGAGCATGCGCATGGCCCCATGTGCGCTGTTATCCGGTGCTCGGCTGCTGGGGTGATGCTGGGGCGACTTGGCTCGTGTGCCGACAGAGAGGGCTCTGCATGCCCGCTGCGGCATGTGTGCCATAGGTTCCCCACCACTGGCCTAGCCTATTTGGGTAATGCAAGAATGCTCAGAAGCTCTTTCTAGGGGATTTACGGTGCTTGCTTCTCTTACATGTGCCCCTCCATCCCAGTCCCCTGCCTCAGTCCTTCCTTCCCATGCCTAAAGTTCCCGGTGCTCTCGGAGTGAAATGGGCGGTGGCCGTATAAGCATGCTCCTCGCTCTGTGCCACACCTCCCGTTTCTGTTTTCACATGGAGCAAGGCTTTCCAGGTGTGTCCGCAGGCTCTGGCCCATGGACAGGTGTAGGTGTGGCTGCAGGTTTGGGCAGAGGTGGGCGCAGGGTGCAGAGGTGGCAGGATTTTGCAGGTGGCCACAGTCCTATGCTGTGGCCGGATCTGAGATGCTGTTTTAATTTCCCTTCCGAAAGGGGCTGCTTTGGGAGCACTGTGGGAGAGTAAAAGAGCAGCTCAGACCCTGGGACAAATCCTGCCAGCTTGATGGTGGCCCTGTGGCCCTGGTAACACTGGGACTGAATGACAGAATAGAGAGTGGGATGTTCGGTGGCAGATGGGTTACTTTGTATGGAGGAGCAGAGGAAGCACAGTGCTTCTTGGCTTGCTTCTCCGAGCAGAGCATTACATCTCCTTCCTCATTTTTCCGCACGAAAAATACCAGCTTGGAGGACAGGAATTTAGAAGCAGGGCTGGTTCAGATGTTACCCAAAGCCAGAAGAATGGCCTTGGGGTTCCTTGGTGCCATCACAGAGTGAGTGACTTGGACATTGTGGTGACTCAATGTGATGGTTCTTTTTTTGCTGGGGTTGCTTCAGTGAGATACGGGTTCCTTGAGGCAGGAGGCGGTCAAGAAATGGGCCCTGGTGTGTATTGAGAAAGGTCATTTCCGTGTTGTATCGAGTGAGCAAGGGAGGAAGAGGAGCCTCAGCTTGGAAGCTTGGTGCTTCCCAGATTGTAGGAAGGGGGTAACTCCTTCGGGACTCTTGATCCTTGGCAGCTTTTCTTCTGAGCTTTATAGGAGCTCCATGGAGGTAAACCTATTTGAGGGATGGTCTTGAGCACCAGAGATAGCTCCTGTAAAGCTGAAAAGAGAAGCTGCAACGGATCAGTACCAAACTGATATCATAGGCCCTAGTCTTCTGTCATATTTACAATTCCCCACAGAAGGCTATAACTCAGAGCACATTTTGTTGCTTTTTTAAAAAACGTACAGCCGTTCAGCATATGAGTGCTCAAATCAGTGCTGACAAGATTCAACTCTAAGATGGTACCCTGTTGAAAAAGACAAGAGTACCAAAGCAATAAATACTGGGATTAATTACCTACGTTGGTTGTGTGCTCTCCACAGTGGAGACATTCAGGATGCAACTGGACAGCCATCTGAGAGGGATGGCTTGACTGGGAGTCCCGCAATGAGCAGAGGGTCTGGCCCAGTGATTCCCTGGCCCAATCCAACTCTGCTTTTCTGTGATTTTATGAAACACACTGTTTGTTTGTTTGTTTGTTTTTTAAAAATAATCATAGCTGCCATTTTTGTTCTTCCTTCCATATTGCACAAAATGCAGTGTGGCTACTTGCTGATTGCACCATCACTGCCCCAGGTTTGCTAAGCCCCCGTTGGCCAGCACCAGCAAGAGGGGACCGGCGGAAGAGGGGATCTTTGCCTCCCTGCCCTCTGATCTCCTGTCCTCGCTTTAGACAAACTGGGACTCTGAGGTTGGCCTTCCAGCTCCGGAGAGGCAGGTGGCGATGAGTGGGAGGGTCACTGGGCTCAGCTGGGACTCTAGTCTTGCCCTCTCACCATCCTTACTACCACATGGTTATTCGGAAAACCCATGTGCTAAAACCTGGAAGGGCTGGAGAAGTCTGTGTGTGATATTCATCGGTTTCCTTTTCGCCTTGTGATCTGCATCCAGTCTGCTGACGGTAAGAAGAAGCTTAGCAAAGCTGAAAGGCTGAGGCTGCAGAGAGAAGAGGAAGAGCGGCGGCTGCTTGAGGAAGGTAACGCTTGCCTTGCCTGCTGTCCCCTTCATTCAGTCGGCAGGCTGACGGCCAGCTTTATTGGTGTGCAGATGCTCCATGGAGCAGGGATGCTCCTTGGACGTCGTTATTTGGTGTCCCTGCCCTGTCTCATGTACATGCGTTGAATGCATGGAAACGACACCGAGACCAAGTCGGATGCCCACCTCCCATCCTCACTGACAGGTGCGCTGGCTGCAGCCTCGGCAGCTGTTCCTTTGCAGCCACAGTGAAAGGCCCTGGAGCTGTCCAGGTGTGAGCATGCGGCCCTCCTTCCTGTGGGAATGGGTGCTCTGGGTGGCCATTCCTATGGGGCAGCCTCCTGTGTGTATCTCAGTATGTCTGCACCCTTGAGCACTGGCACTGAACTTGCCGCAGCAGGTACAACGGCCAGCCTGCACTTTGTCATAGAGTTTGCGTGGCTCGTTCATGCAATCCCATTATCCACACACACACATTAAGCACCTGTGGGGGTTAACCCGCATGCCCCGTTTCCCTGATCAAAATTGCTCCCTTCCAAGATGCCATGGGGAAAAAGCAAAATGCACCCAGAGTGGGACATGGCTGCACATGGCGCTGAGCACGGGAGTCGTGGCGGAGGCCTCGGCCAGCACCTCTCGATACACTTGGCCTGGGACTTCTCGGAAGTAGAACATTCATGGTTCCTATCAAGGCCAATGAGGCGCCTGCAGGAGATGGACTTAGTCCCATGGACAGGTTTTCTGTCCTGAGCACAGATCCTGTTCCCCTTGGCCAAGGCCCTTGGCTATGCTAGCTAGAAAGACGATAATCATTGTGAGCTGGACAAGTGGTCCACATTGAGGACACCATCCTGTGCATGCTTAGGCAGGAAAAGGTCCTTCATCTCCCAGCACTGCTGGCTGGGGCATGCTGAGGTCGTTGGTCTTCTCTCTGCCTAAACATGCGTGGGATAGAGCCTGAACTTACCTGAGTTACTTTGACAGCATTCTCTTACTTTTCTAGAGCAAGCGCGATTACGTGCTGAGCAAGAAGAAGCTATAAGACTGGAAAAGGAGAGGATCGAACGAGAGAAGACCGAACGCCTGGAGGCCAAAGTCTGTTCGCATCTGTAAATCAGGGGCTATGATCCAAAATGTGTACAGGCCAAGTCCAAGAAAATGAGAAATCTGTCTGCTACATCGATGAGTCTGCACAGTTCTAGGGTTTCTGTGTTTTCTCTCCATTCTCCTGCATAGCTGCAAGGAGAAATTCGGAAGGCTTCACTTCCACGTTCAAACAGACCACAGTATCCTGTTGTGCCTGAACTTGGGAAACTGTAGTTTGTTAGAACCAGCCAGGATCACACTGTGGCTTCAAATCCTACTTTATCTTGAAATCAAACAAACCATAGTTCCCTGAGTTCAGATGTAACAAGGAACTGTGATTTGTTTAAAGGCAGAAACTTCTGATTTCTTTCTCCGAGCCCGGCAAGTTGAAGGAGAGGGTGTAGGAGTGTGAGAAGCCAAAGTTTGTGCAAGTTCATTTATTTTAGAATGAAAGAATGGTGCCCCCTTACTGGTGAGGTAACCGTATAGCTCCTGGTCAGTTTACTTTGAGATCAAAGTCTACTTAGCTTCCCAGCTTCCCTATTCTGTTCAGTTCAACATTAATTTTGATTGGAAACTGCTAGCAGGTTTCATCAGACAGTTAGCTGGGTGATTCCAAAATGAATGGTCTGTTGGTAACCTGAAATTAGTATGGGACAGAGCACAAGCAAATTTATGACAGAGAATTCTTAAAAAGCCCAGTGTGTCTTGGATTGCACAGGGGAAAAGCTACAACATTAGCAATGGTTGGTGTCCGGTGTTGTCATTTTGCTAGTGCAAATGCCAGTGTACTAGCAGAAATTAGGCTCCAGATTGTGGATGAGAAGATAATCTCACTGAAGTTATGCTTGTGCAACCACAGTTGCACAATCACTTGCAAACGGGTAGGATTTTTTATGTCTAAACCTGCCTAGAATTGCTCTCTAAGTCTCATTGAGAGAGAACACGCAGAGTAGAAAACCTGAAGGCACTGGCTGGCATTCTTAATGCTGAAGTAGAAAAATTCTAACCAGGCACACTAGAATAATCTGATTATTCTCTGCATCATACATTACATTTCGGTGTTTAAGCCATTGCTGTCCGGATTAAAATAAAACCAGACTACCCGGTTATTGCCCACACAGGATCAAGAACGCAGAGGAATTGAACTTGCTGAACTTCATGTGTTAGAAGAAAACTTTTTAACTGCAAGTCGATGGAAGGTGAAAGCTAGAAGCCTTGCTAAGGTGCGCTGTTCAAATCATCCTCCTTGGATAGCCATAAAGCACTTATGCTATGGTTTCCTTAGGGGTGAAAACAGAATAAAAATGTATATTTATGGGCTGGAGTTCTCGTACAACTTTCCATAACTATGAACTTCTTTACAGGGGGCCTTAATCTGCTGTTAATTTACTTCTGGTTTGTCACAGAACTGAGATCCGAGCAACTATGCAGAGCATTTCCTTTCCTGCTTTTTAGCCACATATCCCCTAGGTGGCGAGATGCTCTACAGGATTAGTGCAATTATAAGAGCAAAAAAAGTGGGTTCTTTCACTTTCATGATTAAATGGCCCCCATCCCCATCAAATTGTTTTGAGGCCCCTCTGCAGAAGTGCTGTGCTTTAGGGATGAGCTGGGCCCCTCCAGAACCTAGTTTCCAGCTTCCCTTCGAACGTCTTCTGTGCTCGTCCCTCTCTAAGGAAGATTGATGTGTCTAAAAAAAAAAGTCCAGAAATATTCCTGGATCCCCAGTTGCGCAACAGCTTTGAGTTCTTTGTTTGAAAAATGGTGGGACATAAATCTAATAAATAAACAGGGAATGTTCCCAGCCTCCATTCCCAGCAGCCAACTTCCCTTCCTGCTCATGGTTGTCAGCAGTTTGTGGGGAAGGGGGTGCGACACGTGGGCCCAAAGTCCCCCATTCCTGGTGGCCTCCCATGGTGCGGCTTGAGCAGCGCATGGGGCACGATTCCTGGCGAGCACCCCAGAAAACCTGGGCACACTCGTCCGGAGCTTGGACTCTGGGCCATTGCAAAGTGGAGCGGAGTCCAGGAAGCCAAAAACCAGGGAATTTGGTCGCTCTTCTGCCCAAAGCCTCACACATCATCATGGGCTTAAGCCCACCCCTCAGGGGCAGCAACGGCCACATAGATCAAATCTGCGCCCTTCCCTCCTCCTTTCTATTTACTGCCCTGAGCATTTCCTGCCTTGCTTCTTCCTAGTGGGATCATTACACCAGCTGTGATGGGAGTCCAGACCCAACTGTTCCACGGGAAATCAATACCTTCATGAGTCTGTGGCAGGAAGAAAAAAATGATACTATCCAGACAGTTATTGCGAAGAGCAACAGGGTGCTAGAAGTAAGTGTCTGTAACCACGCTCCCCAACTGTGATGTGTTTTTGCAAGTTGTTTGCCAAATAGCAAGTAAATAGAAGACAAAGGGAATGCAGAAACAACCTGTTGTGCACCCAGGAGGGTATTATTTGGACGAAAGCTGCTGCTGTACATGTAGATTGTCATCTTAATCTTCTCCTTCTTCATTTATTTGTATTTATTTAAAACTTTTCTAGACCTTCTCTTACCAAAGTCTCGGGACAGTTTAACAATACAACAATGTAAAATAAAGCACAGCGTCCTAAAAAATTCAACTGACAATAAAACCCCTTCCTTGAATGCTTCTCTCTGGATGATTTATATCAGTTTCTAAAAAGGATACAGTAAAATGTCGTAAAATCTTATCCAAAGCAAAAACATTTCAAGTAAAAAGCAGTTAGGAAGAGCTAAAAAAATACAATGAAGAAAGGCCTTGTACAAAAATCTGGGATTTTGCAAGTCCGTGAAGATGCCAGTAATGTATTGTTAGTGATGAGGCTAGCAGGTGAAGTTCCACAGTTGGGAGACAAGGTCCCCCCTCTTTCCAGTAGCTGCCTGTTACCTCTGCAGGTGAGGGCACCTGGAGGCAAGTCTCCAGTGATGACCTCAGCTGCAGGGGCAGATTGATGAAAGAGATCGCAGGCCTCCAGGAACCTCGGTCCCAGACCATTCACCTCGGTCCCAGCTTTAAATTGTGTCCAAAAGTCTCCCGCTGGGGAGCCCTCCGTAACAGAATCACGAAGAGAGCAACACCATCTCCCTGCCTTCTACATTGGATTGAACTTCTCCAGTTTAGTCCATCAATTCACAGAGCAAATGTGATGTCTTCCAGCTGATTGAGAAGCTACAGTTCTACATCTTGGACACGCCTTACCATGAAATCTCTGCAGAGGAGGTGGCTCAGTACCAAGAAACCATTCTGAAGCTGCAAACTCTGCTTCATCACAAATTCAGTGAAGCAACAGAACAGCTGCTAAAGGTAAATTTTCAATGGAATTCTTTCCCGATTATATGGTCCGATGTGCAAAATCGGCTTCAGGATTTGTTGTTGCAGCCTGCAGGATCACAAGGCATCAATTGGGTGGCGGTTTGCTTTTACTGACGTGTACACAAATTTGGTCTGTGATTATGAATCTGAGTTCACAAACCAGTGTGATCATATGCGTGTGCACATCAGAATGGCAGGATCGGCTGCGTCTCTCTGCCAGATACATTTAGCTGCAGCCAAGTAATGTGTTTTTATTAGCAAAAATTGAACAGGAAGCAAAAGCATGATTTTAAGATTAGAAATACATGGATTAAAATGTCAGGGATTTATTCCCATCATGTTTTGCTTGCTTTAATGCCATGTTAAGGGAATGGTGTGATGGAGCCAGGGCCATGGAAGAAATTGGCTCCTCTCTTCCAAGAGTGGAGTCAGAAACACACGCAGAAGTGGAGGAGACCCAGTCTCTGCTGTTCCCCTCCAATATCAGAGCTCAGGGGCCTGGTGTTGGAGGAAAGGGAAAAGCTCTGGATTCAGAGGAAATAGCAGGAAAGAGGAAGGATATCATGCAGGGAGTGCCCGAAACACCGCTCCTACCTCATCTTCCCCTTGCCAGCTGGAGTGCCGTGATATCAAAGCTGCTCCAGACAGATAGACTTTGTCACTGAAGGAGAAAGAAGATACTGATTTCTATCAAACTTGGGGCTCTTTTTATTATTGGCTAGAGAAATGGGACTTTATAGATTTAAATATGTTTTTAAATTATCATATATAGAAAAAAATGTGGTCCGATGTTTCTGATGATTGATGTTGTTTTTAGTTTTTCCTTGTTTTAGGGTTATTTTGAGTAAAACTTATTATTAAACAAAAAGCACTCCTGCTTCAGCACCCTCTGGTAGGATTGTCCTCTGAGATGTTATGCTGCTGATCCACTCCTTACAGAAACAGTGTCCAATGCTTCTGGCTGGGTTTGTTCTGGAGAAAGTTGTGTGCCCCAGGCCCCTCATTCCTAGCATAACGGAGCCTTCCCTTGGCTTGTCAGATGCTCGGCCCTTGCACCGCGTCCCTTCCCCACATGCTTGGAAAAGAACGAAGCGAAAGCGGTATTTCCACCATGCGTGCAGCTCTCGTAGCTAAAGGCAAAGCAAAAATACCCAGTACTTCAGGTGCGCGGCCATAAGGGCCCAAATCTGGATCCTCTTACTGGCATGTACTGGCAGCTTTAACCCTTTGGCAAAATGAGGGCAGCTTGTCTTCCGAGCAGTGCCCACGGTCAGGAGGTGTGAGGTCCCAAAAAGCTCCACGCTGCAAATGCTGGTTTGCATATGGCCTACTCTAAAGTCTCTCCGTGGGAGTGTTTTTAAAGGACCTCTTTCCTAAGGACACTCCTATTTGTAATGGGTGTGTGGGCAGAGAAAAGAAGGGCAGTTGATTTCTAGAAAAAGAGAAGAGAAAACCTTAGGCAAGGGGGATTCTGTGGGGTGGGGGGAGCAGTGGGAGGTAAAGCCCATGTGGCAAAAGTCCTGCTGACCTGGAGGTGGGCCATGGTGGATATAACAGAGACCTTCGGGACATTGTCCTAAAGTGATCTCAAACTCACAAACTTGCTTACCTTCCTGAAGGAAACGTGTACAGTTTTTCTATGCTCTTCCAAACATTTGCATCTCCGCCACTGAAATGCACATTTCCCCCACTTGAATGGAACGGGTAAAGTGTACAAATGAATACAGGAAAGCGTGTGAGGTGAGCTTCAAGCTGGCTTTCGGAGAACCTGGCTGGCGGCAAATGCTGTTTTTCATGTCTTATCCTTGCATCGTGCGGTTTTCCCCACCCTCACTGCACACCGTGACACAAAGCCAGGCACAAAGAAAGGACAAGAGGAGCTGGCCACCCACGGACCCAGGCCTGTGGGTGTTGGGCAGGAAGCGGCACACCGGATTTTTCAGCACTGAAATCCACAGTTCAGCCTCCCCCACATTTATACCAAGCCACAGATAAACCAGACTTGTGGACAGCTTTCCCAATAACACGCTTTCCTCTCTCCCGTATCAATGCTTTTTGTAGCAAGCCAGTAGTTACGCTGAATCGGAAAGCGGAAACATGGAGGTGGTCATTAAAGAGAAGAATATCACCTTATGCATTTGGGCGAATCTCAAGAAGAACCCAAGGTATGGTGCTTGTAGAGGATGGGCGTTTGGAGAAATGGCTGAATCGGGGCCTGTCCAAGCACCACCCTTGGTGTCACTGGGGTTGCTTTCACAGGAATGGTTCTGATGTCTATGCTTGAACTAAGATGCAGCATTTGCCAGAGAATGGTGATATGGGAAGTAATTCTGACTTTCCATTGTACAGTCTAAGTCTCTTCTTTAAGACTCTGCATTAACAGCTCATTTTGCTGGAAGGAATTTCCCCATCCCTAACTCAGAACTTGACTTTATCACTGCCGTTTAATTTTTTATCATCTTTTTTTAATCACTTCTGAACAGAGGTGCAAAAAAACAGCTGTTTTTTAATCACTTGTTAACAAGGTGCAGAAAACACGCAAGCTTTGCTTTTACGGTTTTGCAAGTTTTTCTGCTTAGCTAGAAAGCACAGTTTCTGACACTTGACATCTTTGTACTTCTCTCACAAACTCATAAGGAAGGAGTTTTTCTTTCATGAAAGTACATTCTTACATAAGTTTAGGTAGAAAGAAAACGTTCCTACAACTCCCAGTATGGGGGCTGTGTCTGTCCTATTTATTTTTATTTATTTATTAAAACATATTTATGCCGCCCCATTCGCCGAAGCCTCGGGGCGGCTTACAACAATAGTTAAAAATAACATTAAATTAAAAATGTAAATATTAAAATTAAAAATGCAAAAATAACAATATAAAATAAGCCTAGGATTTCTTTTCTGTCGAAACATACACAGAACTGAGCGGTTTCTACCACTACTCCACTCTGGCATCATCTTTCCCTTTCTGATCTGAAGGGATGTTTTTCCTGTTCTTCCGAATGCAATTAAATTTTATATGCCACCTTCCAAAAGTTATCCCTAAAAGGTAACTCATACATCCTTAAAAAAAGGGGGGGTGGGGGAGGCCATGAACCGCTATTGGAATGGGAAGGTTTATTAACATGTTTGAATTCCTCAGTACGTTTAGCATCCACTGCACTGCTTTCCCCATTTTGTTTTAATTCTGCACAACCAGGTTCCGAAACCAAGTCTTCTACGACGAAAAGAAGGAGCCGTGCTACGGGTTTGAACTTCCCAAACCCCTGGCCGTGTGCGACGTGGCAGTGCGCATCTTGCACACCCATTATGATCACGTGTCCCCCATTCTGACGTTCCCCAACGAGCCGCCCAAGCTGGACCTCTCAGCGGTCAAGCCAGTGAGCAGTTTGGAGAAGAAAGGGCAAAAGATTCAGAAGCCTTCAGAAGAAAGCGGACTGGGAAGCGTGACTGAGCCGACCACAGACCGACCAAGGGTGAGGCCGGGCGGAGGAAAGGGGCAGCCTTAGTGCAACTTCCGAGCTAAGCGGTCTCACGTTGACCCTGAGGCCTGCGGGCCAAGTCTGGCTTTCCCAATCCGGGCCCCCAGAGGGCCATACCAGGTTGCTGAGGGATCACCTGTACCCAAATAAGTCTTCCTGCTCGCCAAGATCAGCCTCAGCGGCCCTGCTCTCGGGTCACCAGGGAAGTTCACCAGGATGGCGGGCGAGAGACAGGGCCTTTTTGTTCATGGCCCCATTGCCATGTAACACGCTACCTGTGTGGTATGTGCATTTCGAGTGCTCTTTAAAGACCTCTCTTGCAAATCTGCTTTTGTCTTGTTTGTTTGGAAGTAGGTCCAGGCTTTGAAATGTAGCATGTTTAATTCTTGTTGCTTCCCTCTACATATTTTTATATTTATGTTGGCAACATGTATGTGAGGGGGTGCCACACAGAGATGGGTAGAGACCTGTTTTCCCCTGCAGAAGAAGGCAGGACGCATTCCAACAGAGCCAAGCCCAAGGAACCAGGGTTCCATTTGGATGCCAGGAAGCACTTCCGGACAGTTAGGACCCTGAGGGTATAGAATGGGCTTCCACAGGAGGTGGTCGAGGCCCCATGAGTTGAGGGTGTTCAGGTTAGGCTGGCCATGCACATGGTGGGCATGTCATGAGTGGAGCCGGCTGGAGCTGGGGGTCAGACTAGATGGCCCGGGAGGCCCCTTCTGACTTGCTCTGTCTCTGTGTTTCTATATTTCATTGTTGTGGATGACATTGCCCTGCAATTTCAGAGCTGGGGCTGTGCATGCTGAGCACCTGGCCTTGCGGGCAGAACCAGCTGCTTTTTGGAGGATGCAGCTGGTTATCGGAGAGGAGGAAAAGGGCTGTACCAAGGGAGAGGGGTTCATGGTTTCACCATTTCCTGGTGGCATCCCAGCTTCCTTCCTTCCTTCCTCCTCCCCGATGACTCTGGGCCAGGTACGGACTTTCAGCCCAGCCTACCTCACAAGGCTGTTGCTGTGAGAATAGGTTTCAGAGGAGGAGACTTGTGTAAGCAAGATGCTTCCTCCATCTCCGTGTTTCCAGATCAGTGTCACCCCGTCCAGCCACGAAATGAAAAGCATTGTGCACGAGACTGAAAGCTCAGAGGGATCCAGCAGAAGAAGTTCCTTCATGCTTGAATCTGTTTCCAGAGGTACTTAATCCAGCTTCCTGTGCTCTGACAGTAGAATAATGGCACCAGTCTAAATTGTGGGCAAGAAGCCATCACCTCCCAGGTGATGCACGGGCATCACCAAAGGTGTTTGAAAGCTCTTGTCCCATGCCCCTTCCTCTTCTCCTGGTGCCTTACACCTGAAGCTCCCGGTGACAGGCCTATCCTGCCCTTAGGAGCAATTTTCCTGTCTCTTACTTGCTCCGGAGAGCTCTCAAAACAGCCACCCTGGTATTTTTTGAGGGTAACGCCCAGGATTCTAGACCAGTGGCCAAGCTGCCTGGGGCTGCAGCCCAAAAATTGTCAAAGGCAACAACAACAACGAGGTGGTGTAGTTTGCACTGCCAATTGCTCATTACTAGCTGGGTTTTTCGAGTTGGGCGTGACAGGCAACAGCCTGGCCCGGGGAGTCATAATCGTGTTACGGGCCCTCAGATCATCCCCACTTCCTGGCCACCCTGTGTAGGAGCATCCTCGAAACCATCCAGTCCTGCTCAGCTCTTGCCAACTCAAGGCTGTGGCCGCCTTTGCGGAATCGCTCTATCCCATATTTGGTCTTCCTCCTCCTCCGCTTCTTCCTTTGACTTCCCTGTCAGGGTTGTCAGCTGCAGCAACTCTCTGCAGGATGTTCCCAGAATAGGAAAGCTGCCGTTTCCTCCTTTCTTGCTTCCAGGGAAAGTTCCCGAGGTTTTGCCCTGGGAATTACAAGCGAGTGCCCAGTACTACACCCAGCGGCAAGCTGGGCATTTAGAGTTGGGAGTAGCCCGCTCTTGCCCTAGCCCTTGTGACAGGCTTAGCCTGATCCTATGAAAACTCAAAGGGCAGCACCACGAGCAATAGCCCAGGACTGTGCGGCATTTCAGACTGGCTGTTTGGAGCCGGGAGGCACTGGATGCCAAGCGACTGTGAGAAACGAGGCCCAGCAGGGCTGCGCTCCTGCCAGCCACCTGCACGCCTGCAGGGACCCTTGGACAAGAGCCCTGGAGTGGCTCCCCTTCCCCATTGCAGCTTGCTGGCTCAGCCCCCCTTGCGTGCAATCGAGCGGGCCCTTGGATGGGAGGCGGAGAGCAAGAGCGGCGGACGGCAAGGGTGGCAAGAAGGTGGGCTCGCAGAAGGAGGGTCCCCACAGAGGTGGCAGCCTCAAGGACCCTCCAAAGCCTGGAACCAGCTCGGGGAAGGGGTGTAACGCGTCGTACCTGGCTGTGTGTTTTCCCAGTTCATATTGCATCGCTGCAGAGCGTCAAGGAGGACGAACTGCCGCCGCTCGAAGAATACGTGGTGGATTTGCACCAGTTCATGCCCGTGGGCGGCGTGTACCATTTCGAAGCCGTGAAGCTCCCGCCTCAAGCCAAGCAAGTCAAAGGCTGGACCATGGTGGAAGTAATTCAGAGCTTAAAGGCCACAATGCATTTTACTGGCCAGACGGGCGGCTCTTCCTGCGGTCCCCCTGCCCCTTGGTTTGGCCATGGAAGGAACAAGGAAGCTGAACACACCGTCCTGTGGCTTCCTGACCTCTGGTGGGGTGGGGGGCCATGGGTGACAAGAGCTGAGGGTCTTCCTTTGCCCATTCAAAGCCACAAACCTTTCCCTTGCGAAGCATCCTTTATTGACCCAAAAGCACAAAGCACTGAGAATGACTCTCTGGGCATGCCCAGAGCAGTTTGTTGAACCCAGTCTTGTATTTAGCTCTAGGAGCTCTCCTTCTGAGTATGCCTGGGCCCCATCCCTTTGGGAGGGGCCTTCCGAAAACCTCATGCCCCTTCTCTGTGCCCCAGTCCTCTAAGGGGGCCACCCTCCTCCCCTGACGCTGCATCATGGGGGCGAGAGCTGTGGCCAACTCACCAGAGTCGGAGAAACCGCCCTGTTCTGAGCTGGACTTCTTGGTTATGCCCAGAGAACGCCTGCCCAGCTGGGTCTCAGGATGGCCCGTATTCCCAATTCGCCCAACCCACACCTCTCCTATTCTGATCTGATTCCAATTTTTATTAACAGGAATTAAAAATCAATTTAAAATAACATAAAAGACACTAAAAGATAATGCCAAGATAATTAAAAGACCCCACCAAGAATAAAGGGAAAGCACCTGGATGCATCATGTCCCAACCCCAGATTACTGTAAGACTCACCCAAACTACTTTTATTTTCTGAGATGGCTTCTATCTTCTTACAAGCTTTCTTAGCAAGCATGAGGGCGAGAAATTTCATTTCCCTTGACATATCTCAAACTTCAATCTCTCCTGGCATATTTCAGTTTTTAATGGATTCCAAGGGTATAAGCTACGAGAATACAAAGGAGCTTATGCAGACTTTTTTGGTATATTCCAGTCAGGGGAAATTAACAAAAGCTGCTTTAGCTACCCAAGGCCTCACCCAAGCAAGGGGTCTCTCTCAGGGTAGAAATCCAGCCAGGAGGTAGATAAACTGGACACAGTTGCTGTCACTGGGACGAAACATGATACCCTTCTCGCGGGTGGCCTTTAGGCCTCTCCCTTGCTAAGTGGGCAGATGTTGCTGAGCTAGACTCCCATCCTCTCCCATCCTCATCCCATCCTCTCCCATCCTCCATCTATCCCACCCTCTCCAAATGAGGGCATCTTCTCATAGTCCTCCCAGCTGAGAGTTTTGAGGGCCACTTTAGATGGCACCATCCTGAGAAAGAGGGGGTAGCCGTCCTCTCTCTGCTCAAGCCAGCCCAAGGCAAGAGTGCTCCAAAGGGAAAAGGCCTTTCATAGATTAATCCTTCCCTCTCTCGAAGCTGCATTTCTTTACAGTGCATAGAAAAGTCAACCCCAATGCGACATGTTCTCTGTTCTTGGCCAAAAGCTTCTGGACACAGGGCTAGAGTCCTGTCCCTACACTGCCATGTGTGAAGAAGGCGAGGATCCCTTTCTCATGACTGTAGGACTCACCATCCAGCTTCTTGACAAAGTGATGTATTTTGAGGAGCCGCTGATCGCAAGATGGGATCCGGAAGGTAGGTCCTTCTCCAAGGAGCCATTGTGGCACCTTTAAAGTTGCTCAAACTTTGCTTTAAGGCTTGAGTTCCTTGTGAAGCCAGTGATGGGATGAGGGACCAAGGGATGTTCTTGGGAGACAGATGGACCAGGAGGGTCCCTTAACCCTTCTCCCAGTTCTCTCCAGCCGCTTGTTCTGGGCCTGTTGTTTGCCCCGCTCAGCTGCAAAACCAGAAATATTGCCCACCACAGGAGTAAATAAAGCCCCGAGAAGAAGAAAGAGCAGGCAGAATCAGAGTAAAACACCCGCCCACCAAATCTGCCTTGCAGATCTCCATCCACACATTACAGTGAGCTAGCAAACATTTCTTAGTTGAGGCAAAGACATAGTACTGGAAGAAGCAAGGGTTCCAAGGAACTGGAAAATCGGCACTTTCCTCACACCAGTCCAATCCAGTGGTCTCATCTCTGTAATTTTCATGCTTTCCCCTCGGTGGTTGATGTGACATGAAACAAATTTGCTTCCAGCACAGAGTTCCGCTTGGAAAAACCATCTGACGATCCTGGTGTGGCAAGAGTAAAAAGGGCAAAGCAGCAGGTGTTGGCATCCCAGAAAGCTGCCAGTATTGAGAGAGGGCAAGCACGGTCCCACTTCAGCTCCTTGTCCTTACATTATCCCTTTTCCTCTTCCATGTCTCCGTGAAAAAGGCAAGTGCTGGAGGACGGACGGGATTGGAGACGTGGTCTACAACATGAAAGAGAGAGAGATCTCCTTCAAAATGAACGGCTTCTTTGTCGTAACGCTGCTCCAGGACACGCACATCAGTATGCCGTATCAGTTCTGGGAGCTGCGGCCCAGGAGCACCAACGAAGCCATCTTCTGCATCCTCACGACCTTTACCGAGGTGGAGATCCACATCAAGGTGTGTGGCTCAGCCGCCCAGTCCCGAGTGCGGAGACTCGAAAGGGGCTCCCACGCAATGTGCTGATGGGGCCGTGGAAGGGGGGATCCACCGGCCCGCTCCTTGGCTTTTCCACTTGCAGTTTTCGAAAAGTGTATCTTTACCAGTGGAAAGGCAAAGCAAAATGCGCAGGGTGCATTCGACCGAACTATTCAGCGAGAAGCAATCTAGTAGAAAAGTTTGTTTAGAAACCTCTCCCAACATACTGTCCTCCAGAGGTGATTACTCTTAACATCCTCAGGCAGCATGCTTGATGATGGGGGTTGTAGTCCAACACACCTGGAGGACATCACGTTGGGAAAGGCTATATAATAAGGTGCATAGTACTAAACTGGTTATATGTCACCTCAAAAGCACAAGGGAAAAAATACCAACTATCAAGGGATTTTTAGCAGTTTGAACAGTACCTGCAGTACACTAGAAATTCAATGAAATACCAAGATTTAGTGGGCGGTACAGTAAATTTTGGAATACGAGAACTCTAAGCAAATTAATTTGGGTTATCCCAGCTGGTTAAGGGGTGAGCCCTCCTACCAGATTTGAACAAAATAGAAGTTGCTTACTTAATTTTGCCATCACAGTGATAAGTCGCCATTTTCGTTTGCTGCAAGTGGAATGCTTTTTCCTCATCAGTACTCACTGGAATGATTAAGATTAATTAAATAAGTACAAGCCATACCCCTGCCAACCCCTAGAGGCCAAGTTGCCGTGGAAGCAAACCCCACGGCCATTTGCATGCTATCCTTCCATTGGTGCTTGTGCAAAGACCTGGCAGGACTAACTGCTCCCGCTGAGGGCTTGCTTCTTTCCAAACCAGCAAGGCTGCTCATGGAGCACATTTTAGGAAAGCTCAGAAGTCTTCATTAGTAGTCTTCAGGTCAGTAGTCTTCATTCTCACATCTTCCCAAATGTAGCCCTTCTCAGCTGTAAAGGCGAAGCATCCCTCCATCTTTATTTGGGAGCAGGAATTCGGGAAACCATGAACTGGATGTTTAATGGCTCACATGTCCTTCTGATGTGCTTGGAAACAGGGCAATCAGTGTATGCTAGAGAGTGTGCGCACCGTAGACGATTTTCTTCATCTGTCCGAGCTGAAGGGGGTATGGATGACCCCACTGTCTCTTGCGCTGACTCTGAAGCAGGCCGGGCTGAACATCTTCCCAGCTGAATATTCTCCAAAGTACGTCAGCATAAACAGAAAGGTAAGGGACCCACAAAGCCCCTTCACTAGTTCCCAAGGGGCCTCTTCTCCAGCAAGAGGGCAGCCCCTTTGCCCAGGCTTCCAACAGTGGGGAGAAGGGGCGCAGTGTGGCCCCTAGTCCGTTCTGCAAGGGTCCTAAGAACACAAGCTAGGGGAACATGGAGTGGCGTGTCCTGGGAGGATCTCCCCAGGAGGCTGAGTTGACATGGGGAGGAACTCGGTGACCCCCCCCCCATAATGACGGAAGGTCCATCCACCCAGTCTGATATCTCAAAAACACCAAGGCCACCTGAGTGCCCCAGGGTGGCCGCACGGGACAGAATGCCCACAGGCCTCTGCCGTGTTGCTCCCCAGCAACAAGGATTCAGCCACATCCTGACCCAGTTCGCACAAGCGCACTGGGGATTGTTTTCAGCCCATGAAGAACCCAGTGTCAGCTGGGCAGCAGTTGAGTAGACAGTCCCCAACTGGGGGTTGTCCTGTGAACCCAGCCACCATGGGTTATTCAAGGAGAAAAATATTTGCATAGCCCTCAGTTTATAGTAGGGTTCTGCAAGGGTTATTTGACCCTTAAACAGCCCATGGTGGGTGGATTCACACGACGCAGCAACCCTCTGATCAGGGGCGGAGTATTCACGCTGTGGCCCAGCACAGAACGCAGCTCCTTGTGGGTCCAATAGACCCAGATAAGCTCAGTGTGTCTGGCAAACCCGGTCACTGCCCAACCCCGGAGGAAATACAGGCAGCCATTGTGACTAAGAGCTTCTCGTCCCTTGTCTGCCACAAAGGAGTGCATTTCCTTTTGGCAGTGTGGGGCGTGGGGGAGCCATTCTGTGCTCTGACCACAAGAAGTAAATTCAGTGTGGCACTTCGGAGCGTCCCCTCCAACATCCTCAGAGCTGCTGGAAACAGAAAGCTGGGCTGGATGAGGCGTCGGTCCAGCCCAAGGGGGCTTTAGGGTCAAGTGGACTCCCCTGAAAGGCCGGCTTGCCACAGGATCTCTGTTCTTCCCAAAGGCCTGTCTGTTTTTGTCCTTTGCCCTGGGAGGCTCTGCAGACGCCTCGGTGCTATGCATACTTTAAAGGAAGCAAGTCCTGCCCAACCCGGGGGCTTCATAGCTGAACACAGTTGCACAGGACCAATCTGCCCCCTGCTCCTCGCCTGGAAACAACTTGTTCTGAAGCCAGAGATCGTGACGAACATTGCAATCCTGTTCCATCTTATATGGGGGGAATGCATATAAGGTTTTCCTGCTTTGGGGGCAACTGCCAGAGGGTGAGAGGTCTCTCTCTTCGGGCCAGGGCTATGCCCTTGTTGGAGTTTGCAAGGATCCCTTCCCAATCAGCCTTCTGTTTTGCTTTTGCATCTTGTTTACCTAGACGCTTCTGGCAGAAATTACTGCTTACCAGCAAATGGCTCTCGTTGCATCGGCTTTTGCCTTCAGCTGGAGCAAGTGGAACCTGCACAGCGGAGAGGAGAACGTGGTCTTTAAGGTGGGCGTGGATCCTCCCAAAACCCGGCTCTGTCCTTACGGGCAAGATGCAGCCTGTGGCCGGAGCCAGTATATTGGGGTCAATAGGCACCTCCCAATTCATCCCACCCCCCAAACACACACACACTCTCCTTCCAAGGAATCCCATTGCTGATCCTGTGGCCCTGATCCTCCTTGCTCTCCCTGTTGCAGCATTGCAGTGTGCCTTCCCCCGTGCACAACAGCCACAAGGGCAAGCAAAAAGCTCCCACTTCCCCTCTCCTGAGCAAGATGTGGGGCAGAGAAATGGGTTCGCCAAGGGAATTTTCCCTGCCCAAATGCTGGAGCGAAAGCCCTGCCCTGGCGGCCGAAGCCTGCCCTGCTTCAGGACCGGAATGGCCCTGTGGCATCGGCTGTCCCCAGCTCTCCATCGCAGCCCTAGCCTCAGCCATATTCCAGCGCTGCTCAACGCGGGTGCTGCCCAGGGGGGCACCCGTTTTCCATCCAAGTGCTGTACTTTGGACTGAGGTGCAGAAATGCCTAGGGGTGGGAGGACAGATTCTGCCCCACTGTGGGATGGAGGAAGCCAGGGGTCATGGCCCCACCTCTGCACCTTACCCCCACCCCCCTTAATTTTTCTGCATGAGGCAATGAGGCACGGAACTTCCTCCTGGCACAGATAACAGGATCCAGACCCTGCAACTTCCCTGCTGCCAACCCGGTGGGGATGGAGCACGGTGGAACTGCATTCATGTGGGGAAGAGCAGAGACTCTCCGTGGCATGGACGCTCCCCGGCCTGCTACCCCACAGCTGTCTCCGATCTGCACCAGTAATCACCATTCAGTAATTTATTATATTTATACCCTGCTTTTTTTCCTTCTAAGGAACTCAAGGGGACTAACATAATTCCCCTCTTCCTCTCAACCTCCCCACAACCACCACCCTGGGAAGAAGGTTCGGATGGAGCTGTGACCGGCCCAAAGGCACCCAGTGAGCTCCATGGCTGAATGGGGACTAGAACCCAGCCTCCGCCCAAATCCCAGCCCCATGCTTTTAACCACTACTCCACCCTGCCTCTCTGAGCATGGGGGGTGCCAGGCTGTGAACTCAGAGTCTATGAAGTGCTCCTGGAACTTTTCCTTGCTTCCTTCAAGCCTCCGCCTTGCACCTTCTTTGGAAACCAGCACTTTCCATATTGGCCAAAGTGTTGGAGCGATGTCAACAAGCCGTCCCCATAGACCTTCTTGGTAACAGTTAAATGGGCCCAAGTGTGCTGGAAGCTCCTTGCATGATCCAGGTTGGAGAGGCTGAGGGTCACTTCCCCTCCCCGCCCTTCCAGCAGTCCACCCAACCCTGACTAGGGGGCTACAGGGAGCCTGGCCAAGATGGTGGTAGAGCAATGGCTTTGCCTAGAGAGGCTGCTGTCTCCTTCCACTGGCCAGCCCTCTGCCTGGGGTGCTTTAACCTGGAGTCCTGCCCTGAGCAGGCGGTTGGCTTTGATGGCCTTCTCGGCCCCTTCCAACTCTACAGTTCTAGGGTTCTACACCACTGCAGGAACCAGGCAGAACCGCTTCAGAGCTGGTCACCTGGACCGCAGAAGGAGAACAGTTCCCTGGCAATGCACGACGATGGTGCAAGGGGCACTCTGAGGAAAGAGCCCAGGACGGGGAGGAGGACACGCACAGGGCACAGGCGCAGTGTGAGCGCGGGGCTGCTGCCGGGCCCTTCCTCCGGCTCAGGCTCCCCAGTTCAGCCTGCCTGCCAAGCCAGCCCCAATAACAAGAGGGTGAAAAGGACAGGTGACGCCAACACTCCTCATTTTTTTAACCCCCCCCCCCCGCCCCCAAGATCAGCAGCAGATGCCCTCCTCCGGGAACCCTCTGTGAATGACATCAGGAGGGTGAGTACCCGGAGGAGGGCCTTCTCTGCGGTGGCGCTCCACCTATGGAATGCGCTCCCCAGAGAGGTCCGCCTGGCGCCGTCGTTATTTGTTTTTCGGTGCCAGGCTAAGACCTTTTTATTTAAAACTTATTTTAACTGTTAATTTATTTATTTAACTAGGGTTTTTTTTTTAATTTTTAGCCGAGAATGCACTGAGGTTTTATTGAGGTTTTATGGCACTGGGGTTTTATTATATTGGGGTTTTATTGTATGGTTTATTTATTGATGTTGTGAGCCGCCCCGAGGCTTATTGCAGCATAGAAATGTTTTAAATAAGTAAGTAAGTAAGATAGGACCCTATGCATGCTGCAGGCTGGAGCAAGCTGGGACCTGTGGGCCTTTTCCATGCACAGGAGGGAGACTCCAAAACCCAGCACGCTGTTGGATGCTTCTGACCAGCCCCTGCTCTCCCCTGCCCCACAGGCTTGTGAGCACCTTGGGCAAGAAGAGGTGAGCGACGGAAGCTGGGCCCTTTACATGTTCAACGGGCAGAGAGCTCAGAGGCTCGAGATCTCCGAGGAGAGCGAGACCTTCTCCAAGAACATCGCAGAAGACACGGAGTTCCACTCCACTCTGTACCACCTGATCCGAGATGCCGGAAGCGATGCTGGGATGGAGAGGGTGAATCATACCGACTGCCTTTTCGTGGATGTGGTGCATCAGCTGCTGCTCGCTACCCGGGTGCTAACGTACTCTTAAGTCACCACCATGCCACTTTTGAACTTTATTGAGTCAAAGACACTCCCGTCCATAAAATAAAGAGGTTGAAATCTGCAAGAGATTCACTGTCTGGATTTTTTTTTTAAGGAAACAAAATAAATACTTCACTCACAGGCCACGTATGGATCAGCTATGTTCTTTCCCAAAGATTCCTTAAAGTAGACGTTCCAAGAACTTCCATGAAATAGGAAGCAGAAAGACATTTTAAAAAAACTAGTCATTTGGCAGAGTTTTGCAGTACCAGGAAGAACTCTGTTTCATTTTGAGCTGCATTTTCCAGAACTAGCTACGAATGGCAAAGGCTGAAAAAATGCTATGAGGAGGTGTCCCAGAGTTGCATGCTGCGACATACAGGATCTTGAATCATGCTGCAAATAAAAAGCGTAACCGTCCGTCCCTTTCCAGAACCTGCAGTAAGCTGGTTCCACAGATACGGGTGCAGAGAAACTGTCTTGAGCGCCACCAGTGAATCACACAGGTGGTGGTCCTTGGTGATGGAGACCAGTATAAGGCCACAACAGCTGTTGTACCGAGGTCCAAGCATCGCCAGTTCCAAGAGGAGCAGCTTCTGCAGACCTTTGGAATGGCACACCTAGGAGGAATGCCAGAAGGACAGCAAGCAGCACAACTGCGACGACAGAAACGTAGAGAGCTTTGCTAGCCTGGCAGAAGGAAGTCCTAGCATGCGAGGTCCAAGAAAAAGCTCTGGTGCACCTGCAAGAAAGAAGAGGCATGGAAGCCGCGGGGATTTGGTGCTCAGCTGCATACATTTGCTTTCAGTGGCAACACAGATAAACAGGGAGATTCAACAGAGACTTCTAGCAACTTGGAAGGAATCACATAAATCCAAATTACTTCTGCAGAACTTTTAGGAACTCTTTTTCTCTCTAGTAATGCATAGGATCTGTGCTTTGATCCTGTGGCTCACATGAGGTTGCATATGAGCAGGGGCTCCAGGAATGACATAGAATGAAACGTTTCTAACCTGCCTTCCTCAAGACCAGGTATCAGCGTAAATGTGTACGTCCTGTAGGAGGCAGTTCCATAAAGAGGACCAGCCCCCAAGGTGGCCTTGCTCCGTTCTGCAAAGGTCCTAAGAACACAAGCTAGGGGGACATGGAGTGGCGTGTCCTGTGAGGATCTCCCCAGGAGGCTGAGTTGACATGGGGAGGAACTCTGTGACCTCCCCCGCTCCCACAATGACGGAAGGTCCATCCACCCAGTCTGATATCTCAAAAACACCAAGGCCACCTGAGTGCCCCAGGGGGGCCGCACGGGACAGAATGCCCACAGGCCTCTGCCGTGTTGCTCCCCAGCAACAAGGATTCAGCCACATCCTGACCCAGTTCGCACAACACACCAAGCGCACTGGGGATTGTTTTCAGCCCATGAAGAACCCAGTGTAAGCCAGGCAGCAGTTTGAATAGGCAGTCCCCAACTGGGGGTTGTCCTGCGAACCCAGCCACCATGGGTTATTCAAGGGGAAAAATATTTGCATAGCCCTCAGTTTATAGTAGGGTTCTGCAAGGGTTATTTGAGCCTTAAACAGCCCATGGTGGGTGGATTCACACGACGCAGCAACCCTCTGATCAGGGGCGGAGTATTCACGCTGTGGCCCAGCACAGAACGCAGCTCCTTGTGGGTCCAATAGACCCAGATAAGCTCAGTGTGTCTGGCAAACCCAGTCACTGCCCTGACCCTGGAAGTATTAGCCATTGTGACTGCTTATCACTTACCCTCCATGAAGGTGTTTACAAGAAATTAAAGCCAACAGGGATTGGAATTGGCTAAAAACAACGTATTTGATACAACCGATACGAGAACCAATGTGGGAGGGCCTGTCGGAAGCGATATATCATTAGCTCCCTCTTAAAGGGGGGCATCTGGGATACCAGATGCATCACCTCCAGGAGACCATTCCACAGTTTAGGGGCAACCACTGAGAAAAAGTCCTTTGGATAGATGGCATCAATCTGACGGAGGCAGACTTCCGAAGATTATCCTTAGATTATCCTAGAGGACTTTAGCTGGCAAACCAGAATGTTTGGGCGAAGGCGCTCCTGAAGGTATTTTGGACCCAAGCCATGAAAAGAATTAAAGCCTTTTGTTGGCCCAGCATCTCCGGCCAATATCAGTGCCATGAGATGACCCCCAAGCTCTGAGATTCTGAGATGGAGAAAAAGTTCTCTTCTTCCCAGACTAGTTTTCGGCCCAAGCTCCCACATTACTTTCTGAAATGAAAAAAAAGCTGTTTGGCAGGGGCTGGGGAGAGATTGTGCAACAAGGTTTTGGAAAGGAACCTGAGAAGGTGAACACCCAGCATGTGTATGCCTCCATTGACTCACTGGTCACTGGTTATGACTCTGCCCCTTAAGTGCAAGCCGTTAGCCTCACAACAGCGGATCTTTGCAGCCGCTAAGATGACCAGCTGTATCACATGTCAGGGGACCCTCTAGCTGCAGGTTGCTGGCTCGAAGTCAGGCATTCCAACATCCAACAGCTTTCCCACATTCAAAATACGCGTCTCGTTTGACCACTTACAGGGAGAGCAGCCGCCATTTTGATGGACTACTTTCCTTTTCACTCAGCTTCTGTGTCTTGCTTCCTTGGTCTGGAGGTGGCAGGTCAAAAGAGCTGTTTCTGTAAGGGAGATGCCAGTTCAAAGTTGGAGGAATGATGGTCAGCCAAAACGTTTCTGGAAAGGCGTTTTACCCCCTTTGGTCAGGTATTCCTCAGGTAAGAAAATCGGGAAAGACCTGCTCCATCAGATCAAAGACCTAACAAGGCCGGAACACACAGTGGCCAGTAAGATGTCCTTTCCCACCCAGCTGACCTCCAGAAGTTTTAGGTGGCAACTCTCAGTGGCTGGGGCTGATGGGCATTAAAATCTAAACTATCTAGAAGCACCAGGCTGGAGAAGGCCATGAGAAGATGTGAAGGACACAACTCCTACTCTTGGTGCCCAGCAAGAAGTATTTGGAGGCCATGCTGCTAGAAGGCACAGCTGTAGCAAGAAATAGAGGAGGAAAGCGAAAATCTTGGGTTACCACTACTCCTCTGGGAGCAGTATCTAGGAAAAACGGCATAAACCAAAGCCCTCTTGCTAGCTTCCAGGGCTGGGTGTTTGCATAACCATCTCACCAGCAGCAGGCTTAAGACAGAATCTGCAATCCTATGCATGTTTAGACCAGGCAAAGGGACACATTGCTGGGAATATGCATAGGATTGTACCCCGAGAGACTTACTCTGCTTCAGCCTGGTCTTCCTCCGACTCTGTCCAGGAAGAATAGCTCACGTATCGCTGTAGCAAAGGCGGCTTTTCACCTTGTTTTGCCCCCAGGAGGGCCCTGTTGGAAGAAGAACACGGCTGTACTCTGCTTTGGTGATGTGGAGCAAACTGCTAGTCAAGAATGGCTTTGGAAATGGAGGATATAGTGAATTTGGGAGTATCGTGTCATTCCAGTATAGAATGTTTAGTTTTGGGGAGATCTCCTAAGGGCCAAACACCATCCTGTAGGACACCAAGTCAGAGATCTCGGGCATTAACACAACTTGGTACCAGGAAGAAACTCACTGGGTGAAATCGGTGGTCACTGTTTCCTTCTAAATTACATTGCAGGGTTGCCGTGAGGATAGAAATGGGGGAAGGAAAGAAAACTGCATACCACCTTAGCTCCTTGAAGGAGTGACAGGGTTAAAACCCACCCACCCACCCTAAACAGCAATGCCATGGGTAGAGAAAGGAAGAATGGTTGTATTTTAAAGGCAGATGTTCAGTCTTGAGTATTTACGTACTCAACATTAAAGCTAACATTTTATATTGGCTTTAAGCTTGTGGAGTAGGAAAAGAGGACACGTTTATTATTACTGCCAGGAACTCCACTGGTGCTAAAAGAGAGGGGTTTCCCACACCTTTAGCTCCTGCAGACTGGTGGGGAGGGGCATTTGCTTATAAGAAAGTTTTAAAAACTCAGATCAGCACCCAAGCTTTTGGGGACCTGTAGATGCATTTGAGACATAGTCATGGGCACCACCACAAAATGGCTCCCACAGAAGATGTGCTTAGTCATCTCATGGCTGCTGTGGGGTCTTGGCTGGTCAAAAGAAAGTGACTCAGCCAAGGAGGAGGCGGAAGGTCTGAACTCCAAAGCCAAGCCTATTGGACCCTACAGAGGAGCAAAATACCCATTTAAGGTTGCAATCCTATGTCTGCTTACATGGAAATGGGATTTAATACTGAGTAAACCTCCACAGCACACTCTGCTCATCCTATCTACCTGCAACTTTCCCAGCCTCAGAAGAAAGGAAAAAACCTACAGACCCAAAATGGGAAGAATCCTGAAATAAAGCAAATTTTATTCATATGTATGTGTTTCATAGTAAGCCATTTTCAAAGCCCTGGAACATTTGAATACTAAGCAATAGCTTTAAATGGCTGTGTCCTTTGTTCACACATGAACATAACTAGCTTGATAGCAAACCATCCCAACCCAGGGCCCTCCAGATGTGCTGGACTACAACTCCCATCATCCCCAACCTCCATTGCCAGCACTGGAGTTGTAATCCAGCTCACGGTAAGGGCACTGGCTCAGGCCATGATAATTTGCACTTTCCCGCACTTGCATACGCCGCTGGGCACACACACAGCATCCTTACCAACTCGGGCGTCTGCTGAATTTGTCGTTTCTCTGGCCGCCATCAGTTTCGTTAAGTTGCCCCTTCGGAAAAAGGAGAGAGAGAGAGCTCAGTGTGTGTGTAGCTGGCGGATTTAGGGTAATAACCCCTCAGTGCTGGGGAAGGGCTGCACACCTCTGGCAAAAGAGCCACAGCATCCCCAGTACTCCTAGGCAAGCTTGCAGTGCAAACTCTGTTCTGTCTGTGAGCCGCCCCGAGGCTTCGGCGAATGGGGGGGCATAGACTATTTATTTATTTATTTATTTATTTACTAAATAAATAAATATATGTTCAGGGATGATGGCTCTGTGAAATAAGAGATACTACTTGGAGAGTTACTCAAATACTACTTGCGTATTTGACAGCTGGCAAGCCCTGTAATTTCTAGGCCAAAGAGCATGGGCAAAACGGGTGCTTCTGACTGATTAGTCAAGAGGCCCATGTGGAAATCTCCAGGTGCTGTGAAGCACTGGTCATCACAAATGTTCGTGAGCAGGTAGATATTCTTCGTTGGGCAGGGTGCATCGAAAGGAATCCAGGTGGGCCCAAAGGAGATACGGTGTTCATCCCAGGTCCAGCTTTCTTCTCCACAAGTAGTAGCACTTTTTCCCAGTTGCAATGCATGGCTGTGAAAGCTGGACCATAAGGAAGGCTGAGCGCCGAAGGATTGAGGCCTTTGAATTGTGGTGCTGAGGAGACTCCTGCGAGTCCCTTGGACTGCAAGGCGATCAAACCGGTCAGTCCTAGAGGAGATCAACACTGACTGCTCTTTAGAAGGCCAGATCCTGAAGGTGAAACTCAAATACTCTGGCCACCTAGTGAGAAGGAAGGACTCGCTGGAGAAGAGCCTGATGCTGGGAACAATTGAAGGCAAAAGGAGAAGGGGACGGCAGAGGATGAGGTGGCCGGATGGAGTCACTGAAGCAGTTGGTGTGAGCTTGAGTGGACTCCAGGGATGGTGGAGGACAGGAAGGCCTGGAGGAATGTTGTCCATGGGCTCATGATGGGTCGGACGTGACTTTGCAACTAACAACAACAACACCCATCTCAAGACATCAGTGTGATGTCTGGACGCGGACATCCGCGAAAGGGGATGCGTTATGTGGTTGCATTTTTCAAACAGTGATTCTGTCACTTTGCTTGGGTCTTAACGTGTGCAAAAGTTGCAGAACTTTAAAAATCACCTAACCAACACAGAGCAACAATTTGCCATATGCACATATAAGAAGGAACACAGATATGCTCTTGCCAAGTCAAAAGCCGTCTCTTCCACTCATTTCCTTGGAGGCAGTGCCTGAAAGACTCAGTGTCACATCATGTGGACCCATGGAAAATTTTATTGCAGAGCCTTTGAATGGTTCAGGCTGCAGGGTGGACACATTGGAAGGATTCCTTGTTGAAAACACCCTGTTCCTCTAGAGTTACATGAGAAGAGCAGTCCGAGGTGCTGCATTTCCAAAACCCAAGCACTTGATGTTTCTGGCCAGATGTGTTAAGTTTCCAAGAGTTTTGCCAATGTTAACGGTTGCCCTTCTCCCCAGAAAGAGCTTTAAACAAGAAATTGGGTGGAAGATGGACAAGCAGCAAAGAGGGAAGGTTGAAGCAAGCACAGCAGCTCTACCCATGGATCCTCAGCACGCACAGAACACTCACCTGAATTTTTTAGCCTGTACCGGTTTATTTGAAAGTCCTCTGTTATGCTAAGAAAGGCATGAAATAAGTTTCAAGGAACTGATGCAACCTTTTATCACAAGATACATCACCTCCATCCCATTGCGCTTTACCTCTGGGTGATGTCAATGGGACTGCCTTTTCTATATTGCACCCATCATTTATCCAATTCATGTTGAACCAAGAGGACTAGAAACATGAAATCATTTTAGGAGCCAGTGTTCTGTTCCAGGCCAGCACAGGCTATGCTTCTGTGCATGTTCATCAGAACCCATAACCTATGTTTTGACTCTTGAACCCAGTACCGGAGCTGCTAACATTCTATTCTATATAGCCTGCTTGAATACCACTTTGTGTACATCCACCCTATTTATTTTACATCAGTTCCTCTGGGCAGGGGTTGTCGCACGATGGCAAAGAAGTAAAAAAGATAAATCTAAATCCCTCTAAATCCTTCCTTCCTTCCTTCCTTCCTTCCTTCCTTCCTTCCTTCCTTCCTTCCTTCCTTCCTTCCTTCCTTCTGAGCTATATAATCCAATGTTGCCTGCAATTTCAGAAGTTCTTGAAGAGCAAGAACCCAGAGCACAAAGAACGACAGTCTGCGAGGTCACACAGAACAATTCAACAGATACAGATCAGTACTCAAGAGACAGCACCACGCAAGAATTTGACTTCAAGACATCCTTTGAAGACGCCAGGCCGTTTCTCCACCGCATCGTCAGAGCTTCAGCACCTGGGTTGGCTGCACTTTACAGCATTGTCAGGGATGGGAGGAAAAGCAGGGGAATGCACGGATCTCTGCGGCATCCGTGAAAGCGACATTCAAGCTCAACAGCCATGCACAATACACAAAGGGAGCAGCACCGCCGGAAAGCATATGCAGAAGCTAAAAACCTGAGAGCAGCATCAGCATCTGTACCTTTAGAGAACCAGAGAGCTTTTTAATTGCAGCTTCATCTGTAGGAGCAACAGAAGTGGAAAAATATGAACGGATGGCCCAAGGACGGAAGCCACGCATGGCCTCTAAGGCCAGCCCTTCTCCTCTTGCCTCCCCTGCGAGAAGGCGGCAGCTAGGCCAGTTGCCAGGCTACCGGTGCAGTACCAGTACGCAGAATCCGTCCCTCATTGGTGGGGTCTGATGCTTGGGTGAAAAGTCCTCAGCAGGGCCCCTCTCCTCACTCCGGTCACTCTGTCCCCTCGCCACCTTCCTCTGGTCACCACTGTCCCAAAGGAAGGGACAGAAGGTGCCACTGTCACTGCTCACACACCTGGACTGGGAAGGTGAACTGGCTGTGAGAGCAAGGAGGCGGCAGTCCAGAGAACTGGGGGAGCCAGCGGTGGGCCTTGACATGTGCCTGGCACTGCCAGCTTTGGACACCAGCCCCGCCAGTAGGATACTGGTAGGAGGCGCAAATGGCAGCTTGACGATGGGTGAAAATAAATCCAGACTAATATTCTGTAGAGTCAAACCCCTGCCAGCCCCACTGCCCCAGCCGGGGTCCCAGGCCTTGGGTTGCAAGCAAATTTAAGCGCTGGTTTGCAACCAACATTTCTTGAAGGGCTGCTTTCATTTCTGCCAGCCCACCCATGCTTTAAGACGAATGATAGAGGCCCTTCTCTGTTGCCCACCTTGGAGGGCAGTTTGGTGGGCAAGTCCATGAGAGGGGTCTTTCCTGCAGTGGCCCCACCACTCTGGAATGGGTTGCCCTTGAGGGTTCTTAGAGCCCAACACTGAAGGGTCTTTGGAAGGCTCTGAGAATATCTAGTTATTCTGGCCTTCCCTCTGATTGTGTGTGTGGTACTGTTGTTGCTTTTCTGAAATTGCATCACTCTATTTTATTGTTGTAAGATGCCATGGGAGGACTCCCTTCCTGAAAGAGGGCCTGGAAAGATTTTAAACAGATTAAATGAATCTCTGTCATTCCTAGATGGTGGTACTAGATATAACAGTCTATCACAGAAGCTTATTATCACTAGTATCACACTGCATTTATACTCTTGCAGGGAACCCAAGGGTCTCCTCCTCTCCATTTTATCCTCACAACAACAACCCTGTGAGGTAGGTTAGGCTGAGAGGCCCTGACGAGCCCCGCGTCACCCAGAGAGCTCCAGGGCTGCGTGGGGATGGCAACGCAGGTCTCTCAAGTCCCGGTCCAGCATTCTAAGCACCACGCCACACTGGCGCGTCACGGGAAGGCTCCCAACCGTTCGTCCCCTGTGCCAGGAATCATCCAAGGAGCCATGCTGGGCCCATGCACGGGGGAAAAGGCAGACACAACTAACTGCCCGCCCCCGGTTTAAGGACCACCCAGACGCTCAGCCCCAGATAGCCCTACACCACTGGGCTGCAGACAATTTCCAGCCCTCACTGCCACCCCGGCCCAGGACTCTGTCCGCCTCTCCTGGGCAGTTACCTCGGTCGCCGACAGAGCTGAAGGACCTTCTGTTTTGCAGCAGGACCTCTTTCAGCTCCTCCAGCTCTGCGTGCTCCCTCGCGTACGTACGTTTCAGGTTTTCCACGTGCTGAATCATCACCTCTACTGCCTTACTGACCCGGCTCTCCTACAAAAGAAAGGTAGGGATGTTCCGAGCCACTGTTTCCCCGCAAGCAAGGTCTGGGGAAGAGGTCAGGCCTGCTTCTGTGTCTCTTCCCGCTTTGCAGCTGCACAGAGAGACTGAATGCAGGGATGCCAGAGCCACTCCAAGGACTCTCTTTAAAAAAAGAAGCAAGAAAACGTCCAAGCAAAGTGGGAATTGGAGAGTGCACTGTCTCTACAGATCCTGAAGATGAAGCTCAAATACTTTGGCCACCTGATGAGAAGGAAGGACTCCCTGGAGAAGAGCCTGATGCTGGGAACAACTGATGGCAAAAGAAGGAGGGGGCGGCAGAGGGTGAGGTGGCTGGATGGGGCCATTGGGGCAGGGGGTGAGGGCTTGGGTGGGCTCCGGGGGATGGTGGAGGACAGGAGAGCCTGGAGGAATGTTGTCCGTGGGGTCGTGATGGGGCAGGCATGACTTTGTGACTGAACCAAACAAAAAACTCTCTCTACTACCTGAGCCAGCTCTACCACGCAGGCTCAGCAAACACCCTAAGGGCTAGGCTAAGAAGGGAGAATGTGCAGCCTTCTCCAGAAATTAAGGGATTCCATCACTGGGTGTACAGATGCAGGGATCTATTCTGTGATGGTGGAGTAGATTACGCAACCTTGGACACCATGTCCATTAAGAAGAAACTCCTCTGCAAAGCCTCCATGGAAATAAAAATCCTGCACGTGTGAGGCTGTGTTCTGCCTGCTTCCTGCTGCCTTCGCTCCCTATTCTCAGGGGGGTGTTAGGAGGTGAGAACATTCTACAGAGGGAGGCATGTCACAGGTAGCACACCTGGGAACCCATCCCAGACCTTGTGAGCTGCCCTGATGCCGGCATTTTCCTTAGGAGGAGCCTGTCATTCCCCTCCAAACTCAGCAGCCTTGCAAAGCCTGGGAGACCTTGCATAGTCTGATAAGCCCACCCAGAACCCTCTGAATTTGGACGGCTGAAGGCAGGAGGAGCCTGAAGGGGAAGGGCGCCTCTGTCATCTTCCTGGAAGGCAAAACACTTAGACGACCTATTCGAATCAAGCCAGAACTTGTCCTGGAAGAAAAGGGGATGAAATAAAGGCTCGGCACATCATGAGAAGGCCAGACTTCCTGGAGAAGCCCAGCATGCTCCAAAAAGTCACAGGCAGAAGAAGAAAAGGAAGGCCAAGTAAGAGATGGATTGGCTCCACAGAGGAAACGGCAGCCCTGGGTGTAGAACAGCTAAGCAGGGATGTCACCGACTGAGCGCACTGGGGAGCTTTCATTCGCAGGGCAGCCCTGAGGCAGAGATGCCTTGGCGGCACATCACCACACAAGTGTGCAGCCCTGGAGAAATCGGCAAAGAGGGAGAGGTGAAGCCGGGATACTTGCATGCTGACAGAGCCTCTCTCCTCTCCTCCCCACCCACAACGTCCAACGTCGGAGGATGTTCCGCCACCCTGGATCCTTCTGTGCCACCTGGGGCTGCAGGGAGCTCCGAGTTCCAGCACTCGGAACAAGTTTCTGAGGTTGGACCAGGACCCTGAAAAATCGCACGCCATCCTGGCAGCCTTAATTAGGGCTGCAGGGTGAGCAGAGGTCTAGGGGTTGGCACGTGCCTCCTTTTCTTTTTGCTCCTGCGTGCCTGCTGCCAGGAGCTTTCTTGCAAGGGGTAGACACGGAGAGATCAGACAGCTCCAAAAGAACAGCGCTTGCTTGCAGCACCTGATTTCACTGCCCGAAACACGAACCTTTGGCTTCTGCCAAAGCTCAGTGGCTGTAGCATGACAGACCATTCAGACTATTTCTGTATTTATTATATTCATATCCTTCCTTTTTACTTCCAAGGAACTCAAGGTGTCTCACAGAATCCTCCTCCTCTCAATCTTACCCTCACAACAACCCTGTGAGGGAGGTTAGGCCAAGAGTCAGTGAGCAGCCCAAAGTCTTCCAGTGAGCTTTGGGGCCAAATGGGGACTAGAACCTGGATCTACTGGATCCCAGTCTAATACTCTGACCACTAAACTATGTCTCCCCTCTATTATCGACTTTGCGCAAGGCTAGGAACAACCTCTGTCTAGGGAAACCTTCCCCATTGCGGGGTTTTCTAGATGTCTTCAACTAACCCTAGAGAGGTGGGGAGCTCTCCCACACTGGAGACATTCAAGGCAAAACTGGACAGCCACCTGAGCGGGAGGGTGTAACATGGTGTCCTGCAACAGCAGGGGGTTGGACTGGATGGCCTTCATGGCCCCTCCCACCTCTACTATTCTGTGATTCAATCCACTTGTGCCCATGCAAAAGTGCTAAATTCTCTGCACTCGAAAGGTAACTGCTGGTGATCCCAAGACAGAATACAAATTCCTCACCATTTCAGTTCACACCACAGTTTAAGATTATGTCAAATTATGGAACGATCTAGTGTGGCACCATTCCTAGGTTTGAAGTAAATGGGACTAAGGCTGTACAAGGAAAATCTTTTGGGGGTTGGAATCTGTCAGATTCCATGGGCGCAGCTCCCTGGACTCCAGCCTGCTTTCCCACAGCCACGGATCCAACTTCCTGGTGAGCAGGCCGAGCGTTTGCATGGGTGCCACCAGGAAGCGAGACTGTGTAATCACTATGCAAGCGTCTTCCCTCCTCAGTCCATGTGGCTTGGGGCCTTGGCCACACTGTGGACGAAGTCTGCTGGTTTTGCAGCCAGAGTTCACGGACCGCCTGCTGATTCCACATGCTCTGAGTGAGAACTGGGCATGAGATGTTGGACAAACAGGCCGGAGTCCAGGGAGGACGGTCGCAGTCCTCATGGAGACTGTCCCAGGCAGGGAGGGAGAGAAAACCAAATCTATCACCTGGACCATGTCACGTGCACTTGCAGAGAGGAAGAGGATGAATGGCCATCAGGTAAATTCAGCAACAAATGGGGCTTGAGAGTAAAAGGTCAAGGGAGCCCTTGCAAGTTTTCATACAGATTGTGCAATGCAGCATGACAAAGATAAACCTTCTTGATTCTATTTTAACATCGAGATTAAAATGCACCTGTGGATTTTATTAGGCCGGTTGTGATGGCAATATCCTGTCCCTGGAATCAGAGTAAGGGCCAGAAAACAACAGGGGCGGGAGGGTGTGAAGCGCATTTGTGTGCCACTTGTAGGATTTCCACAGGTAGCTGAGTGAGCCACAGTTGAAACAGAATGCTGGACTAAACAGGCCTTTGCTCTGATCCAGCAGGCCTCCTATAGTCTAATTCTGCCGGCCATTTTGCGTCCATGGCACGACTTCACGTGGCACTTTATAGAAAGTGCCCATTTCATGCCCTTCTGCTTGGCCCCAGTTCCATTTGGCTTATCATCCCCGCTAACAGCCAAGCTCTCCAGTCCCCCAAATCCACTGACAGCAGAGTTTTCCAGGACTGAGCCAACTGCCCCACTTACAGTCTACAGACTTTCCACTTCTTTCACAACTGCACCCATTTTCACCCTTTCATGATGGGCATTTCCTCTTAAACCATTTAGAGAGTTTTCTTTATCTATCAGATTCACACCCAGCCTTTCTCTCTCTCTCTTTTTAAAAGAACTCAAGGTGGCTTTCATCATTCTCCTCTTCCTGTTTTCCATCTGATCCTCACAACAACAACCCTGTGAGGTAGGTTGGGCTGAGAATCTGTGATTGGCCCAAAATCAACCAGTTGGGTCCATGGCTGAGCCAGGACTAGAACCCAGATCGCCAGAGTCCCAGTCCCCTGCTCTTAATCACTGCATCGCACTAAGCCAGCCAACCAAAATAAAACAGCCCATATTCAGCAACAGTTTTCTGCTTGTATATGGAGAAGAAGCCAAGCGCTAAGTCTTCTGGAATTGGCCACTTACCTGATGGATCGCGCCCAACATTTCTGCCTTGCTGGCGATCCTGGTGGCGTGCTGGTTCAGGAGCTCCAAGCTCTTCTGCAGCTTCTTGGCTATCTCTTGGACCTGGTTGTCGTCACTGAGAGAGGCCAGAGACTGGGCAAGGACCACATTCCGCACACACAGGAAGCAAACATGGCAGTTATCACCATCATCAACACAATTAGAGTAATTCATCATCGCCATCACCATCAAATGTATTTCATAGCAGCTTCTCAAGATCACAGTCTTTCTAAGGCAGCTTGCAGTATAAACAATAACATTTGACACCAACCAATTCTGAAAGCACCTTAAATTTGGACAACTTTAAAATAAGCCATTTAAAAGAAAACAGAATATGGCCATCTTCCCCACACGAACATGATTGTGGCCATCTTCCCTGCTCGAACACAAACACAGCCATCTTCCCCGCTCAAACACACTCTGACAAGTGGTCATGGTGTGGGGAAGATGGGCGTGTTCGTGTTCGTGTGGGGAAGATGGCCGTGTTCGTGTTCGTGTGGGGAAGATGGCCGTGTTCGTGTTCGTGTGGGGAAGACGGCCATGTTCGTGTTCGTGTGGGGAAGATGGCCGTGTTCGATTTCGTGTGGGGAAGATGGCCGTGTTCGTGTTCGTGTGGGGAAGATGGCCACAATTGTGTTTGTCACCCAATGTGGAGTTCGTGAACGGAAGCAAAATTTTGCGAACTTTCTGTTCACGAACGGAATTGTTCGCGAACAGAAACATTTGTGAACTGAGGTATTACTGTATTAAGCAGAACTGAAGTATCTCAAAGAAAAGAAAGTAATAAACCAGATCCCCACCCTCTAAACAGACCTGATTTAGCCAAGAAAATAGTCAGCCAGTAGGAGCAAAACATGACCATTCCTCCCCATTCTTATGGAATGCGCTCCCCAGAGAGGCCCGCCTGGCACCGTCGTTATTTGTTTTTCGGTGCCAGGCCAAGACCTTTTTATTTAAACAATATTTTAATAATTGTTAATATTATTTATTGGTTTTAATTTTTTACCCAGGGTGAATCCAGATTTTACATGTATCTATTTATATGATTGTTTATTTATTATGCTGAAGCCTCCCGAGGCTTACGCGAATGGGACGGCGTACAAAAACTCCAAACAAACAAACAAACAAACAAATAATAAATTCTTACATCAAGTAGTTTCAAGGAGCTGGCGATCTCCTTCCTCAGGTTTCCTTCAGCCAGATCCCGGGACCTCTCTTCCAGCCTGACTCTCTTCTCCAAAGTAAAGAGGTCACATTTGAACCCCAGAGACAGCCGCAGAAATTCTGCCTAGTGAAGGGAAGAGATGCAGGTATGTGTACAACACTAGTGAACTGGGTTACTTCATTTCCTAGCTGCTCCAGTCACCTCCCCTTCCCTTCTTCTCTGAGTTGCTTCCCAACCTGGGACTGCAGCCCGCACAGTTCTTTCTTGCACCAGCTGTGAGAGGTGTGGGATCGGAACTCCAATTTCTAGCTCTGAAGTTGGAACACAGTCTCGAACCTCAACTCTGGGAATCTGAAAAGTCCTAGGACCTCTCAGACAATGTCGAGGGGCCATAGGCCTGTTCCTTAAACCCATTCTGCTTCAACTAATGGAATTTACAACCTACTTTTCCACTAAGCTCTCAAAGCAGGGAACACCACTACCAAAAGTATGGTGTGAAACTCAATACAGTCATGAGAAGAGGATGATTAAACTGTTGGCTGCCCGTATCCTGGGCAGCAGCAGCCCCTAAAACTTGAGTCTTGGATGCCTGTTTAAAAGTGCCAAATCCTGAACTGGCAAAAGGGTCAGCCAGTACCTGGGAACTGCAACTAGGGAATGTACCAGTGTGAAGGTGTGCTTGGCAGTGGCCACCCTCTTAGCAGAAGGTGAGATCTGCCAAAGGTTTTCCACATCATATCTTAGCAGGGGAGGCTGTGGATTCCCCTGCCCAGGGGGTAGGTGGGGGGAATCTTCATCCATTGCAGCTTTTCTTTTGGACCTTATAGGACCCCCACTGACATAAAGTCGCTAGCAACAAACTCATCAGCAGGAATTTCCATATGGATACACAGAATGACGAGCATATGCATTTCATTTTCACTACCTAATATTCATCAAGTCAAGCCTTGCTCCCTTTTGCTGAGCGGAATGGGAGCTTAGTTCTGCATCTGCAGGTGGCACTTTCCTCCAGAGAGGATGCGCTAGCTAGTTTAGCTTCTCTTACTTGCAAACACACAGGCTAAGGTACAGGGATGTGCGAAGGCATATGCAGGAGACGACAGGATTAGGCATGGAAGGAAAAGGCAGAAGAATTGTGAGCGCTCCACAGCTTACCTCCACCTCTTTCTCACTGGGAGACACACTGAAACCAGAAATAAGGCAACAAATTACCATAGCACTATACAGAAAATACTACCATTCTTTCTCAGGGCATGTGTGTCTGGGCATAAAATCTACTTTTCTGCTATGTGAGAACGAGTCCTTCTGACATGGGGCTGGGAAGGAGAAGGACCAAGGCTCCAAGGCAAAGCACTCATTCTGCACGCAGTATGCCCTGGGCTGATCTCCACATCTCCACACAGGGCTAGGAAAGACTCTCAGAAGAAATTCCGGAGACCCGTTGCTGCCAGTCAGTGTTGACAATATGGGTCTAGATGGACCAAAGGCTCAAGTTCAGGATAAGGCAGCTTCCTCTGCTCCTACGAAAGAAGAATGACTGGGGGTGGGATGACTCTTGTGCTTAGGAACGCCTTCCTCCTGTGGCCAGAGAACAGGCCGACTGGCTGGCGATGGTGGAGATGGTCGGCCAACCCATCTTGGGGCTCTGAGTTGGGGACAGCTGCAATACAGAATGCGGCTTGAACATCCTCTAGAGGACCAGAGGGAGGAGGTTCAGGACAAACCAGAGGAAGTGCTTCCCACAATGCACATCCAGTTCCATGGGTTGTCTTGATGGCCACCCATTTGGAGGGCTTTCAACGGAGGTAAAAACACTCCTGGAGGAAAAGACTCCCCATGACAGCTAGTCCTGGTGGCTCTGTGCTACTTCTGGTATCAGAAGCGGCGTGCCTCCGTAAGCAGTTGCTGGGGAACGTGGGCAGGATGGTGCCCATGGCCTGGATGGCTTTAAAAGGGGATTGGACAGGCTCCTGGAGGAGGAGGCGTCTACGAGTGCCTGCAAGTCACGATGCCATCGAAGTATCAAAGGCAGCAGGCCTAGGTCCCAATTGCTGGGGAAGCTGGTTGGTCATTGAGTGAACAGAGCAAGGCGTTAGATGAACCTTTGTCTGGTCCAGCATGGTTTTTCTTCGGTTCTTTCCTACAAATGCACTTTGCCTCCCGGGAAAGCCTTTGCCAATGAACCTTCCAGGCACATGGGAGGCACAGGGTGAAGTCGGTGCTTTCCGGTAACTGTGACACCCGTGAACCTGGTACTCACCTGCCCTTCTGCCTGTTTCGGCAGACAGCAACACTGGGCAGACCCTCCGTTGAACAATCACCTGCTGAAATTCAACAAACAGAAGGAACTTTTTGAAAACTGAAAGAACCCAGAATGTATGCTGTCAGAACAGACTAAGGAGGGGACAACCACACTGGCTAGAGAATTTGGAAGGCCAGAGATCCAGAGCAAGACACCGAGCCTCCGGGTGCAAGACCGACGGCTCCTGAGAGGACGTAGATTAAGAACGTGGGTGTGCGATGGTGATCTACTGTGGCCTAGTTAAAGATAATGGCTCAGGTGAAATGCTGCTCTCCTGGATGAAGGTAGGAGTGTACAGGTATAAAGTTAATAAAAAGAGGCACTAACATAGGTGGGCTCTCCCATACTGGAGAGACTCAAAAAGAAACTGGATGGCCCTCTGAGTGGGATCGTCTAACTTGCAGCAGGGGGTTGGACCGATGGCCTTCATGGCCCTTCCAAATCTACTGCTCTGTGATTCTATGGCATTCTAAAGGTATGATATAAAACATGGGAGAAGCAAGGCTATGAAGCGTGGATGGATCCGTTTTAGTAGTTCGTTCCTGAATAAGAAGCTTGTGCCTTCCTCAGCCTGTGGGTCTCAGATGGCACAAGCAGATCACCCAAAGGGGCCCCAGTGAGAACCAGCATCTGAAAAACAGCTGCTAGGATACCAGCCGTGCTGCGTGACGTCTCCATTTCAGCCTGGCGCGCTGTGGCTGCGGTTTCTTCAGCTGGCAGTGAAGCAGCCTGACGAGCGTGGTCCTCCATGGCGTGCAGTAGTGTTGGATCCTTATCTGCTGACGGAAGTGGGAGAGAACCAGCACACAGACACACAGAGAGAGGACAGAAAATGTAGCACGTGGTCTCCATCTAGCATCCCTTAGGGCACAATCCACTGCATGTTTAGGCAGGAAAAAGTCCCCAGCATTCCCCTGCCAGCAATGGCCGGAAAGCCCTATCCCAGCATTCCCCTGCAAAATCCCACTCGGTAGCCAGAAAGGTGGTCAGAGCAGCATACGGAAGAAGGCTGAACTGGAAGGCCTCTTCCGACTCTAGTACTCTACGATTCTCTGAAATATTAGTATGGTTCCCAGCCCTAGCTCTAGATGGCAGAATTCTCTAGTTAGGGACAAGAAAATGGATGTGGTCTAGGGAAGGAGTGGGCGGAAGGTGCACCACAGCATAGGAAGTTGCAGCCTCTTGAGTCAGAACTCCGGTCCTCTGTTGCCCAGAATTGCTGACACCCATTGGCAGCAACACTCCTGAGTTTCAAGAAGATGCTTTTCTGCCCTACCTGGGACCTCTGCGTGCAAAACTCGAGCACCAGGCTGCAGCTGCTACTGTCTATTTGTAGACCTGAATCTACTGGTAGATTCACTGACTTGTTTCCAAAAACATGGGAATTCATGCTCCAGGGCTGAATATAGGTTGAGTGTAGGTTGCCATCAAACCAGGGCTGTCTAAACCCAGCAGACTAGCCATGGCGAACAAACTCCTACAGTTGGTGGGTTGAACCAGCCAACGACCAACCTCGTATTCTTTTCATGGGTAGCTTGGAGTTAATAAGCCATGGCTTGTCAATGCAGCTGGGTTCAGACAACACAATAACCCATGTTTCAGCTACAACCTGTTACAAAATGGCTCCATTCCCCTTCGTGCCTCTAAACTGATCTGCTGAGATGGACAAAGTTTGGGGCTAACCAGACGTGGATTCTTGCTCAGCATGCCCACGAGCCCTGTTTGGTTCTGGAACTGAAAGCAGCTTCATGCCGTCAGAACTCCAGGTGTATGTCTTTTGCATCACAATCCTATTGATCTTCTTGTTGTTGCGAGTCGCCAAGTTGCATCTGACCCATTGCGACCCCATGGACAACATTCCTCCAGGCCTTCCTGTCTTCCACCATCCCCGGAGTCCACTTAAGCTCATGCTGACTGCTTCAGTGACTCCATCCAGCCACCTCATCCTCTGCCGTCCCCTTCTCCTTTTGCTATCTATTGTTCCCAGCATCAGGCTCTTCTCCAGGGAGTCCTTCCTTCTCATTAGGTCGCCAAAGTATTTGAGTTTCATCTTCAGGATCTGGCCTTCTAAAGAGCAGCCAGGGTTTATCTCTAGGACTGACCAGTTTGATCTCCTATGGTCCAAGTGACTCGCAGGAGTCTCCTCCAGCACCACAATTCAAAGGCCTCAGTCCTTTGGCGCTCAGTCTTCCTTATGGTCCAGCTTTCACAGCCATACATTGCAACTGGGAAAACCATAGCCTTGACTATATGCACTTTTGTTGGTAAGGTGATGTCTCTGCTTTTTAGTATGCTGTCTAGATTTGCCATATCTTTCCTCCCAAGGAACAAGCATCTTTTAATTTCTTGGTTGCAGTCCCCGTCTGCAGTGATCTTGGAGCCCAGGAAAATAAAATCTGTCACTACCTCTATTTCTTCCCCATCTATTTGCCAGGAAGTGAGAGGACCAGATGCCATGATCTTAGTTTTCTTAATGTAGAGTTTCACCTATTGATCTTAGTAACAATAAAAACACCCTCAAGCATGCATTCGCATGCATGTTCAGATGGAAACCAGTCCCACAACTCCCAGAATGCCCCAAACAGCACATACGGAATAGCCACAAAGGCTGTAAATTTCCCATGGACACCCCTTCCTCCTTGGGCATTGTAGGATTCTATGGGGTCACTTGTGTATGAAATTGCCATACAACCAAGCCATTATTACTCAGCTCAAAGTGTCAAGCAGACACTTTGAGCTGAGTTTGCCTGCAACCTCCATATGCCTACAACCCAGGTTCTTTTTTAACTGGAAATTTTGGGGTTTGAGCCCAGGGGCTTATGCCTCAACACCTGAGTTCTGCTAAGGAGTTGGGATACTGACCCCAAATGGTGGCACATCAGGCCTGTTTATTCAAAGCAAAACAGCCTTCCTGAATTTGCATTCACATTAGAAGCCTGCAGTTCCTCCCATGTCACAGAATACATGTATCTGTTTCTCTTCCAAACTCCACATGCATGGATTTAGGGAGGAAAAGCTTCAGCACTCGAGATAAAAATTTACACATAGGATTTATCTTCATGAAGCTTTAACCCAGCACTTATCAAGGCTTCCTGTTCTGAATTCCTTGCAGGATTAAGCTCCTGCAATTAAGCTTGCAAGATAAGCTCCTGTCTCCTTTAAGTTCCCCCATGGGGGGAGGGGGGAGCTCTTGCCCTTCATTGCTTTCTATCTATTCCACTCCAGAAAAACAGCACTGCAGGTGGCATAAGACCATGGCAGAGGGACAAAAATAGGCAAGCTTCTCATTCTTGCTCTTCTGCCGCTGGAAAATAGCACACCTCTCCAGAAAAAGCAAAAGACACGGCTGTGAAGAGTGGGCCAGACCCTGGAGGATGGTGACGTTGTGTGAATCACCCACAAGGTACCATGGATGAGGAGTGGCAGTGGAGAAAAGGGTACTATGGTTACAGCGTGGAACATGGACCATGATCACACAGCATCCCCACAGCTTCCAGCTTACCATACGATCCTTTAGTGCATTCCGGAGCAAGGGAAGAAACTTCCTGGGATGGAATCGAATCACTGCTAAAAGAACGAGGCACCACTGAGTGTATCTTCCAACATCAGAACACAGAGACAGCTTATGGAATGCACACATCCACCTCCTTACCTGGGCAGAACATCCGTCAATGGCTGAACATCACCCTAGTTGGAAAGAGAGGAAAGCTTATTCTATTTGTTCTCTCTCTCTCTCTCTCTCTCTCTCTCTCACACACACACACACACACACACACACACACTCACACGAGCACCAAAAGCAGTGCAGATTTACAGTTAAGAGCTGGGCTCACCTGGCCTCTTGCAGCTATATGGGTCAGTTCTAGCAGCAGTAGGAACACTTACATAAATTGGAGATGCATGACAGGATACCATCTTGATATGCAAAGCATTACAGGCTAAACGATTTTCATTTGCATTCTCTTTGCTTTGGAGGAGGAAGCTATGCTATTTTGTTTGGGCCCTTTCACAGCAGCTGTTTCCTACAACACCAAGAAAGGGCTATAAAAATAACCACGGATCTCATTGGAGGCCACCCACTTATTTCTAGACACCGTAAAGCCCCTGAAAAGAAACACTTTTTAAAAGAAGCCCATTAGCTTTCCCTCTCCTACTTTCACATAAGTATACAGCATCTACTGTCAGATGCATGTCTTTCGCTATGTAGGTACAGGAAAGAGCCATCAAAAGGAGATCATAAAGCAGAGATGGGCAACATGGATGTCTGGGGGAAATTCCAGGTCCCTGCAAGTCCCCAGAGGTTACACTCCTGTTGCAAAAAAAGAGAAAATGCTACCAAAATCATTCAGTCCCCAGGTTTCATGTTTCACATTCCTAATTTAATGTAATGTTGTATTCTTACTACCATCCCTGTTTACAGGAGTTGATCAAGGCTGATAAAGGAGGACATGTTGGAGGTCATTCATTCATAGGGTCACAGCAACACATAAAACAACAGACTGCCCCAGATTCTTTCTATCACCAGCACCAGCAGGTTGACTTTGTATATTGAGGTACTGCTCATGATGATGGTCATCATACACCTTCATAAGTTTTATTTCCCAAAGGAAATCCCATGCAGCTAACGGAAAGGGGAAGAAAAGAGCAATCAATACTTCAGTGTTAAGAGAGCAGCCTTCTTTTTAAATGTCAGAAGTCTTCATTTTCTAGAACCATCCCATGCTGCAGCTTAGCATTCACACCTTTCACATGTTTTGGACTTATGCAGAGGATTGGGAGCGTTGGAAGGACTCCTTATTGGCCCTCCACCCACTCTTGAGATCCTTACAGCAACCCTATAAGGTAGGTCAGCAATAGAGCAGAATGCCCCGGGGCAACTTACAACTGTATTGGATTCTGGAACTGAAGCAGACACAGCTGTGGTTCAGCACTTCTAGGGCAACCCAAAACAAGCAGAAATGCTCCATTCGGGAATGAGGCAGAGTAGCAGAACTTGTGTGAGATTTCTCTGTCAACCTGCCTCCTTCCAGAAAAAGGCTTTTTGGGCCATTCTGGGGCTTTCCCTAGATCTTGGGTCAGTGGTGCGTTCTGCCCACATGGCAGAATTGGTTGGATCCACAAATGGAGGAGGAAGTAATTGTTGGAAGCATAGGAATTCTGTTTGATTCTGCCCATGATCTCCACAGTATGGATTCGGGAAAGCCGATTTTGAGTGGGGCAGCTTGCCAGAGACTGCCTAATGGCTTTCGGATGTATCCACAGCGCTGCCCCTTTGACAAAATTGCCAGCAAGTTGGCTCAAGAGGAAGCAAAACTCTCTGAGAGCTGCCCAGAAGGTAACTCAAAGTGCCATCAGTCCTGAAAGTTTTCCTCTGGAAAGACCGCACTGTAAATCAGGGAAAGAAAACTAACCTTGGCAAAGTCTGCATCCATCCTTGTGCCTGAAGGGAAGCCTGCATCAGTCTGGTTGCCAGCAGAGCAGCTCTTGCACCTGATGACAGAAAGTTTTATTTGCATGTGGTGGCCAAAGCATTGCGCTTACCATCCCTTCCCCTAAAGTCAGTCACTGGGGATATTTTTATCTTCAGCATTTACATAGGTGAACAGCTCAGTGCATGCAAAACAGAAGTAAAGTTAGGAAAGCGGTTGAAAGCCAGAGTGGAAACAGCCAGGTGGCCCTCCGTTTGCAGGGGCCATGAAACTAGAATCAGAAGTTGGAGGCACTTCTGTCCAAAATGGGAGTTGCATTCAGAGGAGAAATGCCAGCACTTCAAGAGCAACAGACACACAGAGTTATGTTACTAAATGAAAACCCTGGGACATCTAAGTCCTGAGACAGAGAAATCCAAAAAAAGCTCCATTGCACGATGCTTAAAATGTGCCAGCTTGCTTAGGAATATTACAAGTGCTGCTTGAAGTGTGACAAAGAGCTTAAAAGTGCTTCTTGGCTGCTTCTGTCCATGACGCACTTGTTCTCCTAAGCATGATGCAAATTTACGGCAGATGCTAAGCAGGTCTGACCCCATGGGACATCCTGGAAGCCAGATGCCAGCCATTCAGAGCTCTTCAAAATAGGAAAAATAGCAAAGCATTAAAACAGAGCTCATGAATCACCTTATAGCAGAGTCCCACATGCAGCGGCTGTGGGCACCTCCAATACTGCCCAGTGAAGGGGTCTCCAAACTGACACCTCTGGGTGCCTGTAAAACCCTTTTCTCCCATTATTTCTAAATACAAATACAAGGATTTATATCTATTCATAGCAATGGATATGCAGAAAACACACACAACTTTCTAGCAATTATCTTGGGCTTCAACAAAAGAGGACCAAATAGCTTAATGAGTTTCCATGTGAAGCTGTTGTCTATATACTCCTTATTCAAATACTGAATGTGTTGTAAGGTCCCAATCCATTGCATTATAGGCGTTTAGCACTTATCCTTCAGATGTTGCAATACTTGTCAAAAGGGCATGGAAAACCCATTCGTACTGACCATATATCAATTTCCATGAAACAAGAAAATATTTTTTTAAAGCAGGCTGAAGACCAGGAGGGTCTCCCACAGAGTTGGGCAGGGGAGTGGGCAGCACAGCTCTCCCAGAGTCTGGCGACTCAAGATCCCTTCTTCAGAATGCGGCATTCTAGGTGAGGTGCCCACGGAGGCCGCCTGTCCTGCCATGGCTCAGGAAGTCCCCAGGAACTTCTCCCTGAGAAAGAAGCCCTCAAATCAAGGCATCGAGGCAGAAGGAGACAGTGGCCAAGTGGGGAAAAAGAAAGACGAGAGGGGTGTGTCCTCCAACCTCAGGCAGTGGAAGATCTTGCAGCGGCCATGTTGAAGGCTTTTGAGGGATAAAGAGTTGCATGGTTGTGGGTTCACCTGCTTTTCCAGCATGATGTGATCAGGGGCAGAGGCTTTTTCAGACTCTGAAGACTGCAAGGCGATGGGGGAGAATGTGGACTTTTAGATGTCAGGCACAAACATGCAAGATCTTCGGTGGTCAAATCCACCTGCCTGAAGAGACGTTCTAGGAAGCTAGTATGGACGCTATGGCACTGATGCGATACATTCTAGCAACCCCACCACGGTGTTTCACACTGACAAACCTCCCAGGAAGGCCTTGAAGAGGTTGTACATCGCTGCTTATCTATTCTGAAGCAAGGGGAGAAGATGAGCTCTGAGGAGCAAGTGGGAAGGTATTTTAGGCTGCCTTAACAGAAGCTTCACTTCCAAATCACGTGAAGAATTTGTCCCCGTTAAGCAGCACTGGTTAGGCCTCATCTGGAGTATTGTGTCCAGCACTGGGCATCAACGCTTAAGAAGCAGACAAGCTGGAAAGGGTTCAAAGAAAGACAGCAAGGATGATTCAGGGACTAGAAACAAAGCCCTGTGAACAGAGATTGAAATAACTGGGCATGTTTCACCTGGAGAAGAGCAGACAGACTGAAGAGAGATCGAATAGCACTCCACAAGTACCTGAAAGTTGTCACAAAGAGAAAGGACATAATCTCTTTTCCATCATCCCAGAGTGCAGGACACAGAATTATGGGTTGTTACAGGAAGCCAGATTCCAGCTGACCACCAGGAAGAACTTCCTGACTGTTAGAAGAGGACCCCATTACCTAGAGAGGTTCTGGTCCTCCCACACTAGAGGTGTTCAAGATGCAACTGGGCAGCCATCTGAGAGGAATGGTTTAACTGGAGTCCTGCACTGACCAGGGGGTTAAACCCAATGGCCGTCTGGACCCTTCCAACTCTACTATTCTATGATTCTACTGGAAATGTAACTTACCTATTGGAGGGAGAGAAGTTTATCTGTATGTAACCTCCATCCACAAAGGAGTCCATTAATTCTTCATGTCCACAGAGCCATTGCTTTAAAAATGTGACTGTTAGACCTACCTGTCTTCTTCCAACATCACATCCAAGATGGATCCATTTCTCAGATGTGGCTCCTCAAAAGCAGATGATTGTCCAGTATTTTTAAGGGTCCTGAGTGCAGAACTTCTCCGACCCAACAGGAGAGAGTCAAGCGCCAGTGCATCTGTTCAAAATGTAAAAAGCAGCACATGGTCATCTCCAGAGCTGGCCATGTTTTCTTGGAGTCCCACAGAACAAGGCAATTAAGCAAGGCAGTTTTTAGAGTCTTCCCACAAATGAATGAGAGTGAACCAGCTATGCAAGCCACTCAGGGCTAGAAACTTCACACAGATTACCATCACCTGCTTTGGGAGGGGAATGAAGACATTTTAATGAGGAAATAGATGTATAGTCCTGATGTGGCTAGGGAATGCATGCTGAATCACAGCCCATGACTGCTTTCTCTTCAAAATAAGAAGTGGCTCTTGAGCATGCTTTTGCAAAAACAAACAAACAAACAAAAAAACCCATGTTTTATGTACAGTGTCATGTGGAGTTTGGACGCAGTGCCGGGTACCTTCCTTGTCATCTGAGAGGTGGTCTCCCAGAAGCAGAGCGTGGACTTGCAAAAGGCCACTCAAAGAACTCATGACCAAGAAGGACCTTGGAGTCCTTGGGGCTGCATGAAGAAGGTACCACGTTCAGTCCGTTGCATCTCTGGGGGTGTCAGGCCCAACCTTCTGACACAGCCTGGCATCACTATGAACAGTGGAACCCTTTGTTACAGCAAATCAGGTCAGGAAGACCAGCTTTCCAGAGATTGTGACTATGCTTACACAGTTACAGCCCCAGTAAACCAGACGGTTGAGGCAAAGGCTCTGGACACATTGCTTGGTTCAAGAGAAAGACCCAAGCTTAGGAGTCATGCAGAGTCACAGTTAAGAGTCCAAAGCCCAGAGAAGGACTTTCCAGTTCAGATTTCAAGACTGACAGAAGTCCAAGAACCATGAATGGCTGAGGCAAGAAAACATTGGTGGCATTTGAGAAGCACTCTGGAAAGGTTCTTCAGCCAGAGCACTTGCTGAAATACAGCAAAGGGGTACTAGACCCCTTCTGACCATCTATGCCAACAGGGCAACCTAGCCCAGAAGTGAGGACTATGACAAAGGACATATCTTTTCTTCAGGTGTCTTAACTTGGTGTGGCACCTCTGAACTATGCTCTCCTGAAGAATCGTTCTCCACTGGGTTCTCACAATCCCAGGCTGGAAATCGGAGGTCTCCTTTAAGGCCAGTTTTTGTGGCTGTAGCTGATAGAGCAAATAGTTCTCCTTTAGTCTATAATCGGATGGAATGCTAGACAGAGCCCCAGCTTCTTGCAACCGGGCTGGGTTCCAAATCATTCTGCTCTAAGTCTGAATCAGATTTTGCTTCCAAAACTGTAGGGTTTGAAGCTCTGATACTGGAGCTCCATCCTGAAAATACCTGCCTGGCATCCTGGAGAGCTGCTGCCTGTCTGTGTGGACAATACTAGCCTAGAAGGACCAAAAGTCCCACTCAGATCTCCATCTAAAAAGACGCCACCATCTCTGCTGCCCAGCAGTACCATTTCATAAGGGTTGTCATACTTCCGTCTTACCTAGCTGTGAAGAATATTGTGAGAAGCAGCATCTTAAGACGGGAGACCAGGATGAACGAAAAGGCCAGTGCTGTGGCACTTCAAATCTTTGATTGCAGCTGCTTTCCTAATTTAATTAAAGAAAAGGAACTGAAATCCATCCCTGCAGAAATCTCAGCACCATTACTAACTTATGGACTGTTTGCTACCTGAGACCAATCACACAATGTAAACAGTTGAATTGATTTTCAGAACCAGCTCCAGTTACATTTTAATGGGAGGGCATTAATTCAAAGACAATAGCAATCCTAGAATTGCATGAGGCGAGGTTCCTGCTTCTTACAAGGGATAGGAAAGATATCTAAGCAAGCCCTGGGACTGAAGCCGCTTGCCTAAGAGAAAAGGTTGGAGAATGCCCAGTTCAGGGGAAAAGGGCTGAGTGAAGGAGACATGGAGGGTTTGTACTATTATGCACAGGGCGGAAAAAATGGAGAGGGGAAGTTTTCTCTCTCTCTTTTGCAATCAAGTACCAGAAAAGGAACACTGGGGAGCTGTTCTGGGGTTCCTTTCAGAATAGGGCAGTGATTTCCCACACTGAAGTGATAATGAAACCAAAGGTGTAATATAAACTCCTTTGCTATGGCGAATAAGGGCTGCATGTTTTGCTGTAGCTGGTGATAGATGAGCATCAAAAAAGGGAGAAAATAAGAAAAATATGCTCAGAGATGCTGAATACTTTTCCCTATTTAATTTTTTTGATGACACTAGCAGTTTAAAGGGCAACACTTCCTTGCAAGACTGTTGTTTGCATCCTTAGTTAAAAGCTAAAGTTTAAATTTCAGCTGATGGTTTTGTTCAACTCACTGTTTTACTGCTGCAGCCAGAAGCTGACACCACAGGTTTCAATGGACTGTACTTCCACATGCTATGCCCAGGACTACACCCAGGCCCTATGGTTGTGAGATTTTAGCCAGTGGTGGCTGGGGCTGGTGGGAGTTGTAGTCTATCTGGAGTGCATCCAGTTGAGGGAGACTAAAATAGCAGCTGATTAAGTCCTGTGGTGCAGAAACTCAGTTTTAAATCCAGTACAGGCTAACTGTAGTAAACCAACGTCTCAGCATTGCTAAAGGGGTATGGTATGAAAACAACCCTCAATTCACTATGAATGTCTGTAGCCCAAGCATCTTTTGACACTGATGTTCAGCAGAGAATCCTCTCGGCCGAGGGATTTCCCAGTGGCAAGTGTGGAAAGAGAAAAGCAACTAAGAGAAAGAGGCTCGTTCTGTTCCATTGTCCCTGCAACATGCATTTGCCTCTGGACCTGGGTTCTACTCCCCACTTGGCCCTGAAGCGCCCTGGCTGACTTTGGGCCAGTCATAGACTCTCAGCCTAACCTACTTCACAGGGCTGCTTTTGTGAGGATAAAAATGGAATGGAGGAAACTACTCATATGCTGTTCTGGGTTCCTTGGAGGAGGAAAAGAAGAGGGATATAAATGCAAGGCAATAATAAGAATAACTTTCCTGGGCAAAGAGTCTGAATGCGTATGGAATTACCTTGTCTTCCGTTCTTGTCTCTTCATTCACATTTAAGCTAGACAAAGGCCGTCCATCAGCATCCGCGCAGCTCTGCATCAAATTTAACAGCAAGTTAACAGTCTGCTCCTAGCATCAGAGGCAAAACAGGCAGGGTTTGGGTAGTGTGGCTTTGGTAGGAATCTGGTGGTGCCATATCCTCCTGCAGTTGGGTGCACTAGTACTAGGGTATTTAGAGTACAATCCTATGCATATTTAGACAGAAAAGCAGCCTGCAGTTCCCAGCATTCTCCTGCTAACACAGCTAGGGAATTTCAGGCCTCTTTTCTCTTGAAGCGTGCATAGGGTTGGATGCTTTCCATGCATCCTCTGGAATTCTTTCCCTGTCGAGATTAGTTGGAGGCCTACGGAGTTGATCTCTAGAGCTGTTTCTTCATGAAAACTTTCTCCGAGGTGTGAACATAACAGTATAGTTCCACTTTTACTGTCACACATGCATTGTTTTATTGAAGTCCACTATGACCACCATCTCTATTATAATTATTATTCTTGCTATTATTATGCAAACTGTTTTGTCCCTTTTTGGAGGAAGCATGCATTTTTTTCAGCAAAGAAATAAATAAGTGCCAATGCCTGGAGCAAGGAGGGAAAAAGGGCAGTTGCTCATGAGTAGGGCGCATGGCTTGTGTGCAGAAAGTCTCAGGTTCAGTCCCTGGTGTGGATGAACAGAAAGTTTGCTGGGTTGACGTTTTGTATGAGTACCCAAGTCACACTTCTCAAGACTAATCACAGGACAGAAAGGACCTTGGGAATGCAATCCATACATTTCTCAAGACTTGCAGTGAGTTTCCAAGGAAAAACATGGACATCCCAAGAGGCGTTTGTTCGAAGTGTGTGCAGAAAAATGCCCACATTTGAAAAAATGATACAAAATCGCTTTTCCTAATGAAAAAGTGCGATCACTGGATACATGGCAATAATGAACATATTTGGAAAGATGTGCATAGCAGAACATCAGAGTTTATATGGGGAAGGGCTCCCACTCTGATACAGGACTAAAGTTGGAATTAGCTTGGTGGTAGAAAAATGACAACATTGACAAATTCCCCTCTCCCTAATCAACAGCTTCTCCAAGTAGGGCTGAAATAGACCCCTTTTAAGCTCTTGGTTTCCTCAAAGGAATCTTGGAACCTGCCAATTGCCATAGCACATGCCTGACATCACCCCAGAACTACAATTCCAAGCACTTTTTGGAGAAATGTAAGCCTTGCTTAACTCATTCAGATCTGCTGCGTAAATGCTGCTTAGTTATTCCATATCTCCAGAAAGTCGTTTATAAAATGTGGATGTTGGGGATGAGTGGGGGGTGGGGTGGGGGGAGAGAAAACTAGTTTTTTCTAATAATGAAAATGGATCACAGACCTGATAGAGAGTTCGACCCAACGGTCCAATAAAGCTCTTTTCCCTCAATGAACCAAGATCAGCTAATCAAGAAAACATGGAAAGTGTTGATCACAAACTGTCCCAAATTATAGAAGCACTTCTCTTTCTTAGCTGAAGTAAAATCAGTCTGCCAAAGTGGTGCAGAACAGAAGAGGCTCTGATTAGGCAAAGGAGGCTCTATAGACACGCACAGGTCACTATCTTCTTCAGCAACAGCTATGAATCTGGGGACAATGAGGTACTTCTCAAAGCAGAGGAACCAACTCTGAGGAGCAAACCCAGCTGAAGCCGCCCTGTCCTACTCGTGATGTTTGCTGTTGGGCTGCGGTAAAAACAGCTCAGTGGCCCAGAATGGTGGCCCACTGCCCAATCCAGTATGGCTCTTCTTTCGTTCTTGGCATTGTTTCCCAGATGCCTTTGGGAAGCCCCAGACATAGACATGAAAAGCAAGAGTCCTTTCCCAGAAACCCCTGACACTAGAGGGAAGAGACTGCCATCCTGGATAGGACCTATTGAAATGAAGTTACCCCCCGGAACCAAAATCCAGAGCACCTGCAGTTTGAATCTGGGCAAAAAGGAGGCATGTCAGCCATCTCAAGTCAGAGACAGAGATCATGAAAGCCATGGTGATACTCACTGCTTTGCTCCTTAACCTTCCACTCCAGCAGCTGGCAAGTTTGGGTCAGACGGAGGTTTATACCCTGGAGTCTTTCTTGCGCAGCAATGCTGTCTCTTAGCTCCTTTTGCAGAGAGTGCGCTTCCTCACAAGATGCCTGAAAGTGGCCTTCCTGGTCCTCAACCTGTGGGGGAAGCACCAGGTCAGCAAATGTTCCAAGTGGCTCCTTCTGAAGTTCTCGGCAGACTTCTCACCAATGAAACTAAACGTACGCCTCTTTCCGGAAGCCCTCAACTCCTGGTGCGCTTCTGCATTTAACAGGTTTCGTTCGTTTCTCAAGGCAGATGTGTGTATGAGCAAACAGCTTCTTCCTGTGCAAAGCACATACAAACTGCCACCCCCACCTTTTAGCTTATACTTCCTCTGCCTTTTGCAAGCAGCAGATAAACACGAGGTTCTGCTTTTGCTAAGAAAGGAGACCCTAATCTTGGGCTAGCTCCCCAACAGGTACAAAACATACACCCTCCAATCCTTCACAGATGGAAATAAGAGCCCATGGGTCAGGGGCAGGGGAACATCAGTTCTCCTTTTTGCCTTCAAGGTCCCATCATTCAAAATGTGCAGCTCTCCGAATTCCTCCCTGGAGTTCTCCAATCAAACACTGCATACGAACATGGAAATATTAGGGGAAAGAATGTTCAAAAATGCACTGGATTAAGAAAATCGCTTGCAGAAATTGTGTCTATTAGCAAACTGCATGCACCAGGAAAAATCTACACAGGCATGCTTATGAATTTTCAAGCGAAATAAATTTTTTTTCAAAAGTTTGGCATGCACAACCGCACAAGAATGAAGGCATTTGCAAGGTTCAAGACAAGCAGGGAAAAAAAATAAAATCTGAGAAACTGACATGAACAAGCTTGTCCAACCTTCTCCATGGCTAACAGAGTTGATACAGCCATTAAGACCTGGGACATGTGTCAGGAAAAGATGCTGGGAATCGTCCTGATGCTGAGGGCGATTGAAGGCAAAAGGAGCAGGGGACGGCAGAGGTTGAGGTGGCTGGATGGGGTCACTGGGGCAGTGGGTGTGGGCTTGGGTGTATTCCAGGAGATGGTGGAGGACAGGAGAGCCTGGAGGAATGCTGTCCGTGGGGTTGTGATGGGCAGGGCACGATTTTGTGACTAAACAACATCAGCCCAACTAGGGGCACATGCAAGAGGCACTGTTGCTTCACTGGTGTTATCCCTGAGCAGCAATTGGAGGTAAACGGAAGGGATTTCTGAGTCTTCAGAGTCTCTGTGGGTTGGAGGTTACCCAACCTGGCACTTGAACCAGAAAAACTGAAAGGAGGAAGCAGGGAGGGAGGATGGGAGGGAGGGAGGGAGAAGGAAAGACAGGAAGGCCTCTTCCATCCAAAATGCTTCTCAGAGTTGGATTGGACCTCCTGGAAGAAGGCCCTGAAATCGGCCACAAATGCCCTTGTTCAACTGCAGTGAATGGGACAGCAATTGTGGCTCCCGCCCAGCTGATAAGCCTTCCTTTTTCGAGGCTGAATAAGACCACACTCTGCACACGCACTATGACCTCATGGCCTTCAAAGATCTATCAATGGCTTTGTTTGTTCGTAGCTCAGTTTTCTCCTCCAAGCAACTCCAGATGGCTTACATAATCCTCCTCTTCTCCAAGTTTTCCTCATAACCAACCTATGGCGTAGGTTGGGCTGAGGTTGGGCCTGGTCTAAAGTCACCCAGTGAGTTCCATGCAGGGAGCAGAACCTGGATCTCCCAGGATCCCAATCTAACACTCCAACCATTGTGTCCCTCTGGCTGTGACCCACTTTCCCAGGTGCTTCACCAAACAGCAAGCCTAACACTCACCCTCTTGAGGGCTTCCTCCAGCTGGTTTCTTGCTTCTTGAAGAGCTGATCTCAAGATGTCAGCCTCTCCCTCAGCATCTTCTTTCAGCTTCGTGACTGATGCCAGTTCGCACTGCCTGAGAGACGTTACAGAAGAGCACGGGGGCATGAACGGAGGGCATTGCTCCGGCTTTGAGTTGCCCTCTCTGCTAAATTGCCAAGTTTATTAAGTTCAGTAAGTCTATAGTTGCCATATGCCATCAACCCATCTCCAACTTAAGGAAACCCTATGAATGAAAGCCCTTCTTGGCCGCCCTGCTCAGTCATGGCCGTGGCTTCCTTTATGGAGCGAGCCTGTCTCATCTCTGGTCTTCCTTCCAGTCTGCCTTCAACTTTCCCTAGCACATGACTTCTCCAGACAATCATGCTTTCTCACGAAGTGCCCAAGCACGACAGCTTCTGTTTCTCATGTTTGCCTCTATTGCCAAGTTCATCTAAGTTTACTGGATGTGCGGACAAATAGGCCCACCTCAGACCTAGGAACCCTGTGATATTTTTCCTCCTGCATCTCCAGGGAAGTTCTGCCTTCTTCTTCCAGCTCCTGCACCTCTTCTCTCCTACCCAAGACCTGCATCTCAAGTGGCCCTGCTTTTCAGAGGACCGTTCTTTCTTGGAACGCGTGTGCCATTTGAAGGACTGTCCAGCAGTGCAAGTCCAGACTGAAGATCCAGAACCATGAGAACTGAGTCGAAGGGCCCTGAAGATGCAAAGCGCACAGCTCACTGGGACACAGTTGTCCCTGTCCTGGTATGATGCATTACACTCCTATTCAAATGCCAGGAACTGGTTTTTCAAGCTCTGCAGCTATAGATGTACATTAAATTATGCAAACGTGTTTCTTTCTTTTTGGGTGAGGAGCAAAGGGTCACTCTAGTGGGGTGGAGCAGGGAACGTCTAGCAAAAGATATTCTTCGCCTTGCTTTATGCTCCCAGTGCGAGAGGCAGCCTTCACCAGCCGTGTGAACTGGATGAAGCTGGGCTATGTGTAACCCAGATGCGCTGAGCTACATCTCCACCCCTGCGCCCACACCACAGCCCACGCTAAAAAGAGCGATGGAAATGGCGCAAAGAAGGGAGAGCCCTGGAAAAGGATGACTTCACGTGGGACGTCCTCAAAGGATTCTTCTTGATGTGAAGAATCACAACCAACACTTCAGGCCCAGAACTGAGTCTAGCTTGTTCAGCTGCTACTTCTTTATGTCACTCAAGGTGCCATTTCTTGTCTCTAAATGTTCTATTTTCCACAGGGTTTGGTGGCACTGGGTGGACACCGGAAGAGGCTCCGTGCAGCCCATGGACCACACATGGCTTACTTTAATATGGACAGAAACGAAATAGTCCAATGCACACACTACTGGGAAGAAAGGAATACCTTGAAGAAAGCGCTTTCTTCAAGTGCAGCTGCTCCGTTCTCATTTTCCTCAGTTGCACAACCATTTTCACAAGCCCCTTGTCCAAGGATTCCTTCTGAGCTTCCAAGAGCTCCAGCTTTTGAAGCCACAGAGTTCTTCTAGCCTCCAGGTCCTGACGGAGAGCCTGTACAGACATTGTAAATTGGGTTTCGAAGAAGACAGCGATAGTTTCCTCGCCTTAGGCAATGATCCTTGTTATCCAGCACCAATTCGTTCAGGTGACTCAGGAAGACCAGCCTTTGTTCCATCAAGGGCCACATTCACTCAGATTTAATCGTGGGCAAGGGGGCACAGGGGATGCGGGTGGGACAAGGTTGCCACACAAGGCCTCTGTCAAGGTCATCTCCTTCCCATACTGTTTCCCTCTCCATCTCTCTTGAATCTCAAGGTAGAGAGAAAGAAACAGTGTGGAGTAAAATGAGTTAGACCTCTGAGTTAGGCAGTTATCAAATTACCATCTGCAGAAATCAGAGGAACCAATCCAGTCCTTGCAAGCCCTGTACAATACATGAGAAGATGGCTTTCCCAAGGACAACCTACCCAGACACTCTGATCAAGGTCTGGGGCCTACCTCCAACAGCCACTTCCAAGGGAGGCTTGGTTGGTGGCAACACGAAGAAGGGCCTTTTCACCCCCCCCCCCCCAGTTATGGAACAAACCTGTCTAAGGCCAGCCTGGTGCCAAGTTTAATATCCTTTTGGTACCAGCTTAAGACGATCTTCTCCCACAGATCCTATAATTAGTTTACTGGGGCTCTTTTGGCTGTTTAAGTAGGTCTTATGATTTTATTTGCAAAAGCTGTCATAATTTAAGTGCTTTAAATTTGGTTTTACATTTTTGCATGGTAAACTTTTTATGGTGCTTTTACTCTTGCTTGCATTTTATATTGTATTTTAATGTTTTGTTGTGAACTGCCTGAGGAGTTGGGCGGTATAGACATTAATTTGATATTGGGTGGTACAGCAGTTAATTAGACAGACAACTGAAAGGGCCTGCAACTCAGGAGTATTTACCCCCAACCTCTTCTCATAGGCTTCTTGCCCATTTGCCTCAGCGTCTGATCCCTGCAGCAGAGACAGACCAGATAATTCATCCAGGTGAAAAAGTTCTTGCTGTGAAAAGAGGAAGGGAAACCACTCAATTTATCACATCTGTCAGTAAGCACAACTGGGGTACACAACCCTTTGAGAATGATGGAAATATTTGGAGAGACTTTCAGGGCAACATCATCAAACAAGGAAGTGTTTTGCTACAGTTTGGAAGTGGGCAAAACCAGAAAAGCTTCCACGGTCTGGTCCCTAAGTCACTGACATCAGAGTCTTCCTTACCAAATTTTGGATGGCCGCCTTAAACCTTTCTCCCACTCTCTCTGGCTCTTGAAGCAGCAGCAAGACCTCCCTGTCCATTGATTCATCCAGTAAAGACCATTCGGTGCTTGGGAACTTGAAAACCAAAGGATGGAAAAAACCACAAAGCACAATTGACTAAAGACAACAGACACTGGCCAAAGGCGACCTGGACTTGAAACTCGGGCTTTGCAGGAGTGCTGAAAACATGTGGCTGATATTTAGGACCCACATCCTCTCTCCTCCAAATGGAAGGTAACTGGAGAGCTGGCATTCCCTGGAACAGTGATGGTGCACAGTCCTGCCACTTGACCCCCTGCCCAAATTCCCAAGACTCCCTCCTGCATAATTTCTGACACTGTGGAGGGGGTGATGTATGACAAACGAAAATATAAAAAGCACTCCTAAGCCCAGATCCAGAAAACTGCCTGATTCTGCAGCCCTGACAAATAGTTTCTCAAAAGTGGAAAGGAGGAGAGAGACCATGTAAGCTGCGGAGAATCCTTTGCACGGCGGGGGGGGGGGGGGGGGGGAAGAATGGGACATACTTGTAATTGATAAATACAGAAGCTGAGAAGCAGGCAAGCCAATGAATAAACAAGGAAATCTGAGCCAACTTTGTATTTCGTGAGACAACATTCACATTCCCGTGATGGGATGCAGAAAGGCACAGGTGTGTGCAGCAACCTAGATACAACCTAGGCCAATGCTCTCCAGCCTGATGCTGTCCAGAAGTTTTGGACTTCAACTCCCATCACCTCCAGCCAGCACAGCCAGTAGCTAGGAATACTGGGAGCCGAAGTCCAAAATACTTAGGGTAAGGCTGCACCAGTTGCTAGCTTGGGTTTATATGTATATATTCTATCAACATTTGACCAAAGATCTGCATGTCACACACTCCCGAAGACAGGAACCAGGCAGTGTGTGGCTCCTGCCTCTTCCATCAGAGAAACTGGGCTCTTGGATTGCAAAAGGAGTTGGGGAACAAAGGAAGGAGCTCCATTAACACCATCCATTTTCCATAAAAAAAGGATTCCTAGGTTATATTTGCATTTCAAATCCTCCCACCTTGTGAATGTCATTTCCAACCTCCAATTGTTCTTCTGCAAGTTCCAGCTCACAATGCAATGAATTGGTTGCTTCAAGGTTGCTGCTGTTGAGTTTGTGCATTAAAGGAAAGTTGATGCCATTCCTAGCAAATAATTATGATGATTAAAATTGTTGCAGCTCAAAAAGAACCAACTATTAAAAGTGCTGTATCTTTTCTCTCGGAGCTCCAAAATACTCACGAAATCAGTTCCTGCTGCATCCGCTGAACGTTTTTCACCAGCTTATTCTTCTCTGCACGCAGAGTCTAGAATACACACCCAAAACAAATCTCTCTTAATACTGGGTTTACAGGGGAAAGGTCATGCAGCCCCTTCCTTCCTCCTACTGCAATGCATTTTTAACACATTATTATTACACATTAGATTTATATCCTGCCATTTTTTTCTTTTAATGAACTAAAGATGGCTGACTTCATTTTCCAGATGCTACTCTCCATCATATTTCCACAACAACCTTCCTGTGAGTTAGGCTGGGCTGAGAGTTTATGCCTGGCTCAATGTCACCCAACTGGCTCCATGGCTGAGTGGAGACTAGAATCTGCATTGCCTGAGCCTTAGACCTACCCTCTTAACCACCGCATCACACCAGCTCCCTATTAATTATTGTTAATTAATGTTAACATTAATAATCAATATTACAATGCAATAATTATTAATCAAATGCACGATCACCTCTATTACTGAAGTGTATTCCTTAAGGGTAGACTTGAGTTCCTGGACATCCATGTCTTTCTGTAAAAGAAGAAGTGTTAGAATTATAAGACCTCTGCATTTCCTGAAGTTGGCCTACTTTTCTTGGGTGGGATCGTGTCCAGCACATTCAGGGCCCACCTGCCCAGAGGAGCACCTGCTAAGTCCCCTGGTTACTACTCAAGAGGAGTCTGCATGGACACAGGCTGCCATGCCAAAGTAGCGATTGGTGGATCAGAATATTTGCATCTGTCACTGTCCCATCTGTATATCCTTAAGTTTGTTCTGTCTTCCTTCTGCATCAAAGTATGACTCTTCCTTTTTAAAGATTAAAATCACATTTTAAACAAAATCTGCATATGTTGTGCTCATTTCCCTCAAACTGTACATTTAGTGTCATTCCGAACATAGGCATCTCTGTCCTTATTTCAGCCTGCTGGTTTGAATAGAGAATGGCATGAAACATTTGTAAAAGTACAAGAACAAAGGGTAACGGTGTTCAGTTCCATGCACTGGCCCGGGAAGTACCACACCAAGATCGCTTGGTTTAAAATGCTGACCAAATTTAGTCTGGAAGCAGCGGTAGAGCAGCTCAGACCAATCTCCATCCAGCATGCTGCCTGTCTGCTCTCAATGGGCAACATTTCTCTAAGGTCTCAGACAAACATCTTACCCGGCCAGTAAGATGTGGCTTTTCCCCATGCACCGCAGATCTGTTCAGGGTAGCTAGATCCAAAGAGCTCTAGGAAGCTCACAAGCAAGTTGTAAAGGCCAAGCCTCCCACCCCGAAACTCGTGTTCAGAGGTAGGCTGCTCCTGGATATGAAGGTTCCATTTTGCTCCACGGGGCTCAATGGCCTCGCCTGATATATCCTTCCAGTGCAGAAAATGCACCCACTAGGAGAAGACCAATGAGTATTCTTGGTAAGCCGTCCAGAGACTCTCTTCGTAATGGGATGGCATAGAAAAACTTTAAATAAATAAATAAAATAAATGGGAGGGGAATGCGGGCCATTTGGATGCACTTGACCGTGCATGCTCAAGAAAGGGCTTATTTAGTACTACAAAACAGGGTTCAGTAGTGAACACCATTTCCATGGGGACAAGGTAGCTCATTTCCTCACTGTCTTGTTCCATACATTCAAATTTTCTGCAGGTGTCTAGGGCAGAAGAAAAGCAAAGGCCTGCAAAGAAGGGTCCCCTGGAAGAAGGCTTCTGAAGGCAGCGGATGTTTGCAAGCTGACTACTCCAAGGGCAACCTTGCGTGGAAGGGGCCCGGCATTTTCCCACTCCGTGCTTCCTGCAGGGAGCCATAGCCAAGTCAGAGGTACATGGCTTGCCCTTCCTGCAGCAGCCTGAGCCCTTCGCCCACATGGTTTGCACAACTTCTGCTTAGCATTTGACTTCTGGTCTAATTCAGAGCATGGCCAACTGCAGAAGTTATGGAGAAACTGGGGTTGCGGGGGGGCGGTGACTCAAAACTGGGTGGGATAGCTGATACCCTGAAATACAGAAACAAGATTCAAGGTGATCTTGATAGGCTGGAGCACTGGGCTGAAAACAACAGAATGAAATTCAGCAGGGACAAATGCCAAGCTCTGCACCCAGAAAAAGAAACCAAATGCAGAGTTACAGGATGGACTATACTTGGCTCAACAATCCTGCAAGTGGGAAGGATCTTGGAATTGTTGTAGATCACAAGCTGAATAGGAGCCAGCCATGTGATGTGGCTGCAAAAGGGGCAAATGCTATTTTGGGCTGCATTAATAGAAATGCCATTTCCAAATCCTGGAAAGTGCTAGTTCCCCTTAACGCAGCACTGGTTCCGTGTCTTCTGGACGCCTGTGTCCAGTTCTGGGCACTGCAGTTTAAGAAAGATGCAGACAAGCTAGAAAGAGACATAGAAACAGAGCGAGTCAGAAGGGGTCACCCAGGCCATCTAGTCTGACCCCTGGCTCCAGCTGGCTCCACTCACAAGATGCCCACCATGTGCATGTCCAGCCTATCCTTGAACACCCGCACCGATGGGGCCTCAGCCACCTCTCCTGGAAGCCCATTCCATGCCTTCATGTCAGGAAGCACTTCCTGCATCAAAACTGAACCTGAGTTCCCTGAGCTTCGCTCCACTTGTTTTGACCTTTGCTTGCCTTTAAAGGGCTCCCATCACTGATATGCTAAGTGGATTCAGGATGTTCACACACAGAGAATGGTCCAGTTGGCAGGACCTGATGGCACACCATGGCTTCATTTGCCCATAGAGGCAGATGCTGGCTGAGATCCCCCCCGGATAAATCCTTGGATTTCCTCCTTTTGCTTCCCTTTCCTCAGCATCCCCTGCTGCTGCTTCAACTTGCAACCGATGAGTGCTTTTCTTTCAAAATTGCCTGGCCAAGGAAGTGTTTCTGAGTGGGGGTGCCCTTCTCTCATTCCCAGAGGGACCTGCAAAGCTTTGAGCACTGGCACTGCTTAGAATCCTTCCGATACAGTGCCCTGCACTGAAAAAGGAAGATCCGTTCTTCCCCTTCTACAAAGGAAGTTGTAGCATTTATGATAATGTGAAGTAATGTCAAGGAGGAAGGAACCTATTACACAGAATGCTGGACTTGATGGGTCCTTGGACTGACCCAGAACAGCTCCTGCAAAAAGCCTTGACCCGTCACCAACCGCAGCATTCGCAAGACCAGTGGATGGTGCATTTATTTTCAAGTATTTCAAGTATCTACCCCGATCTACCCCATGCTTTTGAGGTCTGCTGTCAAGGTCACCGTGATGCTCCCATGAAGACCCGTTCCACTGTTAAGCTCCATGCTGGAGATGCAACGCCAAGCGCCCCATTTCCAAGCGATGAGAGAGGTAGCTATCAAAGGCAGCACCTTTTTGGTAGCAATATCATGTTTCTGGATCAATGCTCCATTGATGGGATTTTGATAAGAAGACTGATCCGGTTCACAAATCATGAAGCAATTCCTGGGTTATTTAACCCAGGAACTGCTGGCACTATGAGCACACTGCTTGTGCATTTTTTCCACTTTCCATTAACAACCCCAAAACGAACAATGGGCAATTGTTGGGTTAACTCTGGATTGTTTAACCCATAAACAGCCCTGTTTCCAGGTCCACATGTCATGAAACAATCCAGGAATGGTGAGATTTAATTGAAAGAAACAATTGTTGGGTTAAACAACCAAGGAATTAGAGTGGGACATCCAAGCCAAGTCAGTTTGCTTTATCCACCAGGCATGCAAATGGCCCTCAAATACTGAGTTTGGTCGCCAGTCACTTGGATCTTGGATGGCTGCAAAGTGGACTGGAATCCAGGAAGCTGAAAGCAAGGAATCCGGTGGATTTTCCACACAAAACAGATTCCTTGCAAATCCCTAGTGCAATTCTATGCATGCTCAGACAGAAGCTGTAGGACTTAATTCCCAGAAATTGAAGGACTTCATTCTCAGATCCCTCAGCCAGCCATGCTAGACAGAGAAATTTGCTTAATTCTGCCAAAGCATGCAAAGGAGGCACGCAGGAACTCTGGATAATTTGCAGGTTACCAAACTTCCTAGAATTTGGTCCTCACGGAGCAGGAGCAAGCACCCTAACACAAGTGATCATAAAAGTTTTCCGGGTACTCTACTTTCTAAATATATACTTGAACGGAATTGTGCTTGAGAGGTCACTCTGTATCTGCCTCAAAGAAATGAGATTAGTGTTGGGTTTGTGCTCTGTATCAGATGGAAAGCATTCCATGCCTGGGCTTAGTGCCCCTGAGCGAGGTGTCAGAATCCTCCAGAATAGAAAAACACCCATTTTTGTGCAACTTTGCTCAAATGGAACACCCGATATCAGCAAATTGGGATCGTCGTGTTCCCTCCTGGAAGCTGGTAATCAGTATCAGACTCAACCAGGAACTTCTACAGGAACTCTCACACATTTGGTGCCACAAGCCCGGCTTTTTGTCTCAGTGGAATCATGCCATCTACAGCTCACATACAGCCATTGCAGAAAGGACTGGACTTTAGGGAGAATTAACTAACCACGGTTCCTCCTGGGGTTTTCCTGGCTTGGGAAATATGAGAACACCACCATTCCCTCTGTAAACTAACTCTGTTTTAATCCTAGCCAGTAATGTCTGCTTTGCACCTGTTAAAATCGCACTGGCCGCTTGGTAGTGCTTTGATTGCTTCAGCACAATGCTTTTGAGCATGACATTGTCCCCCTGTTCTCCTTAAGGGAAACCAAGGCAGGAGAGGAGGTCTGCTTTGCCATGTGCTCATTCTGTTCTCCTTTGGGCTGAGGTGGGATCTAATCCACCTTCTGCAAATGGCCCAGACAGCACTATAATACAAACTATGCACGAGAATCATAGAATAGGAGGGCCGGAAGGGGCATCGAGTCCAAGCCCCTGCCATTGCAGGACACCACCTTACACCATCCCACTCAGAGGGCTGTCCAGTTTCTTTCTGAAGGTCTCTAGTGTGGGAGAGCCCCCCACCTCTCCAGGCAGCTGGTCCCACTGTTGTATGGCAGAGTTCTGCCACACTTAGAAACATTCATGGAGTGTGTACACACTTGGGCTGGATCATGGAAGGAGGGAATGCACCCCTTCTCTACCTAAATGCCACCCTGATTTATGACCAGCATTGCCCACTGGCCACATTAAACCACAATGCTGGGAAGAGGCACATTGCGGCAGAAGGTGCTCAAAAGCCTTCCCCTTCCCAAATTCCTGCCCCCCAAGCTGCGTGAATCCCATCAGTGTTCTAAACCTGTGCTGGGAAGTAAAAGCAGCAGGGAAAAGTAGCCAAGCAGAGCAGTCATGGACCATCCTCTGGAGATGTTTGTTCTCCTATTCAGCCTGAGCCACCACAGGAAGACCGGCCTCTGCAGCTCCCGAACAGCCACTGACCTGGAGGAGGGACGTGTCTTTATTCCCCACCATATTCTCGTAGAGGTGCACTTGCATCTGCGAGGGGAGAGCAAAACAAGAAAGCAAAGAAGCAAGCCTTTCCCACCCTGGCTCGCCAGCCACATCTAAAGCAGAGGCGCCCATGCACAGCTGCCGCGATGACAAAAACAAGAGAACAAGCGCCGTCTCCAGGAAGGAGCTGGCAGGTGTTACAGGCCACAGTCCCTCATTCCAACTGAGAAGGTTGAAACGAGTTATGGCTGGCCTGGAGTGGCCACTTGGCTGGACCGAACGGATGCCATTTTATCCACATCCAGGAGACCAAAAGCTTTCTCTTGCAATCAGCTACAGTCTTCTACTTAAGAAGGAGGCCTTTGGATGCTGGCTTTGCAATACAGAGGACCTGGCTGAAGGCATCCATAGGTCAAGCACCACTAGTTAGCCAACCAAGCTATTGAACAGTAAGCTGCCCAGGTACCTAAAGATTTTAGGTTCCACAACCGCCACTGGATGGTCAGTAGACAAAAAGCAGGAGATTCTTCTGGAATTGCCACCCAGACAAGGGGAGAGGGACCAAAGGAAACACCCTGCTAGAAAAGAATGCTGGGTATATTCCTTTTCTTGCCTGTTGAGGAATTGCACCAAGGTTTCCCCAGTAGGGGCATTTTGGGTAGCTTTTCCCCAAATGAAGGGGAAAGAACTGATTCAGGTACTAGGAGAAACTTAGCATGGACCTAGCGCATCTTCAAGGAACCATGTTGATAGACTGCATTTTCCCTTTTTGTGTCTCTAATTTGCAATTTTGACTGCATAGAATCTGAGCAACTTTTCCCCATTCTGTACTTTTCCCCGAACCCTTATAAATCCTTGACTCTCTTTTTATCAAAACACACAGGGGTCCATGTTTAGGGCCTGTTGCCTTAATCCTTGGCAATGAGACTTTAAGTCTGCTGTGATCCTGTTGATGGATGTTCAGGGGTACATTTGGATTCGAAGCATTCAGCCCTTCCTTTCCTGCACTGAAAAAAAGGAAGAAGTCACTTACTTGGAGTTCGGCCATATTTCTGGACAGCTCTGCAATCTTCTTCTGGAAGCCATCTGCATCCAGAGCAGTCCTGATGTTCTAGATCAAAGCACAGTCCCTTTATTACATGCAGCAAAACTAGCCAGTGACCCTTTCCAGCCAACAAAACTGGTGCGAGGTAGTTTGCACACTCACCTCTTCTTGCAGAGAAGAAATCTTAAAGATGAGGGACTGATTCTCTTTTTCCTGATGGAAATAGGAAAAGAGGTGGCCATGAGACTGTTTGAAGAGATATTGCCAGCACACGCAGAGTTAATATGGAGGACTCCTGCCTTCCCCAGTCATTGACTCTGTTCTCCCAGCAGAGGAAGCAAAAACCCACAGATGCTTCTCATGCCCAGACACTCTTGTGGGGAGTGACCATCGTGACTCAGCGTGGTTCTTGACCATGGTGAGACTCGACGGTCTGTGCTAGGGTTTCTCTCTACCACGATTGCTTGTTGTGCTGCCCAGGCAAGAGACATCATGGAAGAATCCCCGGAACAAGAGGCTGTCTGGCAAGAGCAGCAGAGGGCAATCTTGCCCAGTGGTTCGTCAGAGAACGCAGCTGATTGTTGCCCCAGTTTGGTGCACCTGACAGTGGCGTGCTGCCTGCTCCCACTTCCTGAATGAGGTTTCTTCTCTGGAGAGGAGCTAGGACAATTGGCTGGGATTCAGGACAGCCCCCCCCCCACTACCCCTTGCTGGAGAGCAGGCTGTTTGGCCATAATCCTTCCCTGCCTTCTTTCAGGATTCCTCAGAACCTTTAGTCTTGGTCTCTCTTTCTCTCTTCTTCAGTGTCTCCTCTGAACATCTGGTCTCCTTCCCCCTCCCTGAATTTTTCCCTCTTGACAGGGTCCAAAAGGGTTACATTCCCAGCACTCCACCAGAGCTGTATATACTTTGAGACACTGCTCTGTTTTATGCTGGAATACTTGGACTGGAGCTGATTTAGTCCCACAGAAATTACTTGGGACTATAGCCATGGAATGAGATATACAGGGCAGTGAAGCGGCATTGCTAACTATAGTGGGCGCTGGATGGCACAGTCTCAAAGATACTTCGAAGCTGAGTCTCCAGGGTTCAGAAATGGAGGACTCTGACATTTATTAGATTTATATTCTGCTTACATCTTTCTCCTCCACCTGATATCAATCTTAGCCCCACAGCAACAGCCCTGTAAGGCTGGTTGGGCTGAGAGTCTGTGACTGACCCAAAGTCACCCCGGTGGCTCCATGGCTGAGTGGGGACTCGAACCCAGGTCGCCTGACTCCCAGTCCTGGGCTCTTAACCACTCCGGCTCTCAGCCATGTAGCAAAAATGCAGAGCAGAGAGAGCCCCAAGGTGGATTGGAGAAGCATGAGGCTCCAAGTTCGGGATTCACACTCCCCTCAGCAGGACAGGACCTTTAGGGTCAATGTACAAATACCACGGGAATCTTTTTATTTGTTGCTGAAAAACTGGGCGGGAGGATGGAATGGAGTGCAGTGGAAAAAGGTATGGCTGGCTGACAACCTGAGCAGGTTGACCTGCAGCAACTTCCGCACTGTATTCTGCAAATTGTGCTCGTATCGCCAGGATGAGAGAAGGACTTTTCAAAGGACCTTTACTGAGAAATATACCCTGGTTTCTGACATTTCAGCAGGCATTGTCCACAGGTTTTCAAGCATATATGCATTCAGCCATGAAGACTGGGCTCTGCTTAGCGAAGTAGCATTTCCTCCGGAAATGGTGCTGCGTATGCAACATCTTTCTCTGCATTTGTTTGACTCCTGGAAAATGTCAGGATTATGACAAGCTCCAGGCTTGCATTGCAAAGAAAGGCACCTGCAAAGATCAGAGCACACCTACTAGCTGCTTCGTCTGGCTTGCCATCTTCAGTCCTTTTTCTTCAGCGGCACCGAGGTTGTTCTTCGATTCTTCCAATTCCCTTTGCAATGTTTTCACTTGAGCCACAGACTGCTGGAAACTGAACAGAGTCGAAGTCATTCACCACCACGTGGGTTACAAGCAACACCAGGTTGGGTCATGTTTCGTTTTAAAAACAAAACAAGTGAAAGGATTGTATTGTTTAGAAGAAAGGCTGCCAAACCCATCGCCTAAGGGCTAACTATAATCCACCACGGCTTGCTCACCAGGACCTCGGACTTAGAGCCATTGCAAAGTGGAGTCTGGGAGCAGAGTCCAGGGAATCCAACAATTCTCACCCGCACGCAGATGCCTTACATCCTTATTCGTGCTGAGTTACAGTCAAAACAGACAGCAGATTAAAGAGGAACAAGGCCCATCACGGGGGGAAAGATTTAAAACTCCCCCAGCACCAGGTTAGGGTCCAGATTTGGATCAGGCTTCCTTACACCTACTCTAGAGTAAAAGCATAACAGGGGCTCTAAAGGTGGCATGATTTGGCCTCTGGATGGCTTCAAAAGGAATTCAGCCTGAAGCTCACTAAATGGTAAAATTCAGAACAGGGCTGTTTCCCCTCGTCCTGCCTCAAACTTCATGATATACTGTAGTCCCCCTGAATCACAGAGGATCCTGACTCCCATGAACGCCTACGTGTGTACGGCTGCACGTGTGAAGACACACCCATGCAGGCATGTCTGATGTACACATGGGCCCCAATGGATGGGGCTATGGAGTGCCATGATGCCAGGGCGGAAGTCACTTACAGCCACATCCCAGCTGGCTGTGTGAGTTTCACAGGTTATTATAACGCACCAGTAGACCTAAATTCATGCAACACTATCAAGGGGGAGTATTCATGACTACCCAATTAAGCATTCCCTTCTGAAGATTACATGCCATCGAATATCAGCTCTTGGGGATCTGTGTGCTTTCTGGAGACATCCCATAATTATTCTTTAGCACCTTGAGTGGCATGTACTGAAGTACTATATTAGTGGGCTCTGGCATGATTTGCTATCTAGTCTGAGGATTGGCTGTGTTCATTTTTGCACAGAGAGAGAATGGAATGATTTGGTCTGGGGGGTAGAACTACTCCCCAATACTCAAGTATTGTAAAGATACTCAGATGCAGCAGATTTCATAGTCTGAGGTTTCAGCCTTAAATCAAGCCCACAGAGGCAGAAAGAAGGGGACATCCATCCATCCCTGATTCCAAACAGCCAATAAAGCACTCAACCTTTTTATCTGATTGCGGAGTTCTCCGCCCTCTTCTGTCAATCTGTTATTGGCTTCCTCCATGGTATCCAAAGCCAACTTCAACTGGCCATTTTCCTCTTGCAGCTTTTGATTGTTGAACTGAAGATCTGCTATGCAAGCAATCAAGTCCGAGGTTTCCCTGGGCATACAAGGAAAAACAAGGACTACATAGTTGAACTTTCTCCCTCTTCCATGGTTTGTTCAAAGGGGAGCTCTGACCTGGGACCTCATCACACAATGTCCTCCACCACCCAAAGCCCGCATGTCTCCCCGCTGCATCTTTCCTGCCCTTTCAGCTTCTCACCTGAGCCCTGTCCACCCAGTCCTGACAATGAGCATCCCCATCACTAAAGCCTCCTTTTCTCCCCAGCAAAAGACCCTCTTATAGGCATGGTCCTACCTTATGCTAGCAGATGCTCCTTGATACCTGCCTGGATAATTTACATGGTACAGAGAAGGGGCTGACAACACTGTGAGCAGAAGCAACTACTGGTAGTACAATGGCAAGGACACCATTGTTGCATTATCTACTATCAAGTCATCTCCAACTTATGGCAACCCTATGAATGAAAGTCCTCCAGTATGTTTGATCTTTGACAGTTCTGCTCAGCTTTTGGAAGCATGCCACAGATTTGAGTTCAATCCGTTCATCTCATCTTTGGAGGGCCTCCTCTTTGCATTGCATATGCACAAGTATTGTAGAGACGCCTCCAAAGAACAAGAAACCCTGGCCTGGAGGGCTTTACTTTCCATAACTTTCTTTTAAAAGAAAAAGGGAAACCCCATGAAGATTTTTTTCCCAAATGGAGCACTTCCAGTACTACGACTAAGAAGGTATCCAACTACTATTCTGCCCTTGGTCTGCAATAAGAAAAAAAGGAGAGAGAAATGGTGGGAAATGCAACCCCTCTGAAATATTGCAAATGAGGACAATGTTACAAGAAAAGTAGTTTCTGAAAAGCAACCTAGCGGAGCATCCCCCAATTTCTCTTTCGAACCCTAAAAATGCAGACGCCACTGCAGCATAGCTCTCCCTATATAGTAAGCTCTGTCTTTCCAACAGAGATGCTTCTGAAAGTCACCATTTAGCATCTTGTAACCATTTTTTAAAAATTCCTTTAAAATTTTTAAAAAGGGACTCACAGGTCTCCTCTAGACACATCTCCACCAAGTGCCTCTAGGCTTCCAGATGTCACATTCATCCTCCCAGGGGTCCTTTTAGCTGCAAACAGAGTTTTCTGCTTAGAGGTTCAGGGACTTACAAGATTCCTACAAAGAATCCCAACAGGGAAGGTGCCAATCTAGCTTCCTGAGGAAGGAAGTTCCAGGGCCTTGGGGCAGCCCAAAAGGAGGCCCTCTCCATCGTTCCCGCAAAGCACACCTGTGAGGATGGTGCGATGGAGAGAAGGGCCTCTTCAGAAGAGCCCAACACCTGGGCATGCTCAGGTGGGAGAGCACGCTCTTCCAGATAACCTGGCCCTGAACTGAGTTGGCACAGGCCAAGCTGGGTGCTGCACCGCAGTTTTTCCAATAAATTGCTGCCACTTCCCAGCACCTGCCACCTGAAGTGGTCACCTCTGCTCGATGGTAGGGATGGTCAGGCCTATGTTTCAGCCATGGCAAAGGCATCTCTTCTTTCAAACCATTTCTTATTGCTTCTTGCAAAATAATTTCTTTCTTTCTTTGGTGATGCTCAGGAGCCAAATTTAATTGGCTATGAAGAAAGGCTCCTAGGAGTGGTTTTCGATCTACTGGAGGGTGAGTCCTGACACAGTAAAGCCCAAGAGATGCATTTACTGTCTTCTTCCCTACCCACGTTTATTATTATTATTATTATTATTATTATTATTATTAGAACATTTCTATGCCGCCACTTGCCGAAGCCTCGGGGCGGCTTACAACACAGTAAAATACAATACAATACAAAAATAACAATATAAAATTAAAATTAATAATATAAAATAAATAAAAAATATGAAAGATATAAAAGAAGTTATAAAAGAAACGTTATAAAAGAAAAGAAGTCGCCCTGGCCAGATAAATAAGTAAATATTGTTAACAATTAAAATGACGTTTAAATACCCACTGCCTCATATGGAACTAACCCCACTGGTGAAGATCCACATGGCTTTAGTTCTTGACATGTCAGTTCTTCCTAGATGGTCTTTTATGAACTGGACATGCAACCCATCCCTCTTTAGAAAGGGAGAGACCCCCCCCCCCCAAACACCCAGCATTGCCCATCCAGCAGGCTGGCAGGCAGATACTGAGACATGCAAGACCGTTTTTTCCTGTCTAAGCAGGCATAGAAATGCATCTCCCGTAATACAGAAGTACAAAGCGTCTGATACCTGCTTGAGTTCCTTCCCTGGTTGTGTCCCAAGTCGACGGCTCATGCCTGAAAAAAAAATTTGATTCCCACTGTTTAAAACTCCAGAACTTTTAGAATGTCTGACATCAACGTTTATTAGTAGCAAGAGCAGCCTATATATTTCTTTCCCAGATTTATTTCAACGGCATCGAAAGACTTTCCCTTTTCCTACAATGTCCGGCACTCCTTGTGAAAATATAATGGGGCAGCCCCAAATTTCAATGCACAGGAGGAGACCCAGAAAGAGGGCATCTAGCTGTGATAACAGCTTCTGTTATATTTGCATAAATATACCTATGCCAAAAAAATAAACATCATAACTGGTACTGGCTTTGTCTTTGCCCCGTTTCAAGATATCTGTGCTATTGGATTTTTATTGTACCTTTTGATTGCATCTTCTGTTTTAACTGGCTCAAACTTATATTGTCCAGAATGTAACTTCAGTTATTAAGGGTAGAATCCTAAAGGGTTGCTGTTGGTCAGAAGGAAACTTCGCATCTCATGGGCTGCCAAGTCTCCTGTACTGCCAGCAAGGCAGTGGGGGCGATTTTCATCTCAGGGATCAAGGTCTCAGAGATGGGGCCACAGCTGAAAAGCTGACACACGCCTGCAGATCCAGCCCTTGCCTTTCCCCTCCCTGCCCACTGGAACACCCTAGAAGGCAGAACGAAGATCCAGAAGTAAGTGCAGGATGCGTTTGTCTCCTAAAAAGGAGGCAAATTTGGTCAGCTACCAGTTTCTTCTGCAGTCTTCAATCCATTCTTTCATGATGGCATGGTAGGTTTCCAGGTCCATGGAGATGTCTCTTTGCTCAGGATCGAGCATGTTGCACAACTCTTCTAGCTGGCTGTCTTCTGAACTCCGGCTCGTTGTAAACCGCAGGAAATCAACTAATTTGGAAACTGCCACTTTGCCTGAAAGATTTGTTTGTTTGTTTGTTTGTTTTTATTAAAACATTTCTATGCCGCCCCATTCGCCGAAGCCTCGGGGCGGCTCACAACATAAAATTAAAATACAAGAAATAACAATATAGAATAAGTCGCCCTGGCCAGATAAAATAAGCAAATAATATTAACAATTAAAATGACGCTTAAATAAAAAGGTCTTCACCTGGCACCGAAAAACAAATAACGACGGCGCCAGGTGGACCTCTCTGGGGAACGCATTCCATAGATTGGGCGCCACCGCAGAGAAAGCCCTCCTCCGAGTAACCACCCTCCTAATTTCTTTCACGGAGGGTTCCTGGAGAAGGGCCTCTCCCGCAGATCTCAGGGGGCGGGCGGGCATATATGGACGTAAGCGCTCCTTCAGGTAACCAGGACCCAAGCCGTTTAGGGCCTTAAAGGTCATCACCAACACCTTGAATTGGGCCCGGACTTCAATGGGAAGCCAGTGAAGCTGACGGAGGACTGGAGTCATGTGAACGTAACGCCCTGTCCCCATCAGCAACCCGGCAGCTCTATTTTGAACCAATTGAAGTATCCGGACCGTCTTCAAGGGTAGCCCCATGTAGAGCGCGTTACAGAAGTCAAGGCGGGAAGTCACCAGCACGTGTGTCACTGTCGCCAGGCAGTCGTCCTCCAGGTAGGGACGTAGCTGATGGATCAGTCGAAGCTGAAAGAAAGCGCTCCTCGCCACCGCTGTCACCTGAGCTTCCAATGAAAGCTCTGGGTCAAGGAGCACTCCCAAGCTGTGGACCTTGTCCCTAAGAGGGAGTGCAACTCCATTCAGAACTAAGTTCAATTCACCCTCCCCGAAGCCCAATCTGCCAACCAACAGGACCTCTGTCTTGTCTGGAATGAAACGATAATGGTGAAAGCAGCAGGCGTTAGTGTGTTTAAGGCTGATGCATCTTTTCCTATGCCAGGCATCTCCAACCTGGTGCCTTCTAGACATTTATGACTACAACTCCCAGATTTCCAGACTACTGGCTCTGTTGGCTGAGGCTGATGGGATTTGATGTTCAAAGTATCTGAAAGTCACCAAGTCAGGGAAGGCAGCTGTAAGATTGCATCTCTATCAAGTGAGAGGAGGAAAACTGAAGCTCCCATTTGACTTCATTTAAGATGCATCTTGATGGACTAAACCACAGGGTGTCATTCCATGAGCTGGTCTTTAGTGCCAAGGAAATAGGGTGATTGCTTATTATTATTATTATTATTATTATTATTATTATTATTATTAGAACATTTCTATGCCGAAGCCTCGGGGCGGCTTACAAACACAATAAAATACAATAAAATACAAAAATAACAATATAAAATTAAAATTAACAATATAAAATAAATAAAAATATAAAATATAAAATGGTTGACATTATTAATGGTTGAAAGCTGAGTGAAAAGAACATAGTAAAAGAAATGCCATGCTGGATCAGGCCAACGGTCCTTCCAGCCCAGCACTCCAGTCACATGGTGCTAAATCTACAATGAAAAGAAGACTCTCTCACCCTTTTTTGAAGGGGAGCCTTGCAGAGCCCTTGCGCTAACATCCGTACCAGTGGCGTCTACTGAGGGGCACTGAGCATTTCCTCTGAAGGTTTCCAACCTTTCCTGGACTAGCCCAAGCCATTTTGCAACTCGAGGCGCAGGGCAAGGGGACTCCCACCCCCTGTCCCACCTACCAAGGCCAACTGGACAGGCAACTGACTCTTACTGCAATAGTGCCAGCAGAAGAGGAGCTGCCGCAGCACCCGAGGAAGGCTTTTGGCTGGGTCCTCCAGCAGAGAGAACTGCTGGGTGGAGAACTGGGGGACTGCCACCTCTGCCTCTCCCCCAGCCGCACACCCCTGCCGCAGGAGAGCGCCACCTGCCACACCTGGCTGGCCCCGCAAGTTACAGAAGGAGAAGAGGGTCCCTACCTCTTCTCTCTACATCACAGGCCGAGAACATCGTGGTCAACAGGTCTTCCTCACAGATCAGGCTAACTTCATCGCTTTCATCGTCTTTGGCCTCTGTCAGCAGCCTCCGTCCTGCAGTGGGAAAGAGCATTTGCCGCTGGCTTTCTTTCCGTGCACGCTTAAGGTCCATCTTACACGTGGCTGTTGCTGTTAGTCGCACAGTCGTGCCCGGTCCATCGCGACCCCACGGAGAACACTCCTCCAGGCCTCCCTGTCCTCCACCATCCCCGGGGTCCACCCAAGCCCTCACCCCCTGCCCCAGTGACCCCATCCAGGCTCCTCAACCTCTGCCGTCCCCGTCTCCTTTTGCTGTCAATTGTTCCCAGCATGCACTTGGTTAGGCAGCAAAAAGGGGCAAGAGAAGAGGGAGAGGGGGCAGAAAAGGTTAAAAGGAAATCCTTCCATTCCCCAGTCAACAGACGTGCCTAGGACTTCACCCGTAGCGGAAGTACTACAAGGAAGTTGGCCTCAATATATATATTTTAACCAGTTTTTTCCACTCTTTGTACAAGACCTAAAACAAAAGAGATATTTCCAGCAGAAACTTATATCATTTGAAAGATGAAGAATAGAACAACTCCAAGGAATATTTGAAAAACAAAGGTTAAGCTATTACCCATACCTTCCCTGAAGGCTACCCTTCTTATCATTATTTGTATTGCAAGTTGCACCGACTTGTGACCTGCACTTTAAAATTCTGAATATTTGTAGAGTGCTCTGGGGACAGCATGTTTTGGATGATTTTAACAGTGTATTGCCTGGAGAGGGTTTTATCCTTAAAGGCAGCTTAACAAATATTTCTTTAGATCCAGCAAACATCCTTATAAAGCACATTCCACTAACAACATAAAATGTGCTTTACAGCTTAAAGAGGAAATGCAAAGCATTAAACCAGCTTATATGAAATGCATCAGGAAAGACGAAGTAAAACAAACCAGTATTTAGAGCCCTTTGAAAGTAATAAGAAGGATGTTTAATGAAGATTGTTGAGGAGCAAGATCCAGGGTTGGGAGACCATCACTGGAGAATCAAGTCCTGAGCAAATTCAATGGGTGGAGAATGTTGGTGAGAGAAACACTGAAAACTAAGGTGGGCATGGAATGGAGTATCATGGAAGAGGGAGTGGCTGGCACACTGAACAGGAAAACTGCAATATTTTGTTACAGATCCCATTTGCACCAGCTCTCACACGTCAGTGTTTTTCTCCAGTTAGCGGCGTCTTGGGCACAATGCTTGACCAGCAACTCATTTTGCCCAGCCTATTAGAAAGAACCGGGCCATTTCCCAAGTCTTAAGTTAAACAGCCTTACCCAAAGAGAGCCTTCTGTTTACAGGAGCCTGGAATGCCCTTTTCACAGGCCTGTGTTCCTGGCTCAACAAATCAGGACTTGATGTCAAGTAGGTCCATTCCTGAGAAGACGTATCCTTCTGTTCCATACCAGTGGAGCCGTAAGGAGGATTACTGCCCAACTCTCCCCAGTCAAGAAGGCATGGAGAACAGCTCTCCGCTTGGTCTAGCCAGGGTCTACAGGCCTTTTCCTTATTTCTGCCCACTGAAAAAGTTTCCGAGCGGATATCGGAGATGCGCCTGTGACTCGGTGTTGCCACCGGTGAGCATGGGGAAAAGACGTTGTCGCTGAGAGGGCTTAATGAATGGCCGTCACTGCTGGGCACGGTGCTGTTGTCACTGGTTTTCAGGGTCCTTCTCTTCCAGATCTCCTCCAGGTTTTTCTTCATGTTCCCTTGAGGGCTGTCAAAGTTCTTGGACTGGAACTTGGGGATCTGCAGTGCAGGATTCGAGGCTTGGTCCATCATCTTGATGGTCTGGAGCTTCCGGCAAAGGCTGTTCACTGGGTGATGGTGCCGTTTGCCACGCCCTCTGTTGGAGGACATCTTGCCTCTGCGTTTGGGGCAATTAGTTTAGCTGAAACAGGGAGAGAATCTGTAGGGCAGGAGAGGGAGAGAGGGATGGGAAATTCAGAATTGGTGGTGATGATTTAGCTTTCTTATACGCTTGTCAGAAGTTTGATACTTCAGCCAATGAATATATTATGAGTTTTTTAAAAAGATGAGATAAATTTGCCAGTGTGAACTTCCCCTTGACCCTGCTATATTCCCCTCCCTCCCAGACTGTGTCTTCACTATTCCCCTGGTGCCACTATTCCCCTTTTACCTCATTTTTGATTGCTGGGCCCCCGTGGCAAGTGCTTCCATTACAGCCACTGGGGGGATGCTCTCAGCGAGGCCTGAAATTCCCAAACCTGCCCTTGGGTCCTAAAGGGGTAGCAAATCCCAAATAGACGCCCAGCCCATGAGAGTCGGAAAGATGCTAGGAAAACGTGACTAGTGATAGGGCAGCATGAACAGATCAAAGCAAGCTTCACTTGGTGTGACCCAAGATGGCAGGTGAAATGGAAGGAGCCACATCTTGGTGGAACTTCTGCAGAAGTTCCCCTTTTGATCCCTGGTGACTCCAGGTGCTTTAAGACAGCATCTTGGGTACCAGGTGGGGAGAGGGAGGCTTCTGCTGAAGATCCTGGATAGTCATTAGGTTAAGACCAACCAGGTGGAAAGAGGAAAACATCTGACACAGCCCAAAGTAACTTTTTGTCTTCACTGGAACATCGCATTGTTCATACAAATGCATTTAGACTGCAACCCCATGCAAGTTTAGACATAAAAACCCCTAGAAGTCCCAGTATTTCCCAGCCAACCTGGGGCAAAATAACAGCTCTCTCCATCAACACATCTTAAAAGCACTGAACAAGGTATCTCCAGAAACAAAATTAGGGAGAAAGCAGAGACAATAACAAATCACTCTTTAGATACCCAAATGATAAACCATTACAGCTACAAAAAAAACAAAGAACAAACAGGTCAGACATTTAATATATTCCCACTAAGTTTAGGAGCTCAAACTACAAAACCTGCTGCCAGCATGTCAAGGCCTGAACAAGAAAGAAAAATAAAGTTTTCTTATCAGTAACATACCCCAAAAGATATGAGATGGAAGCCCCTTGTCAATCTTCCTTCTTCCCCTTTAAAAATACCCCCTAAACATATATCCATATAACGAATATAACTGCTAAAAACAAGTTTAGTCTCCTTTACCGAAGGTGAAGATGTCTATTTCAATGGTTCTGGGTACCTGGAAGTGGATACAGGTCCAGGTGTTGAATATCACAACCCCAAACCCCTGCAGTTTGTTTTAAGCGAACATTTCCCCCTTTCTGTCTGCTAATTTCCTTCTCTAGTTGTTAGCTTGTGCAGAAGGTTCTATAAGGTTGTGTAACCATTCCTTTTAAAAAGAGAAAAGAAAAGCCAAAGCAAGAATAATGCATTAAATGTATTCTATAAATCTTCTACTGTTTCCTTAATTCAGAATAATTTTGCTTGTTTCAGTAGGACTGCTTTTGGAGAAAATAGCTTAAAGGTGCAGTCCTGTGTTTATTGAGAACATTGTACAAAATCACACAGTCTTGGGAAGTGTACAACTTTCTCAGCTTGCAGACAATTGTTTCTTAAGTCCCTTTTGCTTGAAAAGGTCTACTTACAGAGCTGGGACCAAACCACAAAACAGAACTTTCCAAGTCTGCACTAAATCTATGGCCAGGGCCTAATGTGATTGTTACGGTTCAAGTCAACACAAGAGTAATCCAGGAAAAGCCTTGGCTTGTCTCCACAGATGTAAGCAAGCAAGATGCCCTTGTCAGCATTTTCGAATAGCATCCAGATACCGAGATGGGGTGTCTCCTTATGAGTAAGCAGGACTCCTGCCTGGAAAATGCATGATTTAGTATCTTTTAGTGCCTTGATTCTTTGTGAGATGTGACAGGATTACTTGCCCTTAAATTTCCTGTAATCTCCAGAGACAGGAGAGAACAGCAAAATATGTTTGCAGACGTGCTGGGAGCTGTGTCGGCTTCTTCAGCGAAACTGTTCCATTCCTTTTCTGGGTAATAAACCCCTCAGATGCTCAGAAGCTCATTTCTGTTTATTATAATGGACTGTTTTCCAGTGGTGTTTCCATGCTTTTTCCGTAGGTCAGACAACTGGGAAAACTACTGGTGAATTTTTGCCTGCCACACAACACTGGAAGGCAAACGACTTTCCAGCAAGTGCTGCAGAGACAATAAAAGTATTTCTGTTATGATCCCCCACCAAGATTTCAGCCTCTCTCACAAAGGGAGAAATGCTTATTTGTATACGTTTCTTAATTAGAATGTGTGCACATTTAAAATTGTTTATGGGCTTAATACTGAAGCCAGCCTTTCAAAGGGAGGCAGTGGTAGAATACTTATTATCAGAGCAATTGGGGGAAAATTAAGCAGCCACATTCCCCTGCCTAGCAAGGGGCCTGTCCTTCTAATGGTCTCATGGTAGGTTGAAATTCAACAGGAGAAGCTTTGCAATCACTGCTTGGGGAAAAGCTTCGGGTTATTTTCTGCCTGTGCTTGTACTACTTCTTGTTCAATGAGCAGCACCCAGGCCAGAAATACCTAATTATGTGGCAAGGGCAAGGGACAAGTCCAAATTCTATTTCCCAGGGATGGCAAAGGGGGTCTTGTTTATGGGGATTTAGTCAGTTCCTATACTGAGGACTGGAAAGGACCTTCTCAGTAAAAAATATTAGTCAGTCCAGTTCTGTATGAGTTTGCCTTTTGCATTCTCCTGGAGGAATAATCAAAAGTAGCTTTTGGCAATTGAGTGACCTGCAGAGAGGATGCTACATGTTCTACCATCCCCAGGTAACAGTGACTATGCTGAGTCAAGGATCATGGGAGTTGTAATGGAGGTCCCAGAGTGTCGATGCTTCTAGTGACTTCCTTCTAAGGAAATGGACCCTTGCATAGATGCTGGGATTTGTGAAGCATCAACCGCTCACCGCAATGTGGTACAATGGTTAGAGTGTCGGACTAGGACTCAGGAGACCTGGGTTCTAGTCCCCACACAGCAATGGCACTCACTGTGGGACTATGGGGCAGTCATGGACTCCTTGACCTAACCCGCCTCACAAGGTTGTTGTGAAGTGGATGGAGAACAGGAGGATTCTATAAGCTTCCTTTGTTTCCTTGCAGGAAAAAGGCAGGGTTTTAAATCAATCCATCAATCTCCATATGACAGTGAAGATTTCTATTTTTTTCCCCCTAAGACAAAGCTCTGCCTTTCCGTGAAACGATGGCACTTGCAGAACTCACCTTAGCTTGGGTTCACTGCTTATTCCCCGGCATCCGTAGCGCTTCAGCCAAAGGCACATCTGTTTTCTTGTCTGGCTCAGTGGATGAGGTCGCACGATGCAGGCTGGGACCGGGGGCTGTTGTCTGAAGCGCTGAGTCTCCGCCGAGACCCTCGAGGCAGCAGCGTCCTCTTCCAGGACCGCTCTGCTCTCTTCTGCCAGGTCCACGGAGGCAGCTGAGAAGGTCAGAGAGCACCTCGCCCCCAGATCTGCCATCACGAAGATGGAAGTCGCATGGAGAAGAAACATCCACGGATTTGGAGCCCCATGTGCGTTCTGCAGAACTTCTGCACACACGGGGATCCCGCTTCCCTTCCATGGAGAGGACACAAGCCAGGCTGCAGTTACAGGGGGACATTTCAGCCACGGCAGCACCTCCACTTTCACCCCGGAGCTCCTGTGTCTGCAGAACCTTGCGGGACACCAGCAATTAAATGTAGGCCACACTGGCTGGAAATATTTTAAGTGGAGTTGAGATTAAAGTGCTCCTCAATTTCAGCCCCATGACTATCATTCCCCACCCCCAAAGGTGCCATAGAAAGTTCATTCATGTTTCAGGGCTTACGCAAAAAATCCACCCATTTTTTTCAAATAATGTGCAGCATTACAGACACGGCTGTTTGTATGTTATGTGTGGCTATTTAATTTGACTTAGGGCAATCCTGGTATGTTAATATCAGTGCTTTTTTTGTAAAAAAAAGAAAGGTGCCGGAACTCACATCTTGGGGTCACACTTTTACACTGAAAAAGATTTTTAGTGTAAAGCCTATCACTCTACACACACATAAAGCCAGTCATTCCTACACATACATGAGCATAATGGTCTCAGGCACTATGTTAATGATGTTTGCTGCTGATCTGCTATGCCAGACAGGCGATTCAAAATCACTTTGTAAAATCCATTGGAAAAAACGGTGCTGGAATGCCATTCCGGTGTGTTCTATGACAAAAAATGTCCTGGTTAATATTAACAATTGATATTTATTTATTTATTATTTTATTTATTAAAACATTTCTATGCCGCCCCATTCGCCGAAGCCTCGGGGCGGCTCACAACATACAATAAAATGCAAAAACAACATTATAACATTAAAATATTAATTAATATCCATATTAGTTATTATTAATTCGAAGGCCTAATAATGGCCTCCAGATATTGTCAGGGAGACCCTAGGATGCTTCAGAGTCTGAGAGTTTTCAGAGGACCTCAGAGCTCTGGCTCCAAAGCGAAGCCCCTTTCTCCCCCACCCTCCCAGCAACTGGGCCTCCGAATGAGAAACAAGGGATGCCGTGGAGGTGGCGGGGGGGGGGGGGGACGCTGGCCACAGAGCTGCACCCATTCCAGCTGATGCTCCACCTTCCTCCTTTCCTTCCCCTCCCCGGCACGAAATCTGGACAGCCAAAAAAGGATGTCTAGATAAATCGCAGGGCAAGAAGCGCAGCTGAGCCAGGACTGCCAGATTGCGGCATGTTCTCTATTGCACCGAATGGCCAAAAGCCTCTGAGTTTGGAGGTTTACACACCTCTGCCAGGGGGCAAGATGGTTACACTCCCCAGCTGCAATTCCGTCCCTGTTTAGACAGAAGAAAGTCCTGTCACTCTCAGCATTCCCCAGCCGGCCAATTCCTGCATCATCTGGGGGATGCTGGGAGTACTT